GTGTTGGTATGTGAGCCCTGACTGCCACAACAACGACTGACCACGGAGAGTAAACCATCGACACCTGTCCGCTTCAAGAGGGAGCCGGAACGCGTTTCAGCATTTCAGACGCGATCCGCACACCCCTCCAGTTTATATCGTGCCTCATAATCGTCCAGCAATATCATCAATGGTGGAATGACCAGATGCCACACTTGGTCGTATGCTTCCGTCTATCGCAGTTTCAGCGTGCGGACGTGCGCCATCTCAAGGATGCGATTCGTCATTACCGGAATGTTCTCTACACCCACAAGATTGTACGCGCAGCCCCGGGATGGTCCTTCCAGTGTTGTGACTCGAGAAGTCTTGAGACGCGTTCGGGCCGCCCGCGGAACGTGCAAGCTTCCGTCCCGTCTCTGCGTTCATTTCGGGATGTGGGTTAGAGCGGAACAACGGTCGTATGTTATTTTGCAGGATGTGGGTCACGAGTGTCAGAGGAGGATCCATGAATCTATGTAAGATATCTACAACACGCGGGTAGTACGTTCGTGGGCGGGTAGGAATTGGATATCACCCACTTTGAGCCAATTCTTGCGATGGAAGTTCCGTCCATTCCGAATCCCCATCTAAGGGTGCTACTGCAGCCACGATATCAGCTTGCTCGTCCAGCGACAGGTCGGTGCTCTGTTCGATGCGCGTATTGAGTTCTTGAAGGATGCGTAGCGTGTCATTCTTCCACACTTGAAGACGCGTCACAAGCTCGATCTCTGATGTTTCAGACAGTTCTTTGTATTCTCCAGGAACTTTGAGTTGCACAAGGAGAGAAGAGAGGGTCATGATCGTCGCGTCGCGAGGGTCACCGGTATTGATTGGCACTTGAAATCAAATCAGCTGATGGAAGTCAGCACAGCCCATGATGAGCTGACAAAGCTACATAGTTTACACGTGAACAAGGCAGGCGGCAATCCCAAAATCCCTTCGTCCTTCCTCAAGACATCGCTGCATGTAAGTCCTCACTCTGGCTCGCCCTGGCACAAACTCGTTTTCTCGACGTATCGCATCCGGGGCTCGTGTGGAGGAAAGATGTGAAATTTGCAACTGATTTGACCGTTTTCAACATCATCGACCACGCCCCGGATCGACTACGCGCTTCCTTTCTTTCTCTTCCTACAACGGCCGGTGAATAGGAACTGATATACCCTGGACAGAAATGGGTCGGGTTATTCGAGCACAGAGGCGGTCGCACACCATCGTATGTCCAAGATCTAGTGATGGGTGCACGCAGTTAACCCATGATATCTTAGTTCAAAGCGCACACGCACTTGAACAAGAACCCGGCGCAGCTCCGTAACCTCGACTTCGCTGAGCGCAACGGCTACATCCGCGGTGTCGTTCGAGAGATCATCCACGACTCCGGACGTGGTGCTCCCCTTGCCCGTGTCGTCTTCCGGGATCCGTACCAGCACAAGCTCCGCAAGGAGACCTTCATCGCCACTGAGGGTCTGCACACCGGTGCCTTCGTCTACTGCGGAAAGAAGGCGACTCTCTCTGTCGGCAACGTTCTTCCCGTCGGTCAGTGCCCTGAGGGTACGATCATCTGCAACGTCGAGGAGAAGGTCGGTGACCGTGGTGCCCTTGCCCGCACCTCTGGTGCCTACGCTACCATCATTGGCCACTCGCCCGATGACAACAAGACCCGTCTCCGTCTGCCCTCCGGCGCCAAGAAGACCGTCTCTGGATCTGCCCGTGCAACTGTCGGTATCGTCGCTGGTGGTGGACGTATCGACAAGCCCTTGCTCAAGGCGGGTCGCGCATACTACAAATTCAAGGCCAAGCGTTACAAGTACGTTTTTGAAATCGCCTTCCTCTCCCGAGTTGATGTCTAACCCGCATATAGCTGGCCCCGTACTCGTGGTGTGGCTATGAACCCCGTGGACCACCCCCACGGTGGTGGTAACCACCAGCACATCGGAAAGGCGTCCACGATCTCGCGCCAAGCCGTTCCCGGTCAAAAAGTCGGTCTCATTGCTGCCCGGAGGACTGGTCTTCTGCGTGGTACCGTCAAGGTCAAGGAGTTTAAGCGGTGGATGGGCGTTTGGGCTCGTCTGTTTCTTCTCCTTATCTACATTTTTCATGCATCCTACCTTCCAAAATGTATGCCATGCCGCCCGCGACAATGATATGCTTCTGCCATGCCATTGCCGTAAGAACCCTGTCTCGATAGAAGATGTTTTTGTGTGAATATGATGTGAGATGTACATTTGATTCCAAGTTGAAAATATATGTATGTATACAGAAGTGTTCAGGACTGGGAATTGTTTTCTTGCATCAAACAAGACAACCACGCGAACCACATCATCGTCCGCAGCTGCAACACGTCTTCCTTCCAGAGCTTGCTGGTGTTCACCTGACGGAACTCTTTCGTGAGCGTGGCACACCGCTGCACATTCTCGAGGGACACGAAATCGACGGCGATCTTGATGCAGTCACTCATGTTTCGCACCTAGAGCTCGATCGTGAGCGGAACAATCCCCAATAGCAGATGCCACAAACCTGGTGTGCACAGCCAGCAGGAATGAACACGGCTTCCCCCGTCTTCTGCAGAATTCGATAGCTCTTCACCCCTCGCTCTTGCCACAGCCGCAGTCGCATGTCATCTTCGAGGTAGATCTGTTGGCTGTGAATCGGATCTTGACCCAATTGCCGATGCTGTTCGGCCAGGAACTGCCGAATTTGGAAACTATCCTCCGCACGGAAGATATCCCAAGCAGCATAGCCCGGAGATCCATCGGGGCACGGCGCAGCGTAGGTCAGAATGTTCAGCGCATCGGCCATGTCCATGTGCAGCCGCGTCGAGCCTTTGTTGCCCTCCTCTGCTAGATTAGCATACGCATTGTACATTTTCGGCCCTGCAAAGACGAATGAGGCGCTTGTGAAATGGTCCAGATATTAGACCAACCGAGATCAGGAGAGACGGTGTTCGAGGGGAAATGAGAAGCGATATTGAGCACCCCATCTCTTCGAACGTAGTTCGGGATGGGCACAGCTTGGCTGAAGTCTTCATACAACTTCGGGAATGACGTCTTGAAATCACTCGAAGGCGGCCAATCCTAGGGAGGTCATCAATAGCGTGTCGGCGTAGACACCGGCTTTACTCACTTTGAGCTTCCAGCACTGGTTTCTATCTTCGTATTTGCCGAATGTGCTGAAAAACTCCTTGACCGTCCGACGAGTCGATTGATCTGATTGGCAGTCGATCAGGAGGCAATCCTCCGACCCATGATTCTCGATAAAGTACTGGGGATCCCAGTCGAGCTTGAGCTTGCTCCCGGTGTCGGTGACCAGGACAGGCTCGCCTTGCGCCCATAGCAAGGCAAAGGTTTGTTCGCTCAATTCGGCATCCTTGAAGCGCTTGATCTGGTGAAATGGTATCTCGCCGGACACGGCAATGCTGGGAGACATCGGCAGAGTAGGGCGGTAGCCTGCCAACGAACCAGCACTGTCCGCCGGCACCGCAAAAAGTTCCATGTCTCGAATGGCTTGCTCAAGTTCCTTCTTGACGAAACGGGTCACCGGGGAGAAATCCTTGGCGCCGTGATCGTTGCGCTTATGACATGTGAGGAAGAAAGGATTACAATGTGCCTGCTTGTCCTTTCTGGCACGTTGGTCGGCCATATCTTGCTCCGTATTGACCTCTACGACGGTGAGGTCTTTGACTCGTTCGAAACACTCTTTGCAAGCTTCACGACCACACAAACGACACATCCAAGAACAAGCGAAGATGGACGTCAGGCAGGAATCTGGGCAGAGATATCGCTTTGAGATGGAGAAACGGCAATTCGAAATGCCAGCTCACCACAAGTAGCACGAACTTCGTTTTCTCGAGGGCGGTAGATGACAGCGCTGTGTTGGGTGTGCTCGAGCTCCTCTCTAAGAATAGGGAGAAGGGCTGTCGCGATGGTTTTCTGTGAAGTTTAAGCGACTTTCGCACAGAGATCAAGCAATCCAACCTTGATGAGTTGGAAATGCGTCTTGGTCAGAGGCGCATTCCAGTTGGACGGATACTCCATTTGTACCGCTGGCTGGTCTCGTCGTTCATAGAAACAGAAACCAGCTAGTTCGCCTGTGCTTGTGTAGAAAAAGGAACGAAGATTCTGGAATCGACAGGTGTCTCCAACCCAGCGTCGCGTGCACGATACACAATGCGGAAAACCTTTGGATTTGAACCGGTTCGACATGCATCGTGATGTTTGGGGCTCCCGTGTGAGGTTGGCCTCCGATGACAGCCTGACGGGCAGGATGGTGAAAGAAACTGCTCAAAAGTCAAGACAGGACATCGACGACGCAGCGGGTACAAAATACCATCGCTTCGATCTATCGGCAGCTTGGGAGATAGTTGGTATATCATGTCGGGCGGATCACCTGCTGAACAGTTTACTAAAACATTCGAACATAAAGGTCGACTGCGCTCACCAGCGACACTGTCTACTTTGGCTGATCGCTTTGAAGATCCCGGGCGCTTGTTTGAAGCTGTCGAAATCAATCAGTCCATTGGAATATGTGGACGGGAGGAATGAAACGGACCACCAGCTGCCTTGCTCTCCTTCTGCTTGGAATTGAGCTTGCGCCTGAACCTGGGTGGCCGATCATCATTTTCACTGCTGTCAGACGCTCCTCGTTTTTGCGGCAGGTGAGAGGTAGATTGGATTGGGTAAGATGGATTGACATTTCCTGTCTCTTCGTATGATACTTGTGGCCGACCAATGAGCCGAGTTGATGCCCTCTCAGACATCTGATAATCTAACCATCACATCAGAGAGTCCTCGACTAAAGAGAATGGATCACGTACCTGCCAAGTCAGGTGTGCGGGGTACAGCTGGTGAGGCCGGCATTGAGAATGTTTGCAAAGGATGAATGTAAGGCGAAACATGAGGCGGCCTGGGAGTGTTTGACATTTGCGCCAGTTCTGTCCAGCGATCAGGACGACGCGCGGCGCGAGCGATGTAAGGATGCTCACTCTGAATGTGAGCTGAAGTGGTCTCCAATGCAGCTGCTCGCGCGTGCATGTCCAGATTATAATCCGATGCGCGCCACCTAGTGATTGACGGTATCGCAGCTGGGTATTGGGCATGGCTACCGATGCTCTGGGGCGACGTGTGGACGGAGATGTGTCTGGGAGATGGACCGCTGGGCGAAGTATGACCGACTCGCGCGTAGCTCAGCCAAGGATCCGTCCCAATTCGATGGTCTGGTCGATTAGCAGACTCGTTGGGCATTGGAGAATGAGAAGGGAGCCGGGACGATATCGCATGACTTTGCACGGGAGTCGGTGGAGAGTCGTTGAGGATATGGGAGAGGGATCCGGTTCTGGGAACAGAGGAGGTGGTAGCCATCGTGAAAGCAATCTTCACCGGCAAGAAGGTGAAGGTACTGGACGAGAAGAAGGCCAACCGGCGTGGTTATGTGTCAAGGAGTGCAGGCGCTCACGCAGTCTAGATTAGGGTCACACAACTGTCACGCGTTTTGTAGTAGTAGCCGCGCGAAATGCCGAAACAGGTCCATTTTGCCCAGTGAACGAAGAACGCATGGATATCTGCGAATACCGGGCAGTGCAGCCCGGCAATAAGCCAAGGACGCCACCCGAGTCTCGGGATCGTCGGTCCACTAACTTGATTCTCGTAGCCCTAGCCAATTTTCGACCCCTAAGGCTGCGCCTTTCCTCGGCGGAACGTAAGTAGCAGCTAGCGAACTACTCGGAACTGACGGAAACCATGGTGAGAGTATCCTATTCAGAATGGCTCCTCATGATCAGGTACGTCTTCCGAAAGCTTGGTTTCATTCAGGTAAGCTTTTACACATCAGTTGCGGGGTAAATGTGACCGGCCGCGGCGGCCTTCCAGATTGCATATTTACGACTGAAAATTGCCTAGCGGCTTGTCTGTTACAGCCGCAGTGCACTAATTCTGACTACGAATTGGAGCCCTCATCTCGGACTAATCAAGACGCGGTTGACACCGTCGACTGCACCAACAAGCTGTCCCAGGTCCGATTCACATGGAGCAGCTCCTACAGGCCTCGAGACGGCTGCAAATAACGACAGATCGAGTGCTGCTCGTCGGCTTCTTCCGCGGTCAGTCATGCATCCGACATCTGGGAGATCTTGATCCTATTTTGGAATATGTATTCTGTTTCGAGAGATGGATTCCACATGAGGGATACGTACTTACATAAATACTTTTTTTTCAGGGCAAGCCATCAATTCAAGCATCCTAGTCTCGCATCACCTTTTCCATTTCCCCGCGCCATCGTTTCTGGAAATCGATCATTTCTCTGAACATGCTGTATTTAGCATCGAGGAGCCGCTTGACTCGGGGAGCAGCGCGAGGGGCAATGATGGACGCAGGTGGTGTCATCTCGACCTGAAAAAGTCAAGCAGGTTTTCCAATATGGCACGCCACCACACACCATGACGCGCCAAAGAGTCTCTGCTTCCTTGTTCTGCTCTGCAGACTCGGCAGCATAACGACCCAGAACAGCCGCGCCACGCACGACTGCAGCTCCGTCTCCGCCATCTTCCGATGCTGGCACGACTACCGGCATCCCGCAGGCATCAGCAATCAACGTCATCAGTGCCGAGTTGCGAGCTTGGCCTCCGGAAACATATATCGAATCGATCTCGTGCCCGGGCTTGGGGCTCTCTCCACCAACGATCTTGACTCCACCCTCTCGGCCGTTCAGGACGTCGATGATGTGCTTCGTTTGCAGTGCGATGGCCTCCAGTGTCAGTGCGTACTTGCGTGCAAGATCAGAGACCCCAGAATCCAGCGTCAGTCCACCCAAAACACCCCGCATCTGAGGATCGGCGATGGGGGATCTGTTCCCTGTGGAATTCGGCGACCGGAACAGTGCAGCACTACGAAACAGCACTCATACCATGGAAATCGGGATACATCCATGCACCCCGAATTAGTTCAGTGATGCTCTCCGCTCCTTCCGCCTGGCACAAGCGATCCAACTCCTCCTCGAGCAACGCAAACACGTTTCCTTTGGCTTTTGTTGCAGCATAAGCAGGGTGTGTCGTCAGAATGAAATCAATCAGCTGTCCTGTGGACGATTGCCCGCCTTCGTTCATCCACCAGCCTGGGAACGCCGCGTCCTATATCACAAGCGTTAACGTTATAACAGACACAACCTGAGATTACCTTATACGGCCCCCAGACTCCATTGACAAAGACACCTTCCGGGCTCTATATCAACACAATTCAGAAAGCGCTGATGATGCCGACGAGTGACACACCTGAACAAGATGGCAAGTGCTCGTTCCCGCGACAGCTGCCAGACGGTGCCTTGAGTCTCCAAGTTCTGGCGGAGGAGACAGAGAGCCGTTCTCCGTCACCCGTGCCGCAACAGTTCCCAGCCAGCCTGCATATCTGAGTCGTGTCAGCAGAAATGTCTAACCGAGGACCGAGTACACACGCGTCGATGACACCACTTCCCACGGGAGTGCCCTCCAGCAATCCTAGATCCTGGGCAGCCTGCTTGGACAGGCCCTTCCCCACAGGCATCCCTGCTGTCAGCACGCTTTGCGGGCCACCCGCTGCGCCGAGTTGGGCGTACCCCCGATCGACGAGTTCTGCGAGTCCGATCTGACGAAAAAACGCGTCGTTCCATCCGGCGTTGGGCACGAACGAGCACTTGCACGTAAGAGAGCACGCTGACCGCGTTCGATCGCCCGTCGCGCGATACGTGAGGAAGTCGGGAAGATCGAAGAAGTGACAGCGCGAGAAGCGGGTCGGGTCCATGTGTTGCTTGAGCCAGAGGACCTTTGGGATTTCCATCTCCAGCTGTTGAGAACATCAGATTCCCGCGGCCCAACTCAACCTAGGAACTCGGCACACACGCTCATGGTCCCGCCGACGTAGTCCAGCACGACGGACCCGGTCTCGTTGATCAGTCCAGCCTGCTTCTCCGCCCGGTGATCGGCCCAGAGAATGATATCCCGTTCCCCGTATTCTCCAAGCCCCGCACCCCGCGTGACACACACCCCACGCCCCGCCTCGTCCGTCACAGCGAGCGAGCACGTCGCGTCGAACCCGATCCCCCGCACATCCTCCTGTCGTACACCCGACTTCGCCAAACACTCGCTTACAGCGCGGCAGATCGCGGCCCAGATGTTGGCGGTCGATTGCTCGAAGATGCGGTGGTCCGTGGGATCACGGTACGTCTCGGTATCGACCGTAGCGGAGGCAGCGAGATGGCCACTGGCAGAGACAAGAGCGGCACGGGCGGAGCCAGTGCCTACGTCGACTCCGAGATAGTATTGAGTAGACATGGGTTGGTAATGATTGAGTCCAAGTGTTTGAGATTCGGGAATGACCTTGGCTGGTCACGGTTGCCCGGCCCGGGGTCCATAATCTTCAACATGCGCTGTACCGCGGATGATGCAAGGATTTGAACAAGATTGGGACTCCAAGATAGATATCCGTCGAGATCCTCTGCATACAGTTGGCTCCACTGGCAGTGGTTGTCGTCTAGAGAATGGCGTCACGTGGGGGAGTGCAGTTGGTAGATTAATTTCAAGCAAAATCTAGATTATCACTACAAGTCCCGAAGACATTATCGGAATCGTAAGCGTGATTAAAAGGTATTACTACATATGTCTACTGCATTTCCACATCCTTGGTACCATCGTCAAGCGCATGCTTGGTGTCGACGACGACCGCCATAGGGATCTCACGCATCAGCAAGCTGACCAACAACCCAAGCCCAGCGATCCCAATCATAACCTGCCAAATCTCTGCCAAACTATCTGCGAATATGCCGCGAACCTGTGCTCTGAGCGGCTCGTCGAGAGTCTTTATGACCGGGATGGCGATGTACGCAATCTCCTCATGCGGGGGGAATTGCGACACGAATGGCGCTGGAAGGTCGCGATTGAGTCTGTTCTGGAGGATCGTCCCGGCGATGGCAATTCCCCAAGTCTGGAAGAAGGATCGAACGAAGGAAAACAGGGCCAAGGCTGGACCTGCACGACTTGGAGGGAGAGGTGCGAGAATGGCGAACACCGGGGCGGCGAACTGTGTTATGTACATGAAATTCTATCCTCTCCAAGGCACTCGGAATCACTTACTAATAGTCCCAACCCAACAGCAACCACAACTTGAAATCCGACCCAGGATCCGACGGATGATGTCGCTTTCAGGGTGCTCAAGACACCCATCCCGACAACAGTAAAAGCCCAACCAATCCAATTCGCTTCTCGATAGCGCTTGACGATGCTGACTGAGATGCCCCCGACCAATCCAAACGGAGCGATCAGCAAAGCAGCGGGAAGAATGTCGACAGCAGAGCGGATCGGCGAGGCGCCGAAACAAGCCTGGAAGTACACCGGGAGATAATAGATGAGTGCTGAGGCTTGGTCAGAACGAGGATGACCGGACTAGCTGAACATCTCAGACCTATGCTGACGACGCCGTGACATGCTGTGGCCAAGAGACTACGGGGATGAGCGCGAAATAAAATGTGAGCACTGGAACAAAACTCACCCGCTGAGAGAGGTGCGGTTGGCGATGACATCCAGAGGGATGGTCGGGTGAGCCGGAACAGTTGCCTCGTAGAAGCAAAATGCGACCAAAAGCACCAATCCCAAGATCAAAGGAACCAGAACAGGGGCTGATGCCCAAGAATAGCGGATCCCACCCCATGTCAATCCGATGATAACGAGCCCAGAACCGACGATGACGATGGCATTCCCGCTGCGGACAAATTAAGCGTGACATCGAGAGCAGACAAATGAAGACTCACAGCCAGTCTACCTGCCGAAGTTTTTCAGAAGTCGAGCCTTCAGGTCGTTTGACTCGCAAGAAGAACAGCGTGAGCACAAATGCGATGCCTGTGAGCGGCAAGTTGAGGACTGAAACGGAAGATAAGTGCCAATCGTTTGAATGGGATAACATTTGAACGTACAAAACAGCCAGCGCCATGCTTTGTGGCCGCGATTCGCCAGTGCCCCGCCCTGGAAAGCTCAAGTAAAGAGAAAATGAACACAAGTCGACATACGATGGGAGGGCCGATGCTCTGCAAAGAAACGTCACAAGATGAGTAACGGCGAGTGATCGAGACATACAGAGGCGAAAGACCAGACGAGACCAATAAGACCTTGATACAATCCCCGCTCAGCGAGCGGCACGAGATCTGCAACGACGATTTCGGTCAGATTGATGATCCCTCCGCCTCCAATGCCTTGAATGGCTGCAGAACCAGATCAGAAAAGCTTGTAACTGAGTAGCAAAACGGCTGACTTCGTGCAGCAATCATCATATTCTGGATGATGCGTTAGATCGAACAAATACGTGTGTGCAATTGGTGTACGGACCATGTCTTGAGCTGCACCAGCCAATGCGCTCCCAAGAGCAAAAAAAGCAATACATGTCAAGATCACCGGTCGTCTGTAAGGGCATGAACACGAGACAAGACGACGTTGCTTCACCAACGCACCTTCCAAAAGCCTCTGAAAGGCTCCCGCTTAGGGGAATGAAAGCTGTGCTGCTCAACGTGTAAGCAGATCCCACCTGGATGGTTGAATCAGAATAAGGGCGTAAGCGTCCGTGTCAAGCCGAATGCGGACCCAAGTGAATTCGCCCTTGGTGTCATTCAAGGCATTCGAGATTGTGGGCAGAGTAGTCCCAACAGCAGTCACATCTAATGCGCTCAAGAAGGTCGTGACCATCATAGCAAAGAAACTGAGGTAGAACGCGCGTCCTTTGCCTTGTGGCGAGTTGGTGGCGCCATCGCCAGAGGCAAGTGTTTGCGCGTCCATGTCATGAGAGTGTGAAGACATGGTCCTTGTGAGAGTGGCAGACACCGAGGGGATGGTTGAGGAGATACATCCTCTGGTTTATATCTTGCTGTATGCGCACCGCAGTTCCGTGTAGCCTGCAGCCCGTCTGACGCGTCGTCGCTGCACGACATCAGGGGATCCGTGTTACCGGCACGTGACTTGGTAAGGCCGATTACCCGCATAATTGAACGCTCGATCACTGCTTCATCAGCGACTGGACACATATCCGCTTTACCGACACGTGAAATCCTCATTGAGAGGTCTGCGCTGTGCATGATAATAGATGGAGGAACGGCGAAGGAACTCATCGATTGCGACAACCCGTTATAAGATCTATGTATTGAATTTTTGTGATAGGTGTGTTCCAGGGCAGACTTCGGAGCCACCAGGGTCAGAATATGCTGCCAAGGACCGTGTTCAGATGTTCCTCTTTCGAGTGTGCGAGAGTAGGCTGCTTAGGCCTTCGCTGGAACGCATCGTCGTCTTCCTCGGATCGTTTTCGTTTGGGTCGCTCTTTGAGTTCCATTACTTCTCCCTTCTCCTTCTTTCGCTCGACCCGTTTGTCGAGAACGCGCGCGAGCTCCACATTCTTGAGGTAGTCACGCTGCTCCAGACGAGACTGAGATAGTTCGACGCGTAGTTTCGCCGTGTGGACCGCAGCTTCGTGTGCTGGAGATCCTTCAGAAAGAATACAGGGCTTAGTGTAGTTAACGCACCGATCTGCTCAGTGAGCATTGTCCACTTGAACTTGGGAAGATATTTCATGGTCCAGACATCGTCCCTCCATCGGGTGCCCTTCTTTCCTCCAATAGGCTGTGCGTTCAACATCCCCGCTACGATCCGAGCCACCTTTTTGTCTTTAAACTCGACCCAACCCTCGGTGAAGTGAGCTTTTTTTGTGGACGTGAATTTCCGCCGCAGGTAAGCACGTTTGGCGTCTGTTTTGGTCGTCAAAGACTATCCATTGAAGATATGTTCCAAGCTGACCTTCTTGTTGGAGATATACTCTGCCGACCTCGCCATGGGCACTCATCAAGTGTCGGACTTTGGTCGGACGCATGCCCGGAGGAATCCGGGAGATGTAGATGACACCAGCACGATCTTGGGCAGCTTGGAAGGCTGCCAGGGCTTCACGAGATAGAGGCTTGATTGTTTTCGGACCAGAGAAACCTTGCGGGTCCATTCCCACCGGGAGCTCATCCTCTTCGGAGATGCTTTCTTCCCGATCTGCCTCCAAGATGTCTCCTTCATCCAACACGCGGTTCCCTTCGAGCTTAGAACTGCTGGCGACGATTTCGTCCATTACAATTTTGTTCACGAGTAGGAGAAAGTGACGTGACGACGTGTCTGTCACGTTGTCACGCATAAACGAACGCAAATTGGGTGGAAGGAACTCATCGCTGACCACGACGACAAGATCTAGTGGTTGCGATCCTCACGAGGTCCGTACTTGCTATGCGACCTCTCAACTTCTCAGGCTCATGCGCCATTCGTCTCTCTCTTCTCTTTCTCTGTCACTAGAATGGCTTGGAATTCTGGTTACCCACCGCCGCCAAGGCGCTCTCGTTCGAGGTCTCCTGGACGTGCCCCGTATCCCTCATACGAGGACACCTATAGAGACTCGCTTCGCGACTGGGACCCGTATGGTCGTGACCGGAACGGATATGGCTCGTGGGAACGAGACCGCGCTCAATATGAATACCGCAGAGGGCGTAGTCGGAGTCCAGGTCCAGAGAGTGCGTATCTGTAGAAGGACAGGTCTCAAAGTCGCGGTAACTGACACACTCTCTTTGCAGTGAGCCGCAAGCGCCCACGCTCTGGATCCCCGTACGACCGTGACCGCTATGATCCTCGGCCACGATATGATGACTACGGTTTGGCTCAATGCAACATCTACTCCTTCGTGTTCACTCATATCTCATTCGTACAGATGGACATCGCCCGTCTGGCTACTCTCCGCCTCGTCGTGCTCCCCATCGTCGAGTTCCTCCTGACCCTCATACATTTGACTATCCTGCCTCTCTCAAACAATTTGCCGACTGGTTCCGCTATAACCACCCTCAAATGGCTGCGGAGGAAGACAATGCCGACAAGGCTGCTGAACAAGAGGCTGGTGACGGCTCGAAACCTCGAAACGGAATCAAAACGCGATGGGAGAACTACAAGAAGAGCTTTGCTGCAAACCAGGTCCGTTGCTTTCACTTTGTGCATATGTTCGGATCTCCTGTTAGTCGAATCATGGTTCTGAATCGTTGTGTATCCTGTAGCTTCAGATCCTGTTTGACCATCACCGAAAATCTCCTTGGTTCAATGAGAAATATGATCCAACGGAGGAGTTCCAAACGCTCCGGAAGAGGGTCAGGAAAGAAGGATGGAAGGACAGGACGAGCAACTTCTTGCTGGACTTGGATGCTGGCAAATTTGATCCTGAATTCACTGAGCCTGAGCCGGAGTTACCTGCCAAGGTGAACGGCGGGGAGAGCGCACCGGACGCTACCAACGGTGATTCAGGCATCGGCGATTCGACTGAAGAACCTCGGAATGTGGGGGAGGAGGATGACATCCAGTTCAACATGACCGTTGAAGAAGAACCCACCGATGCTGACGCTACAAGAGGTGATGTTAATGGCAAGAGCTCCTACAATGACCGCAGAGCGGATCGTGGCGATGAAGTCTCTGTGATGCCTGAGGGAGTTCAAGTTATGATACGAACCATTCCTCCTGATATTGGTCGTGTAAAATTGGAAGATGTAGGTGACCGTTCGTATCTATTCGGATCTGCCATCCTCACAGCATCCGTCAGGCTTGTTGCAAGGTCCCAGGATTCGTTCATCTTGCTCTCGGAGACCCTTTGCAAAAGCGCAATTACTATCGCGCTGGCTGGATCCGGTTCAAAGACGATGTTGATATCACTTCGGCGATCAATGATCTGACCGAGAAGAAGGTACATTCTTGCTACCGTGCTCGCATCGGTACCGACCTTTTTGTCCAGATCGAGGGTTTCAAGTTACACGTTTCTCACATCCTCAAACCTTTTACCAACCGTGTCCGGTATGCTCCGGAAGTTGCTAGTCGACCTGAGCGGCTGGAGAAGGATCTTACCAATGCCCGAACGCTTGCTCAAAAACTGGAGCGAGAAGCATCTGAGCTTCGGGCATGGAAACGTCCTGTTAAGGACGATGAAGATGCACCCATGGAAGCTGAGGATGAGGAAGAACCCCGAGAACGGGGTTGTGACGCTGTCGAGGCTCGCATTGAGAAAGTCATGTCTGAGCTCGCGCAACAAGGGCTTGTTGACCCGAGCGACCAGGCAGCATATGAAAGCAAAAAGGTTCGCGGGGTCATTTTACTTCGGATGCCGATCTCATCGTCCTCAGACGGTCGTATCGCTGGATCTCTATCTCGCGCTGCTGCGTGCTGCGTTCAACACGTGCTATTACTGTGCTGTTGTGACCGACCATTTGGAAGAGCTGCAGCGTAAATGCATCAAGCACGAACGGAAGCCCCTGTCCAAGTTGATGATGGACGATATCAAAACTGAAGGAGGAGTGAGGTCCAAGGATAAGACCGACGAGACCATGGACGAAGATGACAAGGATGGCGTCAAGAGCGCACCCAAGGATAAGGATTGGAAGCGGACGGGTGAGCCGCTTCAGCTTCAGTGTGACTATGGTCTCAACTCAATTGCCAGACGAACGATGGATCGAGTGGCTGGATTCCAAAGTGGCGGTACTGATCAACCCAGAAGCCGTCGATCCCCGGAACTACGGCGGCAAAAACTTCGATGAGTGCGTAGTCAGTCGCTTGTTTTGGCCACGCTCATCTTCGTTTCAGCGAGCTCAGCAAAGCTGTTAAAGAGTATGTCTCCCAAGAGGACGAAGGCAAGTACCGGTGCAAAACATGCCAGAAGCTCTTCAAAGCCACGTCCTTCGTCGAGAAGCACGTTGCGAATAAGCACCCTGAATTGATCAAAACTCTGGATGATGTGAGAGAACCATGTGTGTGCAGTCCGTTAGCTAGTGCTTACCCTTGACTTCTAGATTCCGTTTTTCAACAACTTCGTCCTCGATCCACATCGTATACAGCCTTTCAGTCATCCGCCACCGGTCAGTGCCATGGGTCCCAATCAACTGGTGCCTCCTCAGGCCTACGGGCTGCAAGGCACTGGACCCGAGTTCAGGGACTACCGGGACCAGCAGCAATATGGCAAAATGCATCCTCATGCCAACAACGGTCATCATCATAACCACCGGCGGGACGAGGGACCCAATAACCGCCGACTGACTGATCGACTGGGGGGCTTCGCGGAACTACCCGCTAAACCTGCCGGCCTTGACCAAGCCTTATCGAGCGGAAATGGCAATACACAGGCGCGGAGGAACACTCGTGGTCCGTCGAGTGGTACCGCAGGACCTCCGCCTCCGCCACCGCCGGATGCAAAAGAGGACCCTCGAGCTGCTGCTGGGCGCCGCGTCAGCTACCATGACATGGATTTGGTCGCAGAGGTAAATCCATAATCTGCCAGTGGCTTCAACCCATGCTGATATATGTATCCAGGGCGACGTTGAACTATCTTACTAGTAGCCTATCTCAAAACGCTTGTACACACACATAAAGATAGGGCAGTTGACTATCCCCCCCAAGCTCACCACATATCTTGAGACTGTCTGTAAAATCAGTACTACGCACGCCCCACGTGGAGAGTGGCATATCCAGCAAGGTCTCCACAAATTTCATTTTGGGTGGTGCTGGTGAGAGAGACAGCGCCGGCGGCTTGATGACAACAACGCCAAAGCCGAGATTTTGGCAGCTGTTCGTGTTAGCCGGCCTCGTTCCCTCCACTCTTCCAATCGCTGTCGGACCCCATTTCTCGGTGGATTGTGATTCTCGGCGTTCTATCGCCTGCAGAAACTCGACGGGTGCCCTGATACGGCCGTCGGCTCTCTCCACACACGCACGTCAGCACACTCCAATTCTCGGCCACGAGCGCGCACCACTTTCTTTGAGCAGACGGGAGGAGTACTTATAATCAAGACAGGTGTTGAAGGGCTCACAGGCGTGCTGTCCTTGGACGACACCCTATCGGAATCGGTCCTGTTCACTGCGCGCACTGAGGCGTGGACTCACTCCCTAGCATGTCGGGGGAAGTAGAACAGGCTCGTCCAGGGCCATTGGAGCTGGTGGAAGACAACGGGGGCTGGAAAGGCGAGTTGAGCGAAGCTGCCGAGTGGGCTAGGGACGACGTCGCGAATCCGCAGCCGACATTTACATTCGTGCGCCGCGCAGGCGATGTTGCGCAACAGCAGCAGCAGCAGCCATCGGGGCCTCCTACGCCTTCTGAGGTTCCGGACGACTCGGACGCAGATGAGGAACGTAATGATACACCGACGACCAATTCGCCTCGCGCCCATCCGCGCTTCTCCCGCGCATTTTCGCTCCCTCAGCTCGGTCGACTCCAGAATCCCCACCGCCCCAGCTTGAGTCAGCTTCGCACGTCGGGAGTATCTGATCCAGGACGCCAACATCGTATCAGTTCTTTGAGCTGTCGCTGGAGCTTGCGGATATGGTGCAGATGGCCATCCAGACGCTGCTGCAGATCTCGCCCCCACAAGTGCTCGACTCCACGAAAGAGCAATTTTCGGCTTGCGCTCTGTCGGTACCGACGCCATCCGTTAATGCCCTTTTCACGGCCATGCGCAATCTCAATTACTTCTCTGCCAATATCCCGGCATTTTGCGAAGAGCCGCCGGAAGCGCCGGCCTGGGGCGCTCCACCGCTTATCTTGCCGACAGAATTCGATCTCGGAGAGCTGTTGCAAAGTGTTGGTGATGTGATGAGTGGGGCCGCTGCTCAAGCTGGGATCGACCTTGTGCTTTATCATGGCGACCTTAGCCTGAAGTATGCCTGGGTGAGAGGCTCAGAAAGCGGGCTCACGGTTACGTTGTCTCATGTAAGCTTTCTTCCCCGCATGTCCCACATCATCTGACTTTCCACAAGATTTTGCGCCAAATCATATCTGTGTCGCATCCAGGAGACGCCATCGAAGTTGGGCTGTTTATCGGGTTTGCCCCAGCACCTGGACAGGAGATTTTGATTTCCGACGACCTGGAGCCGGTCCCGGATGCCATCACATCTTCACCCGTCTCAGAAGAAGGACCCATCCATTGCACAATCCAGATCGCTCACAAACACCGTGCGTCTTACGATGGGATTCGAAAGGACCCGCACTTCTCCAGTCTGATCCTCCGTCGGCTGCTGCGTCTGATCGGTGGACAGCTCTCCCATGACCTGCCGTCCTCGACGAATGTCCGTACTTGCGAGCTTTCGCTCACAATGGAGCGAGCCTCCCGAGGGGGTTCTAGCCCATCACGCTCAGAGAACAGTGCTGGCAAAGAGGAGCCGACTTTAGAAGAGTTAACCGCTTTCGCGGAGACGTTGAAAGGCGCGAAGGTTGCCTTGCACTCCTCTTCCAAGGGGTCATTTGCGCAGCACGTCACGAGATATCTGGCTGACTGGGGTATGGATGTGAGCCACATACCGACAGATGGAGAGGCGGAAACGGAGGTCGTGGGTGGTTCCCCGAGGGCGGCCGCTGCTGTACCCGCCTTCACATCTGATGCACCAGGCCCAGCCCCTGCGAAAGTTGAAGTTCCCACACGATCCCAGCGCTTGTCATTTGTTTTCATCGATGACGATGTCGTTGTTCTCAAAGATCGTCTGGAGTCTTTACGACGCGACACGCCGTACCCGCTGACATTAAAACGACCGCCTCTTGCACAGCATACTCGCCGGTCCACGAGCCAAGTCCCGCGGCTGTCCAACCCTCTGCCTGCGTCCTCGGTTGTGATCGTGCACTTTACGAGCCTGGCCAACTTCAAAGTGGTCAAGGATGTGCTGCAGTCCGTTTTGTCTACGTTCTTGGGTACCTCGACGCCCATCCCCGAAGTGATGATCGTGCCCAAGCCAGCTGGGCCGCAGCGGGTGCTGACCCAGCTGCACATGGCTGTGACCCGACCGCCCGTGGATCCGTTCTTCCTGCCGATTGCGACCTCCCCCTCCTCGCCGTCGCCGTCGTTCATGAGCTACGCTTCGGCGCGGTCTCCGGCTTCTGGACTACGACCGCCTAGTGCTCGAAGCAATTCGGACCGCTCCACCCGGTCTGGCACGAAGGAGGGCCTCACTAGTGCACCGCCCCCTCCATCACCGCTGGCGATCTCCCATACCGGGAGCGAGTACTTTGGAGAGGATGCTGCCGCCGTCCAGCTCGGCGCCACGGCCAGTTCTGGTCTGCTCATCCAGAGTCCCGGCGCGGCTGCACCATCTGGCATCTACTTCAGTCCGCGTACCAAAAGTGTGAGTAAGCGACCGCAGCCGCCGGTTGTGCCAGCGCTGATGGAGCGAGATCGCGGGCAGTTGACACTGCCCAGTGCGAGTCGGCGCTCGTCGCTGTCCAGGGTCGTGAGCGACAATCCAACGTTTTCGTCGTTGCATGAAGTGGCTCATTCCATTGAGCCCCCTGTTTTGCCGCCAGTGGCAACGGCGGCGGCGGCTCCAGTAGTGGTCAAGCCAGACGCAGAACTTTCTCCCACCTCGCCTTCAAGCTCCACGAGTCCGACATCGTTCAGAAGACCAGTGCGGCGGCGGACCGTGACTCCGGATCCCAAGACTCTCGAGAAGGCCAGTGCGCCACTGATGGACATCGTCCCGCCGATCAACGTGCTCATCGTCGAAGGTTTGTGTGTTCCTGCTTGTCCATGGCCAATGCTCATTTCGGTTCTCCAGACAACGTGGTGAATCAGATGCAGCTCCAAGGATTCATGCGCAAGAAGAAGCTCAAATGTCAGGTGGCCAAAAATGGATTGGAGGCCATCGAAAAGTGGAAGAACGGGAACTTTGATCTCATTCTGGTACGCGGGCTGTCTGAACAGTTTTATATGCTGCTGAGTTAGTACCGGTAGATGGACATCCAAATGCCGGTGATGGGCGGAATCGAGGCCACGAAAGAGATCCGGCGGCTGGAAAAACTGAACGCTGCCGAGGGATATCCACCAGCCGATGGAAGCTCGACTAGCGGTGCATCCCCATATCGATCCTCCGTGATCATCGTCGCACAGACCGCCTCGTCGCTGAACTCGGACCGAGTCAAGGCGCTGGCGGCTGGGTGCAACGACTTTTTGACGAAACCAGTGAACCACCATTGGCTGAACAACAAGGTGACCGAGTGGGGCTCGATCAAGGCTTTGCAGATGTGGGCCGACGTTGCCCCGCCCGCCGGGTCGGAGACGGGGCCTGTGATGATAGCAGCCAAGGCTCAGCAGGTTGCTGAACGGCTGCATGTTCCTGCCAAACCGAACGGCAAGCGGAGGGAGGTTGTGTCGCTGCCGTCATCCGACAAGCCCCCGCCGTCTGCGTCGCAAACACCGCCAACAACAGCAACGACGACCACACCGGACACACAGACTCCCCCGACAACAACAGAGTCGCCGCCAGAGTCGACGTCTGCGGCAGACTCGGAGTCGCCGCCGCCGGCGAAGTCGTTAGCCGCTAGCCAGTTACCGGCGACGCCGGTCCCAAGATGATGGTACTGGGCGATCTTTGGGCTACTCTGGGTTGGTCTCCCAGTTTTGTTGTCGTCGCCAAAGTTCGCCGGGTACATCAACTTGCGCAGATGAGTGAGTTAGGTTTAGGTTCAGGCCATGCACTGTGGCAGATATGGATGATTACGCACACACTCGCTCTCTATTGCATTTTTTCTCGGGGCCTTACGTAGATGCTAACACACGAATAATGCATACTTGTTTTACGGGACTGGTAATAGTGCCGAGGCTCGCATCGAGAACTGCAGTTATGGGGGAACTGCGCATCGAATCACCAGCCTCTTGCCCCAAAAGGAAAGTCGCACACCAGTAGCACCGTTTGGATACACCCCTCCCACTACAACCGCGATGGCATTGAATTGGGCAATGCTCGGGCCCGACAACGCCCCTCTTCCGCTCCCTCATGAAATGACGATCTCCGCCATCGACAAGGGCGCTGACCTGGTATTACGCGTCCCAGATGCCCCTCCGGCTCCGGGGGCAGCGTCGGGGGGATCCGGCGGCTTCAAGACGCTGAAGGCCAGTGGGAGGGCCTTCGTTACGGATATGAGGGTGCGTCTGAGATCCGTGTGCTTCCCACGTCCCTCGATCTCACTGGATGCACGGTCGCACTGCTAGTTCATCTTCATCAGTGCCGCGGGATCCCCGTTCGACTCCCTGTCGGTCTCGCTGCCGTCTATCCTCTCCACCAAGTTCGAGCAGCCCACCTTCGGCTCGAACTACCTCACGTTCGAGATCAAGCCGGCGGCGGAGGGCGGTCTGACGAGCGGGACGACGGCGGAGCTGAGGTTCAAGGACACGCCCATGTTCTCGTTTGTCGCGACGCTCGAGAAGACCCGCGAGAGGGCCATTTATATGAAACGCCAGGAGACGGAACACGAAGACGGGTTGCGTGCGTTGTCCCCTCTCCCTCCATCTTTCGTGTGTGGTGGATGTATGCTCACTGTTGGGATCCTAGCTGTGTACACATCGCCCGGTGAAGGCCCGTCGACGTCCGTCAGTGGCACCACCGTGCCTGGAGATGCCCCTCCCGGTTACGAACTCTAATCCGTATATTTAAGGGCTGTATGTACTATCTACGCTGTTGCTTGAAGTCAATCTTGAACGTTTAAACGTCGGACTAGGAGGCACGAGGCTGGCTTGTGGCAGTGAAGATTAGATTGAGGCGGTGCTGCTACTGCTCGTGAAACCGCGGAGATTGTCGCTGTGACTCGATCCTATGCTGCTGATGACCCACCAAGGAAGAAACCGACAAAGAACGCAATGCTGACATCCCGACTCTCGGCACAGCGATGCACTCCCAGCCCAAAGCGATGGCTCTATCGACCAAACATCTCAAATTGCCAGTGATCGAGCGTCCTGATTGGCCGCATCATTGTTCATCGCTCAGCCGTTGTTAATGACACTGGCCAGCCCCCTGCCAACTGTTGACTACGGCCTCTCAGGGTATCCGCAAGAGAAACCGATTTGATGCCCAGCGCACGTCCTGCCGTTTGAGCTCCTCTGGTCTCCTGCACCGTTCTCCGCCCGACACAGTGGTGCAATGGATTCTTTGCCTGTCATCTGTGATTCTGTAGTATGGGGGCTTGGCCCATTGGGAGCGCAGACGCAGAGGATGGGCAAGCGACAAACTCGATGCCTGGGATTGGTTGTCATTGGAGGGCCTAGACTCTCGGTCCCTGTTCATTTCAGTCTGACGAACTCTCCATCCATCAGTCCACGCAAAAGACACGAGCATGCAGATGGATTGATTGAACCAACCCTTCGACTCTCCGTCTGTTTGCCCATCACAAGCGCTATCTTTGAGCCCGACCATTCATATCGGCCATCGCATGGAAGTAGAGCATCCGAGGTGTCAGTAGCCGAACGTGGGCAGATCTTTCTTTCTCCTGCAGCGTACCATGGTTGTGTATACATTTTCCCTCGTTTGGATCACGGAATCGAGCATTCGTTTGAGGCTGCCGGTCAGATCTCCATAGTTACAATGAGTTCATCACATACCGGAGTATCCGGTTCATCAACGATCAATTCCGTATTGCTGGGTCGCACTACACTGACAAAAGGGCGGTAACGAATCAGAGCGCTACCCCCCCGTTTTCGTTCTCCCTTTCCCTTTTTTTGCCCGAGCCCCTCGTGAGCCCCGCCGTCTGCTCTTTTCTTCCTCTCCCCTCATCGTCTTTGATAGGCATTCTTAGCTGCCCGGTTGCACTTTGGTCATCGCTTGCGATCCTCCACACATTCTTTTATAGCAGGCTCTTCGTGGTAGTTACTGTTCCTGAAAATGCGTTACTCTTCCTCTATCCTCGCCGCCGCCGCCCTGGCCGGCCCGCTCCTGGCATCTGCTCGTCCCGTCCGCCGCGGCGCGTCCGCCACTGACGCCCTGGTCCTCCGTGCGTCGTCAGGTTTATCGTTATCAATCCTTGTCCTCTAAGATTCCAATGCAGAATTCGCCAACGTACTCGAGCAGCTCGAAACCAACTTCTACATGCAGGGTCTCGCGAAGTTCCAGGCGTCCGATTTCTCCAACGCCGGATTCTCGTCGAGTATGGTCGCAGTGCAGACCATCAGCACGATTGGCGCCGACGAGGCTACACACACATCCTTCCTCCAGCAGGCGCTGACCGACAACGGCGCGACACCCCTCACCTGCAACTTCGACTTCTCGTCCGCGCTCACGGACGTCCCGACGATGTTGGCCACCGCACGAGTTGTTGAGAACGTCGGTGTCTCTGCGTACCTGGGCGGCGCGACCCTTCTTGACGACCCGCGAATCCTCGATGCTGCGGCCTCGATCTTGACCAACGAGGCCCGTCACCAGAGCAGCTTGAACATCCTCTCTGGAACTGGATCCTCTATCCCGTCTGCCTTCGATGTCTCGTTGACCCCGACGGAGGTCCTGGCCATCGCTGGTCCCTTTATCACTGGGCCCTGTGACACTGGAATCACTGGTCCGTTTTGCGTGGCTTGCTTTCCTCCGTCCTTTTGCTCATCTTCTTTGCAGCTGGCAACCCCCTCAAGATCACCAACACTGGCTCCATCCAGCCCGGTACCTCCCTGCAGTTCTCCGGAACCAACGTCACCAGCTCTGTAGGTTTCGAAAGCGATGTGCTCCTGTCTTTGTTTCTAAACGCGCGTCGTAGGGACAATTCTGCAACATGATGGTCGGCGGAGCAACCTTCTCGATCAACCTGCCCATCGACCAGTGTGTCGTGCCCTCCGGTGTCAACGGACCCGTGTACATCTGGATCACATCTGACAACGACCCCCTCGCCAACAACGTCGTCGACCGCAACACCAAGACCCAGATTGCCGGGCCCACCCTGCTCTTCGTCGACAGCCAGCCCGAGATGCTTGGCCAGCTCGTCCGCTCGTCCGGCACGTCGTCCGGTGCGACCTCGTCCTCGACGACGACCATCAGCCCCGACCAGGCCTCGTCGATCATCGCTGGAGCCGGAGCCTCGACTGCCACCGGAGCCGCCGCCGCCGCCTCGACCGGTAGCTCTGCCTCGTCCAGCAACGGCAGCTCTGCCCCCGTCCAGGGTGCCTCCGTCGGACCGTCTCCCGACGGGCCGTCCGCTGATGGCAAACTCACTGTCAATGGTATCACGATGGTGCCGAAGCCCGCTGCGGCCTCGGGCGCGGCGTCGGCTGTGGCTTCCTCGGCTGCGGCCCCTTCTGCCTCGGCTTAAAGCGGTGGCGCTCGATGACGGGGGGCGACTTACTAGGGGCCGCTTTTTCTGTCGACTTCCAGGGACATTTCAGACACCACGGACTCTTCTTGCACGATACCAGCCACATGAACATTATAATTTGAGTGATAGATGCATTCAGATATCGCATTTTCCTAGCTTACCACCACCTTTTCACCGCCTCTTTCTCCCTGCTGTATGTAAGTAGGTTGTAGTGTGCTTTTTCTGGGAGAATATAAAAACGGGTTCAATCTGTCGTACAGGCCTGAAGGAGTCATACTGGACGTCATCTGTACATAAGTAGTAGTAGTATTGGTGTGTGGATGTAAGTGTGGCAAGAGTTCCGGTCGTATTGTAGATCCACAAGGTATCATTAGTCTGTCAAACACTCATCAGTCCTCGTCGCTGTCGCTGGAGGAGTAGTCGTCCGTGTCATCGTGGTATCCAGCCGCCAACTCCTTCATAGATATCGGTCTCGTCGGTGGCTCAGAGTCTGGAGCTTGGGAGATTTCACCCGCCAGGAAATCCTCCGGCTCTTCTTCCATTTCCTCTTCCATTTCCGCCGCAAGCTCCATCTCGAGTTCGTCCATGAGATCGTCCCCGGCAGCATCCACAATCGGCGCGGTTTCAACTTCGTCCCATTCTTCCTCCTCATCAGAGTCAATGACAACGGCTGGAGACGCAGGTCGCGGCGGGTCTGGTTTCGCCGCAGGTGGCGCGATCCAGCCCGAAGAAGAACCGGGCAGCGATAGAGCGACTGGCGTGGGCGGCGGCGGAGGTGATGGCCGCGCGGGTTTGGCTGGCCTTCCAAAGTGCAGTTCTTCCTCGTAGTCGTTGATAGGCAAAGCAGTCGGAGGAGGAGGAGGAGGAGCTTTCTTCGTGACCTTCTTCGTGGTAGGAAGTGGTTTCATGGGTCGGGCGGTCGCAGTGTTGACTGCTCGTTGTGGCTGCTCGGGCTTAGGCGCTGGAGTCGGCTTCGAGGGCTTGACTGCTGGTGGCGGAGGCGGGAGAACAGGCACAGCCTCCATTACATCGTCGTCCTCTTCTTCCTCTTCCCTCTGTGGTGGAGGTGGGAGATACTGGGGGAGCTCCTCGTCCGATTCTCCTTCGGCATCGATATCGCCAAGGCTGCGCTCCACAGGTGGCTTCGTGGAAGGACCACTCGGATTCGCTGCACGAGACTCAATGCGCACCCTCAAAGCAGAGTGAATTGTGCTCACCTCCCCCACTTGTCCTCGTCAGAAACATAGTAGATTCGAGCTTCTCGAGCTTATATGACTGTAGGAGTTAGCACGTTGTCTAGCTGCGACGCGTGTTGAACACACCCCAGTCTCTTCGTCGTATATGAGCAGGCACTCGAAATCCTTAGAGGCCGTCTGTCGTCCCTCAAACTTGATCGACTCTGCTGCCTGCAGTGGATCAGTTACCTCGGATATCCTGCATGCAGGAGCACGCACATTTCGGCTCGGCTGCTCCCAATGGACCATGGCATCTCCCCCTCGTCCGTCATCGACAATAGTGACAGTGCCGGGTTGGCTTGTGTCCAACGACACAGGCTTGAAGTTATCTGAGGCAGGGAAGCTTAATAACGCGTAAGACGGGCAGGCAGGGGCGAAAACGCACATCGAACGGAATAGAAGTCCTGCTGCGGCGGCCCGGAGCGTTTCGCTGGCGGCGTCTCACCCATTCGCACCTTGAGTGCTCTGTTGAGAGAGGAGCCAATCTGCACCTCTTGTGGCCCCTTGGGAGTCCATGGATTACTAGCGCGAGACATGAGGGGAGAACAAGAACCGGATACAGTCGTTCGGTTGATCGAAGTAATGACAATGTGATTACCCCATTTGGATTCTGCCACTAAGCATTTCATTGTTCATGTGCTTCTATGAGAAGGACTAGCGGATGGTGGCGAGGAGCGGAGCATTTACGGAAATATGCTTGCCTTAAGACGAATCGGATTGTCGGAGAACCAAGTCCAGCGCCCAGTACTTATAAGTAGTCTCGTGGTCGACTCTTCGAGATGTTGGGCCTTTTGCGACTCTTTAGATGTAGTACAGGAGGGCGTCCGTCATTGTGTGCTTGAACCAGAGCAATCTAGGCATCCTATCCTTCCGGACGGAAATATCGCGTTCGTGTTTACTGTACCAAAGACGTGATCGGTCCGGATGCGGTCCGAAGCGAGGTTCGAACTGCTAGTGGATGCTTGGTTTCGAGACAGAAGTCTAGAGGACTATCCCAGGAGCAAGTAATTCCCGCTAGAAAGCAATTCAAATTGTGAATCTTTGAATATCAGGCTGTCCTCGGTCTGTAATGCAGACGGGGGATCGGAACCACTCGTGATTCAGAAAGGTCTCAACGCACCTCCTTCGAGTATTATGCGTCCATGAAGGTCCCCCGACGCGCAAAATTCGATTACGCTCGAACTGTGCTGGCTAATGTAAAATTTCAGATGTATCATTGGGCATGTTCCCGTCGCGCTCATCATAGGGGCACGGTGGAAACTCCAATGTCACGTGGGCGTCTAGCACCCTGCATACTCCAATATGAACCACGACGTACACCACCCAGGCCTTGCCTCCCGCCAGGTCTCACAAGAGAGTGCTCGTCCCAGTAGCAAAACCCCGGGCCTTCTCTCCCAGCTTCGCAATCTCAGTAGCGGTTCAGGAACTCTCGGAAGCCTATTCAACTCCAATACTGTGACCCCTCAGCCCACCCCCACGATCGTCACGGCCCTCCCAGCGTTTTCTTCGCTGCAGTTCTACGAAGGTGAGGGGGCCGACATGCACGCCTCTTCTCGTTCCATCTCCGGCTTTGTCAAAGGCGGCAATCGCGCGAGTGTCTTGCTTGATGGCGGAACGACTCCGACACCAACGCGTCCATCCACTCCCCACCGACGTTTTCCAGGCGTCAAGACTCTATTGTCTGGCCTCGCATCGCGGGCTGCGCGTTCGACGCAACCTGTCTACATCAACGTGAAGCAGACTCAGGTGCATACTGAGGAGATGGCCCAGACGGCGGATATGCTAGACCACGGGCAGGTTTTGGAAATCACCATCCCTGACGACATCGCTAGTCTCTCGGATGAGTTTAATCATCTCAACCTTCGCCTGGACACCGGTTCTCGCGTTGATTCCCTCGAGCCTTCGTTAACCCCGTCCACTTCTTACGACTCGTCTGAACTAGACGAAACCCCTCCGCTTACACCTGAATCCATGACTTCGGACATTTCCATCGTACCGCGTGAAGTCGAGCTTCTCGACGCCTACTACGGCGACTTTGAAGAGGACCTTGCCGACGGTGGGTTCCATAACCTGGAGGAGATCGTCGAGGAAGCGTCGTATATGCATCGGCACTCCATGGAAATCAAAGAAGGGAAAAAGCCGGAGCGTGCAGTGGTGAATATCGATTCTATGATCCCGTCTTACCCTGATCTGTGACCCACAGAACTACGAACCTTTGGTAGAAGACCTCGAATCCCCCAATCTCGACTCCAGCGTCTCAGTCGTAGAAGCTCACCCTGCTGACGCTTCTGAGTGGTATGGGCTTGAATATGCACTCGAGCTCAGCAAACGGGAGCGGCGTGCATCGGAGGTCCCTGCTGCCTCTGATTCGTCTATAGGGGAATATTCCAAGGTATGTCTTTGTGGTCTATGTGCAGTCAGTTACCGAAGTGACGCAGAGTCGTGAATCCTGGGCTGCTATCCATCAAGGCAGCATCCATCCTTTCCTAGAAGAAGAAGAATATCATCAGTGGCAGAACTGGCACCATTATCTCGAGCACCAGGGCCAAAAGAGACTCCATCGACTAGGCCGAACGTTTAAAGCTCAGGCGAATGACCTTGCCTGGATATATGCGGACCAAATCCGTGCAATGGACCTGATGGCTTGGCAAAAGGTCCGTTCAGGCTTGTGCTCTCGCAATTGCTCACAAACTCAACAGGAGACTTATGGCCGAGTCGACAAAGGCTTGCTGACGCAGTTCAAGCGACTGAAGCAGCAGAGACCGGCAAGTAGAATCGCACTTGGGTTGCATTCGTTGCTCATACCAACTAGGACCCATATCATTCGGCTGAACGATATGAACAAGAAATCGGATGGTATACAAGAAGATACCGCTCCATCGGCTCACTACGTGAACTGCGTCGTGCAATGGATCGTGCAGGAACTGGATCGAACAGAATATCCTGAAGACTAGACCGAGAAGGCCATGAAAACAAGACTGTACAGTAGAATCTTCTCCGCGCTGATGTGTATTTGAAGCTGGAAACGTCGTATTCCCTGCATGTAACTGTACTGTAGCAACTGAACCAAAGCAAAGAGTGTATCATTCATCGATTCTAATTGGCAACAGGGAGAAACCTGCTTTGCACCATCCACCGCTCCAGCCAGCTCTTGGCTTGTCCCTTCTCCTGTAAGAAAGCACTGAGATCTAGCATGGCGCTCTTCAGCCATTTCCGGATGGTCTTGTCTCGAATATCGCGACTGGCCGCCATCGGCGGCGTCGCTTTAAGGCTCTGCTCGAGCGAAGCCAGGAGCCCATTGACCAGGGCCTGGGTCTTCCGCTTCTGCGCACCTTCAGCGGTTTTCAGATGGCGCAAGCACGCTGAGAGAAGCAGTGCGCTCGACGGCAGATCTTCGTGAACAGGGGGCAGGGAATACACCTCGTACAGTGCCGTCGCAGTGATGACATCCTCGAACGGGCGCTCGTTGACTACGAGTCCGTGCAAGATCCTGCGCCCGGCGGGGACAGTGAGCTTCAACCCGTGTTGTGAGTAGTCTCCGAAAACTTTCAGCGCCAGTTCGGGAACTTTGAGTTCCTCGCACCGACCTGGAGGATGCGGCAACGAGTTAGCGCACGCCAGGGGCAGGGGAGAAAGAAGAGCGAGTTTATGTCCACTCACGAGCGAAATGTTCACTGGTGGCGTCATCATATGGGTGCACACCCTTCGGTTTGCCGTCTGCTCCGAGTCGCGCTTTCCCTTGCGTCCCTAGGCTGCTATTCTTCCACGGGTGCATTAGGGCGACGATGGACTGGAGGTGTTCCGGAGTAGTGGACAGCTGAATGAGCTGCGGGAACACAGAGCGTCGGGCTTTGGAGGATGTCACGGAGGGCTTGGGTCCGATTCTTGCTTCCACAAATTTGTACAATTTCTGGAACCTGGCCTCTCGTTCAGCAGGTGTGAGACCGCGATATTCCGTAGTGGTGGCAGAGCTGGTCGCCACCGGAATGGACTTGACGACCGTGGACTTTGGCTTGGACGGGCCCGAGGAAAATAAGTCTTCCACTTCACCGCCCCATTGTTCTTCCGCTTCGTTCTCGAACGGGTCCTCTGCAGCAGCGGCCGGCTTCTTTTTCTTGAGAGCGACGGGTGTGCGGTGGAGATTGCGAATGTGAGAGACTCCCGGTCGTGCGGTCAGACGGACGGAAGCTCGAGCGAGGCTGGCTGCCAGAATCATGCTGTAGACGTGCGGACTGGGAAAACTTGATCAGTTTGCGTTTCTAGGAGACCAGTCAGATTGCATACCTTCAGTCGACACGTATTGTCGCGTCTCAAGCCGTGGGGTTCGCTCGCTGTTACAGCTCGGAAGAAGAGTCGTGAATTTCTTGTCATCATTGATCTGTTCGGCATCTTCCGCATCCTCTTCGCGCTCACAACGGGTATGCCTTTTTCATGCTAGCTCGTCGTTTGTCTTCATTCTCACTGTGGACACGCTCTTGTGTACGAAACTACTCAGTAGCGAAATCTGCGAAGTACACGGTCTGCGTCAATGATGTGAACGTTAAGGCCCTCGTCTCCGAAGTCTTCGACTTGGTGTTGACTGGACCGCTGTTCCATGTCACCGACGATCACATGCACGATAGGCGTCGCACCATCCGCTTGACATTCCTCCAAGCTCAGGATGCCGCGCGCTTCTATGACGACGTGACTGGACACGATAAAGTCACCATGTACGATGAGAATTTGACCTTTTCTTGAGGGGAGGAGCGGCCCTCGCGGATCGGAAGTTCCGAGACAAGAGCACTGCTCCTGGAACCAACGCATGCTTTAGTAGCTGGACTGTCTCGTGCCGAGCTTCTACGGAAGCTGGGCAGAACGTACGGCTTCATAGATCAACTCGGCGTGACGCTCATGGGAGTGAAAGTCAACTTCTTGTCGGTCAATGCCTGTCGTGAAGTGAAATCAGACGACATTCCCGGAATCTCACACTGACTTGACTCGCAGGCTCGGACAGACCTCATGAACTTGGGATGTCACGTCAAGAACCGGCGAGACCGCCGCACCGTCGCACTAAGTTCGAGAGATGAGGCTCTGAAGAACTTTTCTCGGACTGTCTTGTTGAGAAGATTGGCTCCGACAGTGAGCTTGGCGGCGCTTGATCCCCATATTCGCGGTGGATTGGTCGATCGAATCAATATCGACGAGACAGGTGGCGAGAAATCTGCCGTGTGTGCATCTAATCTATCGAACCTATTCCCAACTAATATGTCACCAGTATATCGACTTCGTCCGGCACTCTGACGCTGCTGCGTTCTTCCGGTACGCTATATTCTACGGATTGTATCTACACGGCCGCCGCCTGTAACTAACATTCGTCTCCTACACTAAGCTTATGCCTCTTTTTCTTCAAGAACGCATCAAAGGGGGAACGACGCGGTGTCTGTCGGTGAATGGATGGCACTCGCCTGAAGAGTTGAAAGCGGTAGTAGAGCGATACGGGATAGTGACATCGGTCCAAAGCAAGCGGTGGGTGGCTATACTAATATTTGTGTCGGGATTGTCATTTTATGCAGCGGCGCACCCACCTGCATTACTTTTCCCCTCATATGGGATTCCTTACGAGCAGAAAGAAACCTTGAGAATCACACGCACTACCGGACCTCTCTATTTGTCGACGATCCATCAGCAGCACCATATGATAGTCAAATCCGAGACGCTCGGGCTCTCCATGCCAACATCGAGAGTCTCCTACTACCGGCTTAAAATACCTCATAGGAAAATTGTATGCATTATAATAATAATATGTGCTAAAGAATACATAAATGCGGAAGGATACACATTGTTCGCCAGTGTATTACATGTTGCAAAGAAAATATCTTACTTCCTGGGTCGAATGTAGGGTAAGGAGCGCGGCGGCGAAAATTTTGAAGGAGCGTGGGGGTAGTAACGTGGGGTACGAATTGGGTTACCAGGGTGCTAACCAGAATATGAGACTAGACCGAAAACGGCTTCACAGATAATAGCGGACCTTAGCTTGATGCCGAGCCACTGGTGTAGAGACGGGGTCTATCCCGAACGTGGTCCATCTTTGGGGAGGAGGCGAGCACTTGAGCTATCGATGGGGGCCGACCGCGCTTCAGGTTTGCAGCATAAGCTGCGGAGGCCGACACCCCACCGGTGGCGGAAGCCGAGGCGTGCCGGTCGACCGTCTTGCTCGCTCTGCGTTCTTGCTTTGCTCGCTGTTTCTCCGAGGCCAGGATAGCAGCCGCAACAACGGGATCGCGCGATTCCGGAATGGAGCTCAGGGAGCTGACAGTCGTGGCAGGGGTCGAGGGCGTCGTTGTGACAGATGTCAGCAGGGATGTAGTGGATGAAGAGGAGGATGCTGTTTCAGTTGCGGACATACGGTAGAAACTGTTGTTCGGGTTCGGGTGTCTCTTGCTTTTGCTGCTGCGTCGCTCCGACGAGGAATCAGCCGTGCTCGAGCCTTGAAGAGATTCGGAGCCCGAGTGAGAATCCTCGGCACCCGATGCCTGGTGAGACTGCGCGCCGAAATCATCAGCACTGCTGGAACGGGTCGGTTTGATCGTTGACGCCGTGGACTTGATAGTATCAGAACTGCCCGGGCGGTTATTCGTCACAAGCCACGTCAAGCCCTTGATCTCGTTGTCCTTCCGCGTGGCATCTTGCTCGAGAGCACCAATTTTCTTCAACAGAGCATGTTTCTCGGCAACATGTGCTTCCGTGATCTTCAAAAGATAGCTGGCAAGTTCGTCGAACTGCTGATTTCTGCGGACGAGCGCCTGCCGTAATTCTTCTGCGGAGGCGGTCGCCATGTCAAAGGCGTCTTTCCCAGCAGCAGGCGCAGGCCCGTTGAGTGGTATAGGGATCTTCTCAGATTTGCTCAGCCGACGAGAGGGAACCGTCGCGATCGGAGATGTTGGGGGCTTGAATGGTAACGGGATCGGTGTCGAGGACAGCGTGTGAGCGCGAGGGCGCCTTAGCGACCTGGCTTCGGACGACGACGGAGGTGTGCCAAGCAGAGTTGGCGAGGGCGGATCACTGGGAGGCGGTGGGGGCAGCGGTAACGCGGGAGGAAGCGCAATCACAGACGACTTCATGATCGACCTCGGTGCTTTCTCTGCAAACGTATACGGCATAGTCGTCGCCAGCGTCCGTCGCTTTTCCACTATTGGCGTATGCATTGGCGGTGACGATTTCGGTGTGTCTGACATGACAGCCTCTGAGTCCTCTGCATCTGTCGAGTCCACGTCAGACTGTTTCATCGCTGAACCGACGTATTTGCGCGCCACACGAGAAATTCGCGATCGACTAGGTGATCGGTCACTGACAGGCGATCCAGTGTATATCCGATCATCCGACCGAAGTCTCAGCTCCGCATTTGGGGACGGCGATTTCGACGTTTCGGATGTCGGCAGAGTGAAGAGTCCCTCGTAGCCATCGAGATTATCGGGCGAGAGGGAGACAGTGATGGTCGGACGAGGAGTGCTGGATCGATTGTCAGATGAGGTGGAATCCATGGAGGTTCCACGGGAGGAACTGGCCGGCGGTGCAAGGCCTCCGGAGGAGGGAGGAGTTTCGTTATAAGGTGATGGTTTGCGTGGGGAAAGACTGATGAGGCGTTGTCGTGAAGGAACGAAATGAGCGGCAATTTTAGAACCAAGGGATGGTGGAGATGAGCTCGAGGCAACGGAAGATCGCTCAGGTGTCTCATGACGATGAAGTAGCAGAGGCACCTCTGGTCTGTACGATTTGTGAGACTGAGGGAGCACAATCCACCCAGCAACGGACTCACAAAGGCAATGTCCTCCTCGAAGCCTTGGACACATTACTGTATCGCGGTTCTCCCTCCGATTGTCGATTGACATGAGCAGCGGCAGCAACAGCAGCAACATTGGCAATGTCGGCGTGCGCCGACTTTTTCCTCTGCCGGCCAAGGAAAGGTATCATACTCCGGCGCCGCGGGCTGGAGGACGATTCGGGTTCTGAGAGGTACGCTGGAGACGAGGATGCAGTGGACGAGGGGCCAGATTTGGGGGCGTCGCCGGCGCGAGGTCTAGAACTGTGCCCTCCTACACGGAAGAACTCTGAGATGTCGGAGGATTTGGTGTGAAGTCGAGCAGGGGAGGGCGTGCCAGACATGATAGGAGAAGGGATAGAGCGGAGACCCAAGCAGCATACGACAACGAAGGCGACGCGCTGAAGCGGAGAGAGAGAGTAGTCAAATAGGCCTGGTGCCGTAAAGACCGTCGTTCCGTTCGCATAAAATGGAAAATATCCTATCGGAAACAACTTGAAATTTGGTTCATGGTGACAGCGTCACAACACTTCACGATCGCGTCTATCTCCATTAGGACTTGACCTTCGGCTTGCTCTTACGAAGCTGATCAAAGCTGATCAATATTTCTTCGGAACTCCCGTGGAATCTTTCGGCGCGTTTCTCTCACCTCGCTCCAGCCTCTATGCCTTCGTCAGCGTTCATGACGAAAACTCGGGAACACACCGTCGCCAGGGATAAATGCTTTTATGCAGCATTCCGAATGCCTCTGCCAAACTACCGTGCTCAGGGATACCTTAGTTGAAGGTGGGTATTGTGTGAAGAGTTTTTTTGCCTCGGTGTTGGCCCCGGCGAGCGTGTATTCGTTTCTCTGAAATGAAAAGCGTCCGCTGTTCTTGGAGAGGGGACCAACTGACTCTTTCCTTATTCCTCCATAGCTCACTATTGTCTCCTTCCTTCTTTTCCCTTACCACGCTGAGGTTAAAACTCTTCACCTAATCTATAGTGAATGAACTAAATTCGATTGAATTCAAGAGGATTCCCAACAATCTGTTGGAAAACATATCAGAATTCGAATGCGGAACGCCCACTGTTGGCTTGCTGTCGACCTGTCCTCCATTCCTCAGGATCTGAGAACAACGTGCAGTATCACATGCCCGGAAGAAACGCGTTCTACAGGCCGAGCAAGCGCAATGAACGTGGCCCAGTCGCTCGGGCACGAACCCTCGTGGGGGTTCCCTATGGAGGCCGGGAATTATATGCTGATAAGCGGAGGACATATCACTGATACGCGAAAGTTTGCCGACATGGCATCAATGTCATGATGCGCTCTATGTCATGATGCGCTCTGTCTGGACCCCGAACGCTGAAGTGTATTACTAGCATTGACACGCCTACGGAGCGTATGAGCGCGCAGCTGTACGGGGAGAGACAGGGGGCTAGTCGGAGGTCGTGGGGAGGGAGCTGCGGCTCGAGCTCGCGCAGTATATTTGTGGGATTCTGATCCTAACAAGGTCAGGCTCGGGGAAATGGGCTTAACTGAAATGGGCGGGGGCAGCAGCGAGCAACAGGGGGAGTAAAGGGACAATAGAACAGGCGATGGGACGATAATGACGACGGAGGACAGGACGAGAGGACGATAGAACGACGGGGAGATCAATATGTATGTCTGTAGCACGAAATGGGGGTTTGGGGGCGATGTTGGGAAAATAATGCAGAAGCAGGCGCCGAGAAAGCGAGATAGAAAGTACTGGGAAGTCACTTTAGACTCTAGAGAGTGGGTGAAGAAGATTTCTTGTTTTTCTTGTACTGTACTACAGGTCTTTTATACTACTGTACCGTGCCAATCAAATCGTCAGGGGGTGTGATGCGTGACACAAAAGGTCAATTCGTCAATTCGTCAGGTCCCCCCATGACATGTGACATGTTGATTTTTTCGTCAGGTCATGCATTCACCTCCCTATGAGTTGCTTGCAACTTGATCTGAAGCTATCTGTGTGATAGCCCCAGACAGACTCAAAACAACACAGGGAAGGGTACACAAGTATTTTTAACACTTCAGCTGAACCCCACAAGCCTTATTTATTTCCGAACGGAAAAATGAATTCGTCACCTGAGCATGTGATGCGTGACATCAAAACAAATTTCGACTTCGTCAGGCAGCCTGTGACGCGTGACTGACGATTTGATTGGCACGGTACAGTAAGTGTGAATCAAATCCAAAGGAGATAAGTAACTTGAACCTCCTGTTGATATGGTGACCATTGAGCTCTATGTTAATTTATTTCTTTAGTCAGTGCTGAATTTTGCCGAAATGAATGAGTCCTGTGAGCACAACAAGGAGACGAACTCCGAAATAGGACCCCGCCGGAGGCATCCAGTGATGATCAGAATGATCACGTGCAACAACCTTGATGAGCTCGCTGACAAATCCATTGAGATCTTTTCGTGCACGTGATCGATTGATTTCAGGGCTAGGGCGCATCACTGCTCGTCAGCATGTATGTACTACCAATGATCATTGAAATCCTGAGAGTCCTCTTTGTCCGAGAACCATGCGTACAATGCATGAGCGTCATCCGGTAACTGGGAGTTGGGCATGGGATACACTTCGGGCTCGATATCGTTGATCATTGCGTTCAGACGTGCGTGATGTTCAGGACCTCCGAAAGGAGACGAGTCAGTGAACAGTAAGGTTCCCAAGTAATGGAACATACCGAGACCATCCCCATTGTTGACTCCACCCATATAATAAGCACCCTCTCCGACGACCCCCTCACCGCCCTGCAGTTCCTGCAAGTTTGGGAGAAGGGGAATGTTTTTATCGACCGGCTGGGTCAGCACATGCCCCCACCTTGCATCGGCACTCTGATCGATATTGTTTGTAAGGGCAACTCCTGCCAGCCCGAAGGAAGAGAGCACACAGCACACAACAACCTCACATGAGTCTGAGCACAGAGGGGGATCCTTAGAGACTATCAAATACAAGGGAGGTATACTACTCACCTGAGCACAGAGGGGGATCCTTAGAGAACGGTTCAAGGATCCATGTGCCCAGGTGTCACACTATATAGTCAGCTGTGACAAGTGACTGATGATGATGGGATATCACTGCCATGGAACAATGGCAGATGACAAGTAGATAATGACAAACCCAGATAAGATAGTGAGTGGCTCAGAGGGGCCAGTGATGGCCAGCTCCTGAGACACCAACAGTGGAAGGCCACACTGGAGGAGCCCAGCGGCCAGGCCAGTGCCCGGCCGGCCAGTGGAGACATTGGAGGCGAGGACCAATGCCCAACTGGGAAGAGGGGTGGTGCAGATGAGCGCAAGGGCATCTGGTACGAGCCTGTACGGCAGTAGACCACATCCGCGGGGAGAAGGCCGAAGTGAAGGGGGAGGAGTGCATACGGCAGTAGCACTCCCTGGTGCAAGGAATCGGGCTTGGCTAGACCGCTTGCGGGGATTCGAGGGAGATGGCCGGGGAAGAAGGGAAAGGGCGGATGTTGGCATGGATGGAGATGAGGATCGGAGGAGGAGGAGGAGGCTGGGTGATCGACAGGTGAGCAGGCACGGGTCGGCAGAGAGGGTGCAGTGGGTCACGTGCATGGTCACGTGCCCAAGGAGCGCGGCGTCCCCTGACATTGTTGAGCTGATCCAACTCCTTGAGGCGATTCAGGAGCTGGAGATATACATCCCAACATGAGTCCCGGTCCACAATAGGGCTATTAAGCTTTGCATAGATATCCAAGATCGCGATCTCGAAGTCAGGGGGAACAAGGAGAAAGACGTCATGATCAGGTGGTGCGTACATCTGTCGGACTTTTTCAATACCGATAGGATCGACCTTGATCTGTAAGGGACTAGTAGTTAGTGGCTTGTACTTGATGAAATCGGACTCGTACCTTGAAATCGAGGATGGCGTAATCCTCTGGGAACTCAAACATGCTAGTCGGAACACTGTGAGGAAGGATCTTGTTACGATCACAGCGCTTTGCGGTATTGTTCACGCGATGCCGATACAGCTCAAGCTCGCCCTGAAGCCACGGGATGAATACCCAACGGAAGACTAAGCTTCCAGCCTTCGGAGAAGCCTCTGGGGATCGGTTCGTTCAAATCTGCTCATTCTGCGTTTCTGACGCTGTCCACTTTGCCAACCACACCCCTCGGAGCGCTTCCAAATCAAGCCGTTGCCGCGAAACGCATGTTCAAGAACAACGAGAATAGCGTCTTGATCCACTTCAACCCCATCGATGAATATGCGCACCATGTATCGGAGGCACATCTCCTATTCTGGGGCACTACCCTTCTCAGTTTCGTTTATTCTTTCGTGCGTAACTACATATCAAAGCATGTCGCGCCACCAGGCGACCTCCCTATCTTTGAAGTCCGCTTTGTCGAGGCCGGCGTTGCTCTGGTTCACAATGCGGTGGCAGATGGCAAGTCGAGCAAAATGATGACATCACTCCGACGATCATATCTCATTGAAGAATTAATTGGAACGGATTTGTTCTCTGCAACGACTCGAGTATATTGCTCACTGAATTTCAGGCAATTTTGTGAAGTACATCAATAACAATAGTGCAGTGCCCGTTCCGTCGCTTCCAGAAGATCTCAAGCTGTTGGCATCGTTCCTCTGTTTTACACAACATGTCCAATACGAACACACCGGGCGTTTGGTCTTTCTTTCTGATCTTCAAGGCCGGTTCATTCGATCTGGCTCACTGTTTCATACTAACTCTATCCAAGGCTCCGGAAATCTCTTGACGGATCCGCAGGTTATGACTTCACCGTGCGCAGTCCACTGCTGTGTCAATCTGCGTGCTCTTGATATCTGACTGGATCATCAGGACTCTCGAACGTGGTCTGTTTGGTGGTGGCAATTCAGGCAGGTTCTTCGAGAAGTTTCCTGAGCAGCATGTATGCTCCGGTTACTGCAAGTTTTTTGGACTGTCTAGTCTCATGTAAGTAGTTACGCTCTATCGCTACTCTACAGTGCATGTACTTGGCCTTTTTCATACATGTTAACGAGCGTTCGGGGTCCAGACAGAGCGCATCATGACATAGAGCGCATCATGACATTGATGCCATGTCGGCAAACTTTCGCGTATCAGTGATATGTCCTCCGCTTATCAGCATATAATTCCCGGCCTCCATAGTTCCCTTGCGAAGCCTCGTAGTGCTCCCAAGTTATTTTCGAAGGTGTGGAACCACCAGACGTGTTCTGTAGAACATCCTTCCCATTCTGTTCTCAACATTCCTTGTACCACACAAACAGATCAGAATCCTGACATTGACAAAGTCTGGCGCTTAGACGGGCGCCGGGCTGATCATGTTCTCGCACAGCCTGGATATGACGACACTGATCGCCGTTTGGGCTGCTTGGAGGCTGACGAAGGCTTTGAAGGAGTGCATGGATTTCTGATCTCTTCAGTGGCGATACCCAATGTGGAACGGTATAATTAATTGTGTCTTGATTCTGGATAAGTAAAGTATTGAATCTTCTGTTTGGGGTCTCCGTGAGAATGAAAGGGCCCGATACTGTTGTCGATGTTTATTATATTGGTTCCGACAGCTGCGGCAAGTCTCTCGCGTGGCACGGAACTATGTAAGTGTCGGTGGACGTTGCATGCGGCCCGTTTCATGCTTCAAAGGAACACTGGCCACCCCAGATCTTCTTTGTGCCACCGTCTGAGGTGGCGCGGGGACTGTTGCTCGAATCTGCCACGTCGAGGCAGAACGCAGGACCTGACTGACGAAGCGTTCCAGCCCTGTACTTGTAAGCGCGTACACACAATCGTCGCCTGCGTCAGGATGAACTGCTAAGCGAGAGGGGCGGCCGACTCTCGGAGATCGACCCTGTTTTGTTTCATTCAAAGAAACGGCTCGGCGCACTTAATCGAGTGACGCCCACCTTTCCTTTGCCCACAGTCCCCGCTGGAGGCATTTAATATCGATAATGAAGAGGCGCGGACAATGCCGAAGACGGCATCATCCAAACCTTGGTTAAATGCAACACGAGACTTGGTGTGGCTTGACACACAAGTATTGAAGGATGAACACTCGCATGGAAGAGAATTCCTGTGCTGACGGCTCCGCGTCGACGCCTCTCCGAGGCCCGCGTTCATCCGGTTGACGTTCAATGACGTTTTCATGATGAAGCCAATGAGACAGCGTCAGCGCGCATGGAACGACCGGCAGACGCGTTCCAAGCATCCCCAAGGCTCATGTGTAACGCCGAAGAACAGATGAACAGAATACGATCTGTCAAAATCGCGCGGCGCAGACAGATATCGACAACCATGGGACGACGGAGTGGAGTATAACATGACCGGTCTGCATTGTCCTTCATCTTACTAGAGCAACAGCAGCAGCCGATTGACGAGGGATGACCAGCTGAATGAGAAGATTCCAACGGTAAGAACGAATTTGCAGATCAATGATCATGTAGGATTTTGGCAGGTGTGAGGCACAACATCGCAATAAACTGAACATGGGCCCATGCTGAGCATGCTCTCAAGTGGCCGTCAGCGTGAAAGGATCCGGCGCTCCGGACCGAGCCTAAGTGCGACACTTTGGTCTTATTGACCAGTTATCAACAAATGATTGGCAGCCCATTGGCAACAGCGACTTTGCCGCCTTTGTGTGCTCTTACTATGTCCAAGGTGGCCCTCGATGACTTATACGGAGGTCAGACGGCTTGAGTGATCTTCCTTCCCAGACACTCACTTTTCAACAGATATCTATGGCGACGACGACCTCGAACCATCCACGGGCGAAATCCAAGGTCTGACATCGAGCAGCAGCAACGTACCCAGCACAGCGCCTGCATCCGCACCGACTTCGCTGGTCAGGCATGACTTGCCTCCCAAGCCCTCGGCTGTACAGAGTTCCCCGCCTTCCTCGTCCTCCATGCAACCATCGAATTCTGCCAACAACATATCGTACTCGGCCCAGATAGCGCAGCAATTCGCCTCTTATCAGCAAACACCCAGTCAAGAGCGCCAGCAGCGGCCGGAAAGCGTCGCCATCCCACATTCAATGCCGGCTCGCACCCAGCAGACCTCGGCCATCCCAACGCATGGCGCCACAACTTACGAGGCCGGTGATACCGTATTCGGGAAGAAACCTTCTGAAATGCACGATCACGGGTGAGTGTCCTCTTTCTTCTGTGGCTGATATATCCATGGATATATGCTACGTTTACCGCACTGCACGTATTCTGGATGTACGCACAGACAGAGACTCTACGTTACCTTGATACTCGCGGTCTTCTCTTTGCTTTCCTTCCAACACGATACTGATACCCGTATCAACTTTCCTTGCGCCTATCCTTGCTTTGCTACTTCGGATCTGCCTCTGCTGTGCTCTGCTACCATCTACACCTTCAATAGCAAAATGTTTGTCGGAGGGCTAAACTGGGACACTACAGATGGTACTGTATCTATGTTTTCGAATCTACGCGCTTGTTGTGACATCTGTGCAGAGGGCTTAAGGGACTACTTCGCGCAATTTGGCAAGGTACGGGATTCCTGTCTAGCACCCGCGGCGAGCTCGGATTCAACGACGCGCAAGGTCGATGCGGTCACGATCATGCGAGACCCCTCGGGGACTTCAAGGGGATTCGCGTTCATGACCTTTGAGGATGGAGAAGTAGTCCCGACTGTGCTTGGGCGAGATCATGTTCTCGATGGAAAATCGGTCTGTCCTGTTGCTCAGATCTATGGCTTGACTGGCTTGAACTTTCTTATGGCATAGATCGACCCTAAGCGGGCGATCCCTCGGGAAGAGCACATCCGCAACACGCGATACTTTGTTGGAGGTCTATCACCGAACACGACGTCAGAGTCTATGAAAGACTTTTTTGGTGCTTGTGAGCGACCATTAAACTTTCCTGCGCTCGGAACCTCAATTGTCGATAGACGGAAAGGTCGTCGATGCGACAGTGATGGTTGATCGAGATACCGGCCGTTCCAAGGGCTTTGGCTTTGTGACATTTGAGGATGCCACGAATTCCGATCAATTGGTTGGCAAGATCGGGTTGGTGCTGGATGAGAAGGAGGTGCGCTCGCGACGTCGTTCTATTTGGTTTTTTCGCTGCTTATGATCATGTAAGATCGAGGTGAAAGCGGCCCAACCGAGGAGTCAGCGTGATCAGGTGCGGCAGCAACAGCAGACGACGAACGCATCCTTCAACGACACGAACTCGCGGACCCCGAGCATCAACCCGCAACAGCAAATGTCGATGATGATGCAGCGGCAGATGCCCATGATGGCGAATGCTACAGGCATGAACAGCATGGGGATGGGTATGGGCATGGGCATGGGCATGAATCCTATGATGGGAATGGGGATGGGCATGAATCCGATGGCCATGATGGGGATGGGCATGAATCCAATGATGGGGATGGGAATGGGTGGAATGAACGGTATGATGGGCGGGGGGATGGGGATGGGCGCTATGCGCATGGGGATGGGGCCCATGACTGGCATGGGAATGCGGAGTATGATGGGACCTGGTGTGGGCCGGATGGCGGCTATGAACGCCAACGCCCAGGGTGCAGCGCGAAACAACATGCGGGGGCAACACAATTTCCATCCATATTCGAGACCGTCATAATGTGATCTGTTTGTGTCTTGCTCTATTCTAGTCGGGTGTTGGAGTCAATTCGAAGCTGTCCTTTTCGCATCATTCCCCCTGGATTGAAGTCTGCTAGGCAGTAGCATGTTCTCCTCATCTCCTTACCGAAGTTTGCTCCGGTTGGAAACTGGTAAGTATCACTCAGATCGACCAACCTTCCTAATTTGGACAACAAGCGGAGCACGTCACACTGTGACGGATGATGACAGGGAAGTCCCTTGCCCTGATGCCTTATGGTTGGTTCTGTGAACACGGACAAGCGTCTTCTATGGCACCCATTGCAAAGAAACAAGTTCATACTCGGCGGCGGCTCACAAATCACGCTCTACGAATGGGCTGCAGAGGAGCAAGAAATCCGACACATCACTTCGCAGCATGACCTGCAGTTCATGAAGGTATGCCAGCCGTCGTGGCCGAATTCCGCTTTGTGAACCAGCGTTTGTTCAGACATTTGCATGGTCTCCAGATCCCTTTTTCGATGACCTGGTGGCGGTGGGGTTGAGCACGGGGAGGATAGATTTATTGCGATTGGAGGCGACGAGGACGCGGCGGTTGGCGGGAGGCACCAGCGTACTATCGGGAGGTCCGATAATCTCACTCACCGCACGCAACTCGCGCTCCTGCAACGCGCTCGACTTCTGTAGACTCGACCCCAACTACCTCGCAGTGGGACTCGACAAAATGCGCAACGATGCCAGTCTGGTGATCTACGACATCGCCAGCACTCGCAGCAAGTTGTCCTTCTCGATTTCCACGCCAAACGATGTGCTCGTGGACTCGCCGAAGCGCCCACAGCCGCTCATCCCGCGCAACGAGCTCCCGCCCCGCGCAGACGCGCGCACAGTGCAGCACCACGCACTCACGGAGGTCGTCACCGCAGTGTCTTACGTCGCAAACACGAACCACCTCGTCCTCGCTGGCGTGTCATCCCGCTGGCTCCGGTTGCTCGACGTCCGGACGGCGGCGCCTGCGATCACGAGCGTCGCGGCGAAAGTGCAGAGCATAGTGACTGACCCGTCCGACCCGCACCGCGTCGCGACGTTTGGTGAAGGGTTCGTGAGCGTCTGGGACACGCGCAAAATAGCACCGTTGCCAATGCTCAGCTTCACGGAACAGGACGCGACTGGTGATGGTGCGTTCGTGCGCCCCGCGGCCCCTTATGTGGGGATCGAGTTCTCTCGTACACGGCGTGGGACCCTTGCTGCGTTGCACAAAGATACAAATTATGTGCGCTTTTGGGATCTCTTGGGGACGAAGGGAACAGTCGACGTTGGGTCGGCAACGGGATCTTCGGACGGTGGGATGCCTGCTGAGGGATCATCACTTTCGAGCCGGCTCGCGCGCAAATCGTGGACGGCTGGACTTCCCTGGGCCACATCTGCTTCAACAAGAGAAGTGGGCCATAGCTCGCTCGTGTTGTCTGATACCCGCCGAAGTGAGTGGGTGTCTTTGGATCTGAACATGATCTAACTAGTGAGCAGCCAAACTGTTTCCCAAAACCTTGTCGTCCTTTGCACTTGTGCCTCAGCCCACGACATCATTGACGTCTGAGGTGATGGTTGTGTCCCCGCAAGGCGACCTCGAAATCTGCGCACTCCATGACACACCAAAGCAGGCTGTCTGGAGCAACCGTGGGGATCTAGCCGTCAGCGCCGGCCACCGGTACCGCGTTTTCCCTGGGATATTGGATGGAGAGGAGTTGGAAAAAGAGTTTATTCAACAGCGCGAACGAGAGTCTTCTCTCGAGCAGTTCCGCTACGCACAACAACAACAGGATGCTATCAAAAGTCGGTCGGAACCGAAGTCGACATCACCGCAACAGCACATGCTGCGAGGAAGGCGATCAATGCCTTCCTTCGATCCCCGGCCGGTGTTGTTTGGTCGAGGGGATGATGACGGCTTTCCGGCGCTTTCGACGGACAGCTCAAGCACACTCATGAGCTCTTCGATTGCTGCGTTGAGAGACGCGTCTCCAGCTTCAGCCGTTCGGGTCTCGGCTCCGACAGGGATCTCTGCGACCAGGCCGGTCTCGGTTTCCAAGTCCCGAACGTTCAGTCCGTCTTCGATGCGACATTATCCGTACGAGCCGACTCAACGCTCTCGTTCCAACTCGCGGCCGGCGATACTGAAAAGCGCATCTACCAAAGATTCAGCGCCTCCTGTAAAATCCCTCGAGGTGAAGATCCGAGCAGCACCTGTTAGTCGCAGTGCGAGCAGGATCAGAGGGATCGAGCATCTCATTGAGGACGACATTTCCATGGTGATGCGCAGAAGATGCTTGCGAGGTTACAGCGTTGGCAATGTGTGTGCTCTGCTTGTATTAGCTTTGTCACGGGCTTCTGACCAGTCTAGCCATACCACAACACAACCGTCACTCGAGACGATGTAGCTCCTGTGCCCGAGATGCTATCTGGATTGTGGACATGGCTCAACAGTGAGTGCTGCAGTCCCGGCCTCAACATGATAACTGACGTTCAGAAAAGAGGCTCAAGATTTTTTGTGTGTGCCGACACCTCGGCTGCACGGCTATGATTTCTCTTATCAGGGTATCATGGGAATCTGGTTCGGGTTTCCTCATGTTGCACCTCCAACCGAGCAGACGCTCGAACGAGCGAAGACACGCAGTCGGTCACCCAGTCGAGACGGCCGCTCGCCTGCAGATGACCTACATGGCAATTTCCAAGCTGCCTTGTCAGATCTGGCTCTCCGTAACGGCGACAAGATCCCCTGGAAATTTCACGCTGTGAACTCTGCCAAGACATTGCAACGTCAGATTGGACTGAAGCTGTTAGGTTGGAGCCTCCGGGAAGAAGATCTGCAGGCGCACGTCAAAAGGTGGAGGTGGATTTGACCCTGACTAGTGTCTGCTGCTGACAATCATGCTTGCTAGATGGGAGCAGGACGGTCAGCGAACTCGCGCGGCGTGCTGGCTGGTCTTCGCGAACAAGCATGCGCAGGCTCTTGATGTACTCCTGGGAAGCAATGATGAGACCGATAACATGATGTCTGGAACTCTCGCTGCCCTGACGGCTGATCCATCCTCGGCCAGAAACGTCGCTTTTCGAGAGCACTGCGAGAAGCTGATCATCCGGATTCAAGATCCCTACTTGCGGGCCATGCTTACCCATCTCACGCTTGGAGACTGGTCAGAGGTTCTGGATGAGGAGGCTATACCGTTCCGAGAGCGTTTGGCCATCGCCTTGCAGTTCTTGGAGGATGATGCGCTTTCCTCGTATCTGCTGAACTGTGTGGACAACTCGTGTCGCGGAGGGCATGTAGATGGGCTCATGGTCACTGGTCTCACCAAACGGGGCCTGGACATCCTCCAAAGCTATGTCGACCGCTCCGGTGATTTCCAGACTGCGGCCATACTCGCCTCTTACGTTTGCCCGGCCAAATTCACCCATACGCGGGCAGAAAGATGGGTAGAAGCGTATCGGGACATGCTGGATGGCTACAAACTTCACCATTATCGCGTGAGCTTTGACATTGAGCGCGGTGGATTGGTGCAGGACGCTGTCGAGCACGGAGACCGGGCTCCTGTCGACTGGGCTCCCCGACAGATTCTCATCCGCTGCAACTATTGCAATAAGCCAGTGACAGGACCAGATTCCGGGAAACACAGGGTGCGTTCCAATGGTAACTAAATTCACCTCCGCGCAAATGACCTTTTCAATTAGCCGACGACTTGTGCGAACTGTAACAGATCACTTCCGCAATGCTCTGTGTGTTTGATGACGCTGAGCATTGTCCCGGATGCAGTGAGAGATGCGGAGATGTTTTATTCTACTGTCAAGGGTACGTGCGCGCTGTTGGGTCTCAATTCTCTCTGACCCTGTGCAGACACCATTGACGACGCGATTTTGATCTGCCAGACGTGCAAGCACGGAGGTCATGCGTCGCATATCATGGATTGGTTTTTCGGGGAGGATGGACGCTCGCACGGGCTCTGTGCCGTAGCCAATTGTGATTGTCGCTGTGCAGATGAATTTTGATGATTGCGAAATATGATTAGCACCCCACAATGCCAAGCGATCTTTTCCGCTTGCTAGCAGTGACACCGTACCTCAGTTACTGAGTACATATCACGATCCTTTCCTTTTTTCATCAGCCATGTTCATGTGGCCGCGCTCCCTGGGCTCCAGGTTCGTTGCAATTGGGGCATTGCTGGCGCTTTTCCTGTTGGCGCGTGTGACATATTCGAACTCTGACCGGTTCTCCCACTACGACCTCTTTGGGTCCCGGCGGACAGGCCTCTGTCCGCCCGAAGCATACAATCAAGGCGCATGGCTCCGCAATCCGAGCGCGAATATGTCGTCAGTGCATGCAAAGGAGGAGGTATTGAGCTTGAGCGGGTTTGAGGCTTGTGCGAGGTGAGCAGCAACACGTGCACCGAAAGCTGCAGAGACGCGACTCACACACGCGCTGCCGTTGTCCAGTTCACGAGAATACTGGTGGCATCTTGGTGCCGACAGCGAAGAGCGTCTGAACCGGTTCCCAGATGTGACGTCCTGGAAGTGGACGCCGGACAACAAGCAATGTCAGATTCAAGATATGGCGCAGTTCAATCTTTTATCCGAACTTGTGGAGGGCGGAGGGTGGCTACTTATTGGCGGTGCGTTCCAAGCATTCCATTCTTCATTCTTAATTCGTGTGCTCATTTCCACTGGAGACTCCATTACCGAGGGACATTTCTTCTCACTTTCATGTTCGCTGTTCCCTCACGTCCGGGCCACGCCGGACTACGTTGCGAATCCGTACTGGGACCGCGCCTGGCCACAAAACCTCTATCTCGATCCAAAATCTCCCCTCATCCCCCACCTGAAGCTCCCCACCGGATTCTCCATCGAAGAGACACCGCTGGTGACGTTCCGGCGCATTGACGCGCTCATGAGCGAGCAGCAGCTCGCTGATCTGCACCGTTCGCTGCACCCTGAGGCACCGCCCGAGTTCAAGCTGCTTAGCGATGAGCAGATGTGGTCGCTCACGCCGGCTGAATACCTCGAGATTTTCACGGCGCCGCTGCCGAAGGGCAACTACAAGACGATGGTCGTCAGCACTGCGGGGCACTGGACCACGACGCTCTTTGCGGGATTCAAGGACGAGGCGAAGCCCGGGAACGGGATCGAAGGCGTGATCCAGTTCTTCGCGCAGGTCGTCGAGCACTGGTCCGCGGAGATGCAGTCGGCGCTGGACGCGCACAGGCTGGAGACTGGCAGGGAACGCCAGGTTGTGGTCCGTGCGTATCTCCCTGGGCACGAGGACTGCCATGACTGGAAAAGCCCGTGGACGGAGATCAAGCCCTTTGTATGGAATTGGTACAACTGGGGCAGCATCTGGGAATTCAACAGGGAGTTTGAGGTGCGTTCGGTGTCTTCGTGCGCAGCATATGCTTATTCTGCGAGCAGAAAGTACTCAGCGGACACTCTTATCCCAACATACATTGGCTGGGTATCGACCGACCAGGCAGATTGCGACCGGACGCTCATGTTATGAGCGACTGTCTACATATCATGGCGGGCGCTGGTGTCCTGGAGGGCTGGACACATTATATCTGGCATTTCGTCTCCACAGAGCTGCCTGCCCGTATCATTCGTTAAATTCACAAAATCATAATCGAGCTCGAGACTGCGAAAAGTGGTGTGATGATACAATTTGGTGATTGCACTAACCATCCAGCGGAACTCTATAGCTTCTCTATGTCTGAAACCTTCTCCTCTTCAAGGGCATAACTGTCGTCCACATCCATACTCATCGGTACTTCTTTCATCAGCAAACTGAGCAGGAAACCAAGCCCACATATGCCGATCATGACCTGCCAGATCACGCTCATACTGGAGGCAAAGGCCGCTTGGACCTCTGATTTGAGTGGTTGATCGAGGAGATCGATCGCAGGGATCGCTGCATATGCGATTTCGTAGTGGGGTGGGAACTGGGCTACGAAAGCCGGCGGGAGATTACGACTCAGTTCATTCTAAGCAGCAAGTGAGTCGTTTGTCGCAGCAAAGAAAGATAGACACAAACCTGTAAGATCGAGCCGGCAATTGCAATGCCCCATGTCTGGAAAAACGACCGGGTGAAGCTGAAGAGCGCCAGCGCAGAACCCGCTCGGTCAGGATTGAGTGGTGCGAGAATGGGGAACACGGGAGCAGAGAACTGGAAAAATCAGGGCTCGTTAAACTGGCAAGTGAAAAGACTGACGATTAATCCAGTGCCGATGGCCCCAACGACTTGGAACCCGACCCACTGTCCCGTAGAAGCAGTGGCCTCCAATGTGCTGATCAAGCCAAATGCGATGATCATGAAAATCCATCCAATCCAGTTCACTTCTCTGTATCGCTTTCCAGCCATGATCAGGAGACCGGCAATCAGTGCGAAGGGAGCAGTGAGAAGGGCACCGGGGAGAAAGTCCACCGCAGACCGGATAGGCGAGGCACCGAAGCATGCTTGAAAGAAAACGGGCAGATAGTAGATGATGGCTGGTTGCTTGTCGTTAGCGCACGGATCGAATACGAACAATGCTCCGCCGCACCCAAGCTCGCAATCCCGTGAGCCGCAGTGGTTAGTAGCCTCCGAGGGTTGAGTAAGTGGACGAGCCAGAATTGGAGACACTCACCCGCTCAAAGAGGTGCGATTGCCGATGACATCAAGCGGGATAGTCGGTCTCTCAGGCACTGTTGCTTCATAGACCCCGAACGCGAATAGGAACAGCACCCCCAGAATCAAAGTCACCAGAACTGGCGCGGAGCTCCAGGGGTACCGGATTCCACCCCAGGTAAGCCCAATGATCACCAGGCCGGAGCCGAGAATGACCATCGCATTGCCACTGAATTCCATGAGGACGGTGATCGTCATTCAATCTGATGAGCTTACAGCCAGTCCACCTTCGCTAGTTTTTCCTTCACAGTGCCGGGTGGAGTCTTGACGTTAAGGTAGATCGTGACCAGAAGGAAAGCGAGGCCGGTCAGAGGAAGATTGAGGACTGCGAGTCGTCAGCTCGGCCAAGACGAATCGGAGAAATTGTACAAAAGAGCCAACGCCAGGCTTTGTTTCCTCTACTGGCCAATGCACCACCCTGTAGCCTTTGATGAGTATCATTCTTCGCCCCATGCAATTGGGAGAACGGACGATGGGAGGCCCGATACTCTGTAAATGACATGAGGAGATGTTTAGCTGCACATGTGCAATCACGTACAGATGCCAAAGACCACATCAAACCAACTAGACCTTGATACAGTCCCCGCTCAGCCAGAGGGACCAGGTCTGCGATCAAAATCTCAGTTAGATTGAGGATTCCGCCGCCGCCGATTCCTAGACATATCAGCAGTCAATAGACCGTCGGCCTGCAAAAGGCATTCAAATGCCTTGGATAGCTGCAACACACATGAGATGAATATCGGGATCACGAAAAAAAAGTGCGCACTCCTGGCTGCGATCATCATCGACTGTAATCGCGAGTGTCAGCATGGAATGCAAGAAAAAGCTGTGCTCACACACCATGTTCTGGGCTGCGCCGGCCAACGCGCTTCCGATCGCGAAGAGCGCGATACAAATCAACAGGACGGGCCTCCTGCACGCATGGAGATGAAGGACATGAGATACGGCGACAGCTTCGACGGACGTGCCTGCCAAATGCGTCGGCCATACTCCCACTGAGCGGGATAAACGCCGTGCTGCTCAGCGCGTAGGCGGACCCGACCTGCAAGTCGCGCCTTTCGGTAAACAAAAAAAGCGCGAAAACGTTGGACCCGCGACGCACCCATGTGAATTCACCCTTGGTGTCCTTCAGCGCCGCTGCTATAGTCGGAAGCGCCGTCCCAACTGCAGTCAGATCCAGTGCACTCAGGAACGTCGTGACCATGATCGCCATAAAGCTCATATAGAATGCGCGGCTCTTCCCCGACGTTGCAGGTGTGCTCGTATCACCGGGGGGCGTGCTGGTTGAGCCGCGGGACGCCGTCGTATCCTTCTCCGTCGCAGAACTTTCATGTCCGTCGTGCACGATCGTGGCAGTAGGCGACATTGCAGACAGGAAAGAGAACAGGCGATGGAGATGACAATCGTGCGCCCGGGACTTGGGACACAGTCATGGCATCGAGTAAATCAGCACTTTGCCGTCCTTCCGCTTATCTGCAAGTATGGATAACCATATGGTTTCGTCGGGCGATGCCCTCCGTCACTGGGGTTGAGATCACGAGAATAGATTCACCCCAGCGATTTACTCTATAATCGAAGCGGAACAAGTGTAGATGAGAGACACGAATAGTCGGTCCCGGCCATGGGAGAATAGAGAGCCATGCTGTGGATCCGCGGGAACCCTATGTCGGGCATAGATAGACCCTGATAGACCAACTGCCCATATGCCGCGGGTTAGCGCACACGTGCTCAGTGCGTGCCCTCATGTGATACGGAAGTTGTGTGTGAAGTCTGTCGTCATTTGTAAATTGTCCGAGTTGTCCATCATTGGGTGCGGACAAGACCGATTTTGTTGATGAGATGATGAAAGTTGAGCCACGTGCTGAGTGAGTGTTTTTCACATTGAGTTTTTCACATCAATCTCCACATGTGAATCCACAGTCAAAATCTGGAGGCCATAAAATAGGTAGATTAGATAGAAAGGTGCACAGCGTTTCAACCTCTTCTTGTTGTCACTGTGCACCTGTCATAGTTCGGCCACTTTTTCATCTTATCACCGACGATCCTATCTTATCTTGGCACGACTTATCTTATCACGGATCACGGCATCAAACGGTCCGGACTAGGGGTTCCAGGGATTATCTTCATCGATTCAAGGCTGCGCGACATATGCTCCGGAAGGTTCTAGTACAACCCATGACCAGCGTTCCATGCGGTACATAGTCTTATGACTCATTAGTTGTAGATATGACTCAGACTGGATTTGGGTATAAATACTGTAGCTACCTGGTTGTATTCTCCAGTCTTCGAATTCACTTCTCTTTTCGACTTTGTTTTTGGGTTGATTGTCACATAATTCGAAGACTCCCCTCATACCCTCCTACCTCATACCTCTTACCCTGCATCTTGCACCGCTACGCCCGCTATATCCTCTTAACCCTTATCACCCCACTCACCCTTTTACCGAATCATCTAGTCGTCCTCCACTATTGCAGTGAAGGGTTCATATCAAGCAAACAGCACCAGGCCACGGGTAACGTTGAGCCCGACCCAAGCCTTACGGTAGCTACAAGGAGTGCTGCGGAGACCTTCGGGAAAACGCACCTCGGGATCATCGGGCACGTGAAGAGCTAGGCCCGGGATCTTTTTGCTAGCAAAAGAACCCTCCCTCGAGTGCTTGTACAGCACACGATTCCACCATTTCGTACCGATTCCCATCGTCGTCTGGGAGTCCGTCCCCTCCCCCCATCGTACCATCGTCGCCCGATCTGGCGCATCAAAACCCCTACCTCGCCCTCCCACCGCCTGAAGACGAGATCCCCGACCTCGACGAACTGCCCTCCGAACAACCACCCTCGCCTCCACCCCACACGCCTGCCCCTACCATGTCAGGGCATCACCGCATCACCCTCGCCGCCAACCCCCCCTACTTTGATGGCGACAAGTCCAAATACCTGGGCTTTGTGGACGCGTGCACCACTTACATCGGTGCCTATCGATCGGAGTTCTCACAAGATGAGACCAAAATCCTCTTTGTCCTCTCCTACCTCCGTAACGAGAACGGCACGAGCTGCGCTGCCTCGAGATGGGCGATGAACTGGAAGCAGCACAACTTCGATGGCTTCCAGGGACTGAAGGCAGGAGTCACATCAAAGAACTTCCTGGAGGAGTTTCAGAGGGCGTTCGGGGACTCCAACGCGGAACAAGTCGCCGCTGCTCGGCTTATGGCCCTGCGTCAAAACAAACGGTCCTTCGCGGACTACATCTCCGACTTTGAGATGTTGGCCGCGGATGCAGGCTACAATGTGGTTGACACCACCGACGACAAAGGCGAATACAAGAAGGGGGACCAGGATAATATCCTCATCGAGTTCCTGGAGCGCGGACTCAGCAGCGAGATCGCCAGCCGTCTCTACAACACCGGTGTCCCTCTGCCCAAGGCCTATGGAGCGTTCAAAGCCTGGTGCATCAACATCGAAGCCAATGCTCTGCGTGACCAGCTGCGCAAAGCGTCGTATGGGCACCCCACACAACGACCACCTCCCCAGTTCCGTCCCCAAACGGCACCAGTGGCGCCCACACCCGCTCCGGCCCGACCCGCTGCCAACGAACCGGTTCCGATGGAAATCGATCGTACCCACGCCCGCGGCCGCAATATCATCTGCTACAACTGTCAGCAGCCCGGGCACATTGCGCGGAACTGCCCGGAGCCCAAGAAGAAGCGCACGTTCTTCAATCGGGCCACAATGCTGGAAGAAATCGAGAACGGGGACAAGGACAACGAGTTCCTGAAGGAGATTGCCGAAAAGCTGCGCGAGAAGGGTTTTTGAAGCGCTCCACTCCTCTAGCCAAGGAGGTGGAGCGTCCGGACTATGGACGATTTTCTGTACTTGTTTCGATTAAAGATACGGACAATATTTCATCTACATACACGATCTCAGACTCACTAAGTACAAATATTCACGATTTCCTTATTGCCGAGATGGAAAAAGAACGCCAGGAAAAGATAGCTCTAAATAGAAAATACTTACAAGATAAAAAAGATCAGAAAGCTGCAGATAAATTATTTTTGGACTCCTACGTATTTATGGCTCGTGGAGAAGGAACCACGTCAACAAAGACCGAAAAGGGGAGCATCGCTCCGAAGGCTCGATCCTTGGAAAAGGAGGAAGCGCCCAAGAAATCTGCCAAAATCGAGGTTCCAGAAGCACCCAAACGCACCAGGGTGCCAGATGCCATCCAGAGGAAATTGGCGGCCGAGAAACAGAAGGGCCCCCAGCCCAGCAGATTGGCGCAGGAATTGCGCAGTTACCAAGCCGAAAGAAAGAGGCATTCGATGGACGTATATGTCCAGATCACGGGCCTGGACTCAGGGAAAACGCGTGGAGTCAAGGCGCTGCTCGATAGTGGCTGCAGTACCTGCTGCATCGACACCGACTACGCACGGGCAGAAAAGCTGGATATCCAAGAGCTTCCGCAACCCATTGTGGCTCGTAACGCCGACAACACCGAGAACATCAGCGGTCGGATCACGCACTACGTCGACTTGAGAATGAGAATCGGTCCTCATGTGGAGACACGCACGTTCCTTCTGACGTGTCTGGGAAAAGCCCGGATCTTCATCGGCCTGGATTGGCTGACGGAACACAACCCCGAGGTGGATTGGCAGGAGCAGACAATGAGGTTCAGCCGATGCCCAGAGCAGTGTCAAATGAGGGGTCACGAGGAGCACCAAGCGATGATCAACATGGATGCAATTGACCTGGACGCGGGTGCACCGGATCTGGAAGAGGGAGAATCGATCTTGTTGATCGACTTTGGGAAGGAGGTAGACCTACGGCTGAAGGAAACGCCGGCACAGAAATTTGCAGAAGAAGCGAAAAAAGAGAAGGAGAGAATGACCGAGGGAAAGATTCCAGACCAATACCGAGAATTCGTCAAGGTATTCGCCAAGGAATCATTCGACTCGCTACCGGACCGACGGGCATGGGATCATGCGATCGAGCTCAAACCAGGCTCCAAAGCAGTGGACTGCAAGGTGTACCCCTTATCGAGAAACGAGCAGGTCAAACTCGACGAGTTCCTACAAGAGAACCTAGCCAGCGGACGGATCAGGCCATCAAAATCACCCATGGCATCGGCATTCTTCTTTGTCAAGAAGAAGGATGGCTCGTTACGGCCTGTTCAAGATTACCGGAAGCTGAATGAGATGACGATCCGAAATCGGTACCCGCTACCGCTGATTTCCGAACTGGTCCACAACCTGTGCGGCGCCAAGTTCTTCACCAAGCTAGACATCCGGTGGGGATATAACAATGTACGGATCAAAGAGGGCGACGAGTGGAAGGCTGCATTCCGCACGAACCGAGGGCTGTATGAGCCCTTAGTTATGTTCTTTGGTCTCACGAATTCTCCGGCAACGTTCCAAAACATGATGAACGACATACTCCGGGAACTGATCAACGAGGGACATGTGGTAGTTTATCTGGACGACATACTAATCTTCACAGAAAATCTGGATGAACATCGACGAATCACCAAACGGGTACTCGAGTTGCTCCAAAAGCACAAATTATACCTGAAGCCGGAAAAGTGCGAGTTTGAACGCACGGAAATCGAATACCTGGGTGTAATCATTGGACACAACTCGATGCGGATGGACCCTGTCAAGATCAAGGGCGTGATGGAATGGCCGGAACCAAAGAGCGTCAAACAAGTCCAAGCCTTCCTCGGATTCACAAACTTCTATCGACGTTTTGTTCGGGGATATGCGGAGGTCGCCAAGCCGTTGACGCGGCTGACAGGGAAGGCAGGATGGTCATGGGGTCTGGATGAACATGCGGCGTTTGATGGGTTAAAGAAGAGAATCGCGGAGGATGCCGTCTTAGCACTGCCAAATGACACCGGTCAATATCGTCTGGAAGCCGATGCTTCGGAAGGGGCAACAGGATCTGTTTTGAGCCAAAACCAAGACGGCATTTGGCGCCCAATTGCATTTATTTCGCATGCATTAACGGAAACCGAGCGAAATTACGAGATCTACGACAAGGAAATGCTTGCAATCATGTTATCGCTCGACGAATGGAGGCAGCTACTCTTGGGGGCCACAGAAACGTTTGAGATCTTCACTGATCATCAGAACCTCGAATACTTCCGGAAGCCACAAAAGCTCAACCGACGACAAGCACGATGGATCACAGAATTAGCAGAATTCGATTTCACCTTACGACACCGGCCCGGCGCACTCAACCGCAAGGCGGATCTCTTATCTCGACGAGCGGATCACGATCAGGGCAAGAACGACAACAAGGATATCACTCTGCTGAAACCCGAATTCTTCCGGTCACAAGAAGTCACATTCGAGGGGCAAGATCAGCAGCTAATCAATGAGATCAAGGCTACTCGATCAATTGATGGAAGCGTCAAAGCGGCCTTGGAGAAGTCACTCGTCGGATGGAAAAAGGAAGATGGGCTCATCACGTACCATGGGAAGCTCTACGTGCCGAGGAATGAGGAGCTACGAGACAAGATCATCGGACTACACCACGACACACCTTTGGTCGGACACGCTGGGATCAATCGAACGCAGGAGATGGTGGAAAGGAACTACTGGTGGCCAAGGATGGGAAACCAAATTCGGAAATACATCCAGACGTGCGAGGCGTGCCAGCGGACCAAGACCAGAAGAACCAGGACAGGGAGTTTGCACCCGCATGCAGTTCCAAACGCGCCGTGGGAAATCATCTCCATGGATCAGATCGGACCCCTGCCGGTCAGTAACGGGTATGACGCAATTCATGTGTGGTGTGACACCTTCACCAAAATGATCCATGTCGAACCAATTAGTACTGACATCAGCAGCGAAGGAGTAGCACGGTTAACCAGGGACCGGATCTTCCGCTATCACGGGGTCCCCCGCAAAATCATCACCGACAGGGACTCTCGATACATCAAGGGCTTTATGAAGGAAACGAATCGGATGTTGGGCGTGGAAATGAATCCGGGAACCGCATATCACCCCATCACGGATGGGCAGACGGAGCGTATGAATCAGGAGATCGAACACTATCTCCGCATTTACGTCAACTACCATCAGACGGACTGGTCGGAGTGGCTGGGAATGGCGGAGTTTGCATACAACGACAAAATGAACACGTCTACCAAAATGTCGCCGTTCTATGCTAATCACGGATATCACCCATGGAAGGGAGTGGAGCAGCGGATGGAATCAAGGAACGAGTCGGCGGAGGAATTTGTAAAAAGAATCAAAGAAATACGAGACGAAGCAAAAGCAGCATTGGAAAAAGCAAAAGAAAAAATGAAAAAATACTACGATAAACAAAGAAAAGAAGTTCCGGAGTTGAAGGTGGGGATGAAGGTGTACATAGAGGGGGACAATATCGAGACGGACAGGCCTTCGAAGAAGATGAGCGACAAAAGATTGGGGCCATACGAGATACTGGAGAAGGTTGGAGCGGCTGCATGGAAGCTGAATTTGCCGGACACGGACCGAAGACACCCGGTGTTCAACGAGTCACTGTTGACACCCTATCACGAACCACCCCCCCATCGCCGAGAGAAGAGACCCGTGGCCAAGATGATCGGAGGAGCAGAGGAGTGGGAAGTCGAAGAAATCGTGAAAGAGCGAAAAGTCGGCCGAGGAAAACAGTACTTGGTCAAATGGAAGGGATGGCCGCACAGCGAGAACACCTGGGAACCATCACGTCACCTTACCCACGCGAAGGACGTCCTGAGAGACTGGCAGAGGAAACAATCAAATCCGGACACACGCATTCGCCTCCTGCCAACGCTCGAAGCTGGACACTGGGACTATCTCATTCATTGCTACAAGCCCAGGGACGAGCGCCTTCCATATCCCCAACGACAGCTCTTCGACCCTTACGAGAACGTCTTCTTACCCATTGGCCTAGTCGATGAGGACATCGACCCTAGAGAGGGGGTAATGTCATAGTTCGGCCACTTTTTCATCTTATCACCGACGATCCTATCTTATCTTGGCACGACTTATCTTATCACGGATCATGGCATCAAACGGTCCGGACTAGGGGTTCCAGGGATTATCTTCATCGATTCAAGGCTGCGCGACATATGCTCCGGAAGGTTCTAGTACAACCCATGACCAGCGTTCCATGCGGTACATAGTCTTATGACTCATTAGTTGTAGATATGACTCAGACTGGATTTGGGTATAAATACTGTAGCTACCTGGTTGTATTCTCCAGTCTTCGAATTCACTTCTCTTTTCGACTTTGTTTTTGGGTTGATTGTCACAGCACCTTGTCTTCCTTGCTTGTCAGGAAGTCTTTTCTCAAATAGCTCAAAACAACATTGTCTACAGACACTACTCTTGATTGAAAAAAGTTTTGGTGCCTGGTTCATCTGATTTAGGGTGTCTACACCAACACTTTTGCTAATTACTAGAATAAACCCTATTGACCCTACACTGTTGCGCAACATGTGAGCTTGACAGATCCATGATGAGCAGCTTTCCCATGTGATTTCTGTTGGCTGTGTCATTGTTGCGCAGACTTCAGAGTCCATTCGGATTGACCGGACGGCCGTTTGCTGAATGCCAATCAGAGGACAATCACATAACTGTCAACAACCCTGTAGCAAGTAATACACATTACTCATCTTTTCCTCGTCGTCTTCTTTGTGTTGTTGCGTGTTTTGACGCATCATGTCCAAGGCACCGCACGGAAGCAAAGGCATAGGCTACCGGCACAATGACAGGATCACACTCACCCGAACTCTACCCTTTTTGAAGCCCAAGGACATCCGAGAGAAGGGGAATGCTGTATGGGTGTTGATGGACATTGTGAGCATGGCAGAGTTCCTCTCAGAGCACGTCACTGGAGATGGAAACAAGTACGGGAAGAAGCTCATCAAGGAGCTGGTTGCATTTCTGAATACACGCATTGTCATGGGTGGATGGAAGAAAGTGAAGGGCACGGACACCAAAATTGCAGATGTATACAACCAATTCCGTGCTCTGCACACATCTTTTTAGCCCGTATCTGACCCTTGCACCAGATCTTCGAAATCTACAAGGCTGTCACCTATCTCAAGACGCGTTCAGGTGGCAGCTGGGATGACGACTTTGGTGCCAATGTTATCACGCAAACAGAGTCCGAAATCTGGGACCAGCTGGTTCTCTCTCGTCTAGTGTGCGCGCCATTCAGGAACAGTGGATGGCTTCCCTATGCTATCTGGGAGGCACTGGATCCCGCAAAGCCTAAGGGGGATAACTCCTTTTGTCTGCGCATTGGTGTCATTGGCAATGACATAGCGCTCAGTAGGAGAATGGCTATGCAAGGCCCTGCAGACTTGCCCTCAGAGTCTGACACTGGAGAGCAATCACAGTCGCAGTCCCAATCTCAGCCCCGCTCATACAGTCCTGACTGGGACGAGCAGGCTATGCAGAATGACAACGAAAATGCATTGCAAGGCCCGGAGCTGCCGGTTTCGGAGTCGACGGTGCAGCCTCACCTTGAGCCGCAATCCAACGTGCCTGCTGAGCCTGCACCTGTGACGCTGGCCCCTTCTTTGAAGAAGTGTTCCATTGCTGCTGCTCCCACGTCTTCCAGGAAGAAGTCGCATCATGAGGACAGGATCATCGCTGTCAGAAAGTCTCTCAATGTCTTCAGGGAGCACATGACAGCAGCGTCAAACAATGTCACTGAGGTCCTTCGTGTCACAAACAAGAACTCAAGTCCTGAGCAACGAATGCGTGCATTTGCACTTGCAAGGGACAAAGAATGGCTTCCAGTAGCAGACCAGATTTGACTGGGAGGCATTGTGAGAGACAGTGCATTGGCGGACAAATACATGGCCTGGTCAAGTGATACATCTCCGATGCGGAAGACATGGGTCTGCATGCAGCTTGGATATGACGCTGATCATTATAAAATCCTTGCCACAGCATAAGTAGTTGATAGCTAATCTCTGTAGTTGGACTACATGTCAGTGTATCCAAGATCCTCCTCCTCCAAATTCTCATTGTGTGCATTCTCTTTATCCTCAAAATCTGAGTCATTCTGATCTGGCTCCCCTCAAGCTGCCCTCTCAACAAGTATCTGCTGGTATTGCTCCCACATTGCATCTGCAATACAATCTTGGAGTGTGGCACCTGCTGCTGACTCTTCCAATGTCTGTCGCTCTGTTGCAAGCTCTCCTTCAAGCCGCAGCTCTGCCACACGTTCAGAATCCACTGACTGCCCTGGAGACTGATCTGAAGTTGCCAGATCAGGGATATTGTCCTGCGGGTTGTGTTTGAGAATGAAATTATGAATTGCTGCAAGTGCAGCAGGGATGCAAGCCTGGATCTTCATATCATAGCTTGGCAGAATGGTCAAGATACGCCATTGCTTCTTGATTACACCAAAGATATGCTCAATAATATTCCGGGCTTGTGCATGACGGAGATTGAACAACTCCTCACAAGTAGCAGGACTAGAATTGACTGATCAGCCCAAGACTCAAGAACACAACCTTGACACACCGACAATTTCCATTTGCCCACTCCTGTAAGTGATATCAGACGTTCCAAAAGGGCACAAGAACTGTTGCAGTCAAGAGGAACCCAGCATCCCCAAGATAGAAGTATCCATTGGGAATAGGGAAATCCTTGATGCGGGCATCAGCATATAAGAACGCATCTGTGACTGATCCCTCCCAGCCAGATAAGATGTAGATGAAGTAGAATGCAAAGCTGCAGACAGCAAGTACATTCTGTAAGAGAAAACCCTTGCGATTGCGAGAGTTTGAGCGATTGTCAGCAGTAACAGTGCACGCAATGTGAGAACCATTCATTGCTCCCAAACAGTTCCGGAAGAACGGCCAGAACTTTGGATTGTTCTTTAGATAGGAGGCTGGTGGATCCTCTGTTGTAGGAAGTCTGACATATGTGTTGTAGAACTCTCCAGAGGAGAAGGCAATTGCGAGTCTGCGGAATATCCTGGATGCCATCAATTCTCAAGCAGACACTGATTTGGTGAGAGCAGACCAACTTTGTTATTGTTTCATTTGATTGCTGAAATCTTTCACCAGTGTGGCAACATGCAAGCCCCGTTCGACAGATGTAGAGAAAGATTGCAAGCTGTTCATGCAGAGTAACATATTTGGAGTCCGAGTATCCCAGTCCATGCAGCTCAATGAGCAGCATGACAAACACATGTAAATGGACACCAATGAAATGCTGAGGGCGTGCTCACAGGTGAATCTACTATGAAAGTAAACCCAAATATAAACACGTTCACACTCCTCATAATCAGCTTCTCAGTGTGTGAAAGATGCGAGGGCTTTGGGGTGGACAGAGCACCAGTATCACAACTCTCAATAGACACAGATCAATAGTTGCGGAAGACAAAGTCGACAACAAGAATTTATATATAGCAAACAGTGGTGTCTCAACCAATATCTTCTATACGAATACAACCAACACTAATCCAACCACAACCAACAATATCACAAGTCAGAGCTTAATACAAAGTATTAAGATCCCTTGTAGCGACAGCGTCCAGATGGCGACGCAAAGCCCAAATATCAAGTCGACGCACTGCCAACCGGTACAACCAATATACTGAGCCGACGCACTGCCAACTAGTAGAACCAAAATGTCAAGTTGACACACTGCCAACTGACACAACCAAAAGTACTGAGTCGACGCACTGCCAACTAGTAAACCAAAATGCCGCGTCGACGCACTGCCAAGCAAGAAGTGTGGAACCAAAGTTCTCAAGTCAACGCACTGCCAACTGACCAAGACAACCCGAGCACAACTAGTTGATGCACTGCCAAACTAGAGGTGTGGAAACGATCTCAACAAAGCCCAAAGGCAACGACACTAAATGCCGCGACTGAAACCAGATGCGGCGAATCCGACTTTCTGATGTCTCAACTCAAACTCAAATCACAGTAGCTACAAGTGCTCAGGGAGCAACTCGTCGCGACCAGGCAGGGGTAGCAGAACTTCTTAGGGTGGAATCACGCGGCACGCAAATTGTACAAAACAATCTGATATGAGAGTGATTCACAGTCCGTGGAAAGCTTTTTAATACAAAGAAACGATGTGCTACTTATACTGTCTACGACGATGCTTAGTAAAGTCCTGTACAACTGCATAGTAGCTACGCTATCTAAGATCGGTTGCCTTTTAGGGTAATTGAAAGTTGAACGATCAGACAGGTCCTGAGTGATCAGGACCCCGCCCCATAGTCCATATGATACTTTTGATCTGGGTCAACCCACCGTGTCATACTTTTGGAATACGACGTGCTGGATTGGCCAACTGGTATGTCTTGGCGGGTGAGTCCAACGTGGGTGCCCCAAGAAGCCGTATGGCCCCAGGCACGCCAGTCGTTCCTCACATGGTTTGGTTCACGGATCTAGCCCGTGTCAATTTTAGTGTGTTTGGGTATGGACGTGACTCGCCGTGACACTTTGAAAGTGTCACCGCGACGCGTCAACAATGTCCCGTGATCGAGTGGATCCTGACATGTGACAAGTCGTTGCCGTGGCATGATCTGAGGAAACGTCCAACTCAAAACCGGGAGTTGCCGTGACAAGATTGGTTCAATCTCGTAATGCCAAGTCCTGTCCAGTAGTAGTTGTATTATTGAGAACGTTGCGCATTGCTCAGCCCTTCAGCCCAAGTTCCCATCTGCAGAGAATGACCCTTTTTGAGAAGTCGACGCAACGACAGATCCCTTTTGGAGAATTGTCGCGGTCCAAGCGTTCGTCACTAATAGCCCTGAGCCTGGTGTAGACTCATAAGACCAGTTCCACAGTAGTGGTCTGACTGCCTTGCTATTGTTAACACTATCCACAGTTGTCAACTGGGCAGTAGACCCTTAAGCCCTACTGAACGCAACACTGTCAACCGCGACACAATACACCGAGTGGTTCGAGAGTAAACTCTGTAAAAAGCGCAAAAATACGCCCTTACAGAGCTGGTGCAGAGCGTGTCTGGTAGCCAGCCTATCACCGGCATACCTGGCAAGGGAGAATCCAAAGAGAAACCGTGTTGGGGATTCTCCTTGCCAGGCGCCACTATTTATATGATACAAGAACAATAGAGCACGCAGCAACAAACAAAGAACAATGGGAACAATAAGTACAATGGCCGTTGGAGAACAATAGGAAACCGGGACAGTGGGAACGATGGGACAGCTGACCATGTGCCCATCAGAGAGAAGCGCTTGGTGCGGCAGTCCGGGCCGCGGCACGTGACAGCTGACAGGTCACGTGAGCGCAATCACATGCCTGATCGAAGGCAGAGCGGTCCGAAGCGGGGTTCCCCTGACATTCTCTTTTCAACATTATTTCTTGTTGATCAGTGTTGTAGATAAGGGCGTTGTTACAGCTAAACCAAAAACAAAGGGTAGGTCAGATTTGACAACGAGGTGATCAGATTGAGCTAGAGTAGAGTGATAGCACAGCAATGTACCCTGTTAGAAAAAAAATCTTGCATGTGCTCCATTGCGCTGCTGGCCTTTGCCCCAGTGCCCTCCAGCTTGCCGTCCTCTATGACGTGCGCATGTGGAGTGGCTGCAGGCAAAACACCTTATAAACCCCACTCATATTCCCTCCATGTCTCTCATTCTCAACATGTATAATCAAAATTATTTCCGTTTTCCTGCTGCACAAAACTCACCAATTCCACTGTTGCATGCCATGTCCACATATCTCTTGGGCATGGGCCTGATGCCCCCTCCTTCTGGCCAAGAGCTCGCTTGTCAGGGGAACCCCTGCTTTTGTCCAATTATTATAGGATCTTGCATGTGACCGTGCACGTGCCATCTGTCAGGCGTCATGTACTTTGGTCCAGACTTCCTTGCCAAGCACGTCCACATGACCCTCCGGCCCAGGCCCCCATTGTTCCAATGGTCTGGTGATAGGCTGGCTACCAGACACGCTCTGCACCAGCTCTGTAAGGGCGTATTTTTGTGCTTTTTACAGAGTTTACTCTCGAACCACTCGGTGTATTGTGTCGCGGTTGACAGTGTTGCGTTCAGTAGGGCTTAAGGGTCTACTGCCCAGTTGACAACTGTGGATAGTGTTAACAATAGCAAGGCAGTCAGACCACTACTGTGGAACTGGTCTTATGAGTCTACACCAGGCTCAGGGCTATTAGTGACGAACGCTTGGACCGCGACAATTCTCCAAAAGGGATCTGTCGTTGCGTCGACTTCTCAAAAAGGGTCATTCTCTGCAGATGGGAACTTGGGCTGAAGGGCTGAGCAATGCGCAACGTTCTCAATAATACAACTACTACTGGACAGGACTTGGCATTACGAGATTGAACCAATCTTGTCACGGCAACTCCCGGTTTTGAGTTGGACGTTTCCTCAGATCATGCCACGGCAACGACTTGTCACATGTCAGGATCCACTCGATCACGGGACATTGTTGACGCGTCGCGGTGACACTTTCAAAGTGTCACGGCGAGTCACGTCCATACCCAAACACACTAAAATTGACACGGGCTAGATCCGTGAACCAAACCATGTGAGGAACGACTGGCGTGCCTGGGGCCATACGGCTTCTTGGGGCACCCACGTTGGACTCACCCGCCAAGACATACCAGTTGGCCAATCCAGCACGTCGTATTCCAAAAGTATGACACGGTGGGTTGACCCAGATCAAAAGTATCATATGGACTATGGGGCGGGGTCCTGATCACTCAGGACCTGTCTGATCGTTCAACTTTCAATTACCCTAAAAGGCAACCGATCTTAGATAGCGTAGCTACTATGCAGTTGTACAGGACTTTACTAAGCATCGTCGTAGACAGTATAAGTAGCACATCGTTTCTTTGTATTAAAAAGCTTTCCACGGACTGTGAATCACTCTCATATCAGATTGTTTTGTACAATTTGCGTGCCGCGTGATTCCACCCTAAGAAGTTCTGCTACCCCTGCCTGGTCGCGACGAGTTGCTCCCTGAGCACTTGTAGCTACTGTGATTTGAGTTTGAGTTGAGACATCAGAAAGTCGGATTCGCCGCATCTGGTTTCAGTCGCGGCATTTAGTGTCGTTGCCTTTGGGCTTTGTTGAGATCGTTTCCACACCTCTAGTTTGGCAGTGCATCAACTAGTTGTGCTCGGGTTGTCTTGGTCAGTTGGCAGTGCGTTGACTTGAGAACTTTGGTTCCACACTTCTTGCTTGGCAGTGCGTTGACGCGGCATCTTGGTTTACTAGTTGGCAGTGCGTCGACTCAGTACTTTTGGTTGTGTCAGTTGGCAGTGCGTCGACTTGACATTTTGGTTTACTAGTTGGCAGTGCGTCGACTCAGTATATTGGTTGTATCGGTTGGCAGTGCGTCGACTTGATATTTGGGCTTTGCGTCACCATCTAGACGCTGTCGCTACAAGGGATCTTAATACTTTGTATTAAGCTCTGACTTGTTATATTGTTGGTTGTGGATTGGATTAGTGTTGGTTGTGTTCGTATAGAAGATATTGGTTGAGATACCACTGTTTACTATATATATATTCTTCTTGTTGTCGACTCCGTCTTCTGCGACTATTGGATCTGCGTCTATTCAGAGTTGTGATACTGGTGTTCTGTCCACCCCGAAGCCCTCGCATCTTTCACACACTGAGAAGCTGATTACAAGGAGTGTGAACGTGTTTATATTTGGGTTTACTTTCATAGTAGATTCACCTGTGAGCACGCCCTCAGCATTTCACCGGTCTTGTACCTAGCTACCACTATTGACACTTTGGATTCTCCCTTGCCAGAACTCTGAGATCGGGTCTCAAGGTTGCCCTTACAGAGAAGTCAATTTGAAGACTGGGGAATACAACAAGTGGCTACAGTATTTATACCCAAGGCCAGTCTAAGTCATATCTATAACTAATGAGTCATGAGACTATGTACTACATGGAACACTGGTCATGGGTTTCAGCAGAACCTTCTGGAGGTATGTCATGCAGCCTCAAATCAATAGAGATACTGTAGCCCCGCGTAGGGGAGAAACAAAAATCTCAGCATTACAGAAACGTAACACTGGAAATGTGGAAACAGCCGTGATATTACGCATTACACTGGAAACGGACTTGGAAATGTGGGACAATCTGATGTGCAGCAATTATTACATGTACAGTAACTAGTGCACACTTGTTCACATCCTTACGCATACGAACATGTCCTCGAAGAACAAAAAACCACCTGCCCCCCCCCCAGGAGATGATAGAACACATTGAATACCTTGGAGACCTCATCAACAACCTTCCCGAGTCCCTCCCCGACAATCCACCTGAGTCTTTGCTCCAGTTCTACGTCAATGTGAAGGCTGCCAACTTCCAAGCAAGTTGCACCAAGAACTGTGAATGATTCAATAGCCGGACTGGTCACAAATGACCAAAGTGAAGACATTTGGGCTCATACAGTCAGTGGCTGCATTTGGAGCTCTGTTGCTGAGCCAGAGGACGCAGAAATGGCTGCTCAGTAAAATACAACACGCTAGATCACATTTTGGGCTATTTCAGACGTAGTTGAATGTAACACTTTTTTTTGGGAAACAGCGGCTGTGTTATGCGTTACACTGGAAACAGGACAAGTAGCGCGTGACACATTATGTTTCTCCCCTACACAGGGCTACAGTAGTCTCCTGAACCCCTAACCCAGACCGTGTGATGCCATGATCTGTGATAAGATATCCCCATGTCAAGATAAGATAAGATGATTGATGAAATGATGAAACAATGAAAAAGTGATTGAATTATGACAACGATGATCAGACAAAAGCAGGGGTTCCCCTGACAACTAGTGCTTTATTCTCCAGTCTTGCAATTCACTCTTCTTCTCAACTCTTATTTTCGGTTGTTACACATAAGCATGATCACATGACAAGTTCCAGACTGAACACTTGGAGCACATGACAAATTCCCAAAATAGTATTGTGTGTCATATGTCACAAACCTGTCAAAACAGACAGGCAGACCCAAAGACAGCAAACAAGCTACAACACTTTGGCTTGACTCTTCTCCTATTATCTCATTAGACTCCTGGTTCCATTTTCCTCTTCTGCATTCTGCAAATTTACCCTCACCTTGATAATGTGAGTTCACAATAGTAGATGCTACTGCTGGGCAACCAGCAATGTGTTTCATGTTATGATTGTGTTGGCACAACCAAATGACAGGGATCTCAACTTTCACTGTCCACCACACTCTCTGCCTGCAGCCCTCTTTGTTGATTTGCAATTGTGTTTGCAACTCTCATTGAGCTACACATGGTTTTGTTCAACCTATCTATGAAGCACTGTATTGCATACCACAACATGTGCTTGGCAAAATCCATGGTCCAAGTCCTTCAATCCCTCTGCGTCTTCTCATGCTCAGCTCTCTTGATGCATTGTTGTAATATTGACTTGCTTACTAGAATCCTGCTGTTCTACTGAAAATCAAATCACCACACATCCTCCTCATGGATATTGAAAATGGCAAGTAGCTTTCTTTTATATGCGGTGTCCTTGGCACACTGTGCATGACTCATTACCAGTTGTAGACACTCTGCCCCAATTGGGCCAAGGCCATCAGGAGAGTGTCCAAACAAGTAGCATCAAACTCAAAGAGGCAGTGAGTCGTATCTCATCTATCCATGTCTCGTTTCTCACCATCGGCTGTCTGCAGGGCTCTTCACATGCTATCGAGAACTCCGCTCCTCCGCTATACCCGAATATACTCAAAATTTCACGCGACCCTGGATTGCATATCCCGCTGAAACGCAAACGGGACGATTTCTGCTACGAACAGGACCCCGACTCTGGTTTAACAAGGGTACGCCGACACGGATTTTCGAATCTGTGGTTTCTGAGGTTATCTTAGCCGGATGTCGTCCTTTTTCCTCTCACTTCTCTGCTAGAGCCACCAGATGACGAGTCGGAGGAGGATATCGACTTGGCCATCGTGACATCGGGAGCTACGCCGCCCCAGGGTGCTCGCCCGCTCTCCTTCAACGGACTGAAATCCCCATCTGCGACTCCCCGGGAGCCCGTGTCTAGTGCCTTGGGAAGGTCTGCTCTCGCGTCCCCACTCGAACCGCCTGCTGCAACTCCATTGTTCAATGTCCCCCAGCCCCGAGACGTGTCTATGTTTGAAGTCAATCCGAAGGCACTGTCGTCATTGGAAGTTACCTTGGAGACCTGTTATGCCCCGGTGGGATCCATGCACGATAGCAGGCTCGCAAATAACTTACATGCCGTATCGGAGTGGCTTGCCGACTTCCAGTCCAGATATCGTGACCCGGATCCAATCGAGACCGGTCCTTCCTATGATGTCGCCCCCAGAGCACCAACGGCTACCCTGGCGCAACTCTTGAGTGACACATTCGGGTTGGAGGGTTCGAATATTGCAGACATGGATGGGCCCAAGACGAAGAGAAGGAAGGCTAGCAAAAGCATGCATGCTGCGCAGAAGTTTCCGGAGGCCCTCGACATCGAAAATCTCACTCCGTTCAGCGATATCGGACTCGACAGATACGAGTCAGTGACTCAGTCAGAGAATTCCGCGGAAGCTGGTCTCGACATGTCCCATCCGCGTTCTCCCTCTCACAAACCGAGTCGTGTCTTGACCTGGAACGAGGAACTGCATCCTATTTTAGCCCGCAAGGGCCCGCTTTCCCGCGACGATGTGTCAACACTATCCCGCATCCTGTCCGACATCACCTCACTGAGCAACAACGAAGCCAAGGCCACCGAAGGAGATTTGCGGCTTCTGCATGCAGCATTGGTTGCGCTTGCCAGCCAAGCAGCACTGGATTCCTCGCATTTTCCTCGCCATATTCTTGAGATTGCTCAAGACCTTCTTGACCGCTGGCCAGCAGATTGGGAGTAACAGGAGAAAGAACGTCTATTTTGTCGCAAGCCAGCATGAGCCTACTTCTACGCCATCATCATCACGGCCCATTCATATTCTGTTTGCAGTGACCTCTCGGCAGTACCGACTGCAATCCCCCGTGGCTGTACCGAGTCAAGAGGGGCGGACAAAGGCTTGCAGGGTGATTCAACGTAGCGCGAGAGTTGTAATGAACATAAAGGCGAAGGGCCCCCTGTCGAAAGGGAAATACAGAAGATCATACATAGAACCTGAATTGAGCGGTATTCTTGTAGCTGAACTTGGAATTGCTTCGATTTGAAATCTAAGGGCCAGCGCTCGGCTGAGTAGAATCGGGCAACCAATGAGTGTGGATGCATAGCTCTCAACGCTAGTAAATATGTACTCAAATGAAGGAACGTTTTAGAGCGACAGAAAGAATTCAGGAGCGATTAGGAGCAGAGGTGCTCCTGAGGCCCTGGTCATCGACCACCGAAGCGACCGGAGGACACGGCTGGTGGACAGAGCGGAAATTATCTGGAAGTGGAGCAGAAGAGTTCGTCAAAAGTCTGGAGAAAGGCGTTTGCCGAGCGATAGCCGCCTCGCATGGCTGCAGCTGCACATGGAGATTTGTGACGTGGTGTAACTCCGTGTGAATTAGAACTTTTTGTTGACTGCTTGATTCTGAACCACCCATGCTCGCTCTTGTACAACCTTGCGAACCGAGATCCTCCGCGCCCCGTCCTCCCACTCGCAAGCCTTCGTCATCGTCGACACCTGCTCACAGACAAGGTCCAGTGGCGCAACAAGCAGTGGCCCTACAGACCCCCGCGTCGTCGTCTCGTAGGGCACCTCAGCCGCCGAGACCGTCTGACTCTTCCAAGCCCGACGCACACCAAATCACTTCGACGCCTAGAGATGAAGAGCGGGCAGCCCCTGGGCCTGTCATACAAGAGTCTGGCGCGTTCGATGTGCACTCCTACCCGCCTCAAGAGCTGTTACGACTGCTTGCTTCGCTGCTATCACAAATAGCGGCGACGAATGACAAGCTGGACGCGGTTTCGCCCCTTACACCACCTTCCACTACCCCAACCCGCACTACCCTTGCCACCGTCACAGCGACGGATGCCCCCATCTGGCGAACGTTGACAACAGCGTCACGAACTGCGATCTCCACCCCTGCATCCATACTCACTTTCCACGCGCGTAATATCCCTACAATCTCTCTCGAAGCCTATCTCCTTCGCATCCTCAAGTATTGCCCGACCACAAACGAGGTCTTCTTGTCACTCTTGGTCTACTTTGACCGTATGAGTAAACTCTCCTCGGAGGCAACGGGTCGCACGTTTGTGATTGATTCTTACAACATACATCGTCTCGTAATTGCGGGGGTCACTGTTGCCTCAAAGTTCTTTAGCGATGTGTTCTACACGAACTCGAGATATGCCAAGGTGTGTACTGGGATCCAATTGACGTCGGTGACGCCATTCTTCCTTTTCTGTCCAACCTTAATGAAAAGTCGCTCATCATCGTGTTTCCAGGTTGGCGGTCTACCCCAAGCAGAACTCAATCAGCTTGAGCTACAGTTCCTCCTGCTGAATGATTTCCGGCTGGTGATCCCCCGGGATGAAATGCAGCGTTACGCTGAGCAATTGATCGTTTTCTCCAATTCTGGTGCCGTTCCAACACATTTTCCGACACCAAACGGGGACCATCAACCCCCCTCTCCTCCGCCGTCGTCGGCGAGCACCTCGTCATCCGCATCCCTCACCCCAACCCCTTCTGCGCCATTCTCCGGCTCCAACGCACAATCATCCTTGGCCCCGAATAATACTCCGCCTGCTAGGCCCCAGCCGCAGCCCCGTTCGGCTTCGACCTCGTCAGCGTCTTCGTATGACTCCGGCGCGGATACAGAAACGGAAACTGAAGGCGGCTGGACGACGGATGACGAGCCTACCATACGGCCGACCCATTCAAGTCGTGGCTCGGATGCTGCCAGTCTGAGCTCAGCCGATGAGACGGATGCCGAAGACGGGACCGAAGACTCTTCCAGGATGGATATCGATGCTGATGGTGAAAGGACACCCGAGCATGCAATTGGCCAGCGGACACCTGGCATAGAGGTGCCCAACAGTCCGTGAGTCGGCAGTCTGTCCAGGGCTCGTGCGCGGTCGCTCGTGCTCTGGACAGACACGCACCTGGATTCCGGCATAGCAAGATTAATGCACAAGGCATTGCATTTTCAATTCGAGTCTTCATTTGCATGTAGTTTTTATCCTATGGAACTAGAGTTTGTTTAGGCAGATCACTCACAATACAATACCATGTACGTCTACTAGTTGCTTCGATTCCCCTTCGTTTCGTGTTCTTGGAAAATGTTCGGAGGTTCGGCTCGCCGAGTTGCCGGTGCAAGGCGCGCCGTTGATTCCGCCGAGCGGGGTAATATGTACGCGGGGTAAAATGATCGATGTCATGGACAAGCGAACTTCCTCTTCGTCGAAGAGTACAGACTTCGAATGTCAGGGCCTGTGTGGAGCGATCATGCAGGTCGGCACACACCAGCGAGGCCCGGATGTACGTATGCGGTATCGTTGCTCGTGGGTCCGGACGAGCCTAGTTGCGTCTGTCGCAACTCGGGAAATATCGGAAGATTGCCGGGCCGGTACAAATGTCTTCACGTGGATCTACTATATTGCTTTTTATATCATTCTGAGCAGCTTTTCTTCTTACGCCCACAACCTGCGACGCCCAGTGACATTTCCCGCGAAAAGGCTCCCGAAGCGATCTCCTGACAGTTAACCCCACATCTTACGCTTCTCTCACGCCCGACCATATCTTTCGCTGCACGCGACCCCGGGGCTTTCCATCAGCTCTGTCCAAGACCTCAGGCCTTATCCGACCCGAATATGAGCATGTCTATGGAGGACTTGTGCTCGTCCATGTCTGGCAGCCATGTTGGGCAGGAGGCCTTGGATCTGGCGTCTTTGCAGGTAAGCAGCTCCCAATGAAACACGACAACCAGCTTTGACTTATCACCTTATCCAGCTGCAACTAGCGCAAAGTCTTTTTTGCCAATCACTGGCGGCATCTTCGCGGAGAGATAGTTCTGTCAAACCCTGTAACACGCCTACTGGTCGAACGCCCTCGTCGAGCTTCAGCTGGGGTGGCCCTATGAGCGTTGAATCGGCGTGGCCCACTCACTCACCCCAGGCCTCGTCATCAGTCAGAAGCGCTGATGATATGCGAGACGAGATGGACGAGGATGAGAGGATGGTGGAGGATCTGCTCATCCCAAGCTCTCCCATGTCCACGAAAGCGCACTTGTCCAGGAACCTGCCGCATTCTCCGGTCTACAATCCCATTTCCGAATCACCATCCTCCGCATCTCTTTTCGCAACGACCGATCCATTCTACCTGGCACAGCTCCAAGCGTCCCAGAACTACGGCACGGCTCCGGCATCTGTGTTCAGCCAGGCCGGTTTTCCCTCCCAACAATCACCGTTCATGATCCACTCCAATTTTGCACGAAACGCCTCCGTACAGAACGGTCTGACATTAGACGCGCAGGCCTTATTGGCTACTGCAGCGGGAACATCTCCATCCGCGCTTCTCTGACTAGATCTCCAGGCACTGCCCGTCATCACATTTGTTGACTGGGTCGTTGCTTGATCCTGATGCTCAAGATCGGAGGGCGATCCCAGCATCGCAGGCTCTGATCTTGAGGTGCCCAACTTTCCGTCGACGTGTAATACGGTGTAATCGGTCAGAAGGACGGACTGACGGCACACAATCCACCAGGATACCCTATCACATATTGTAGACACATCCCACTTTGTATAACATCTGTTGCACCCTCCTCTCTGTACAATATCGTAGCTTCTTGCCTAATCTCACCTTCCTCGTCTCTCATTTCGAACTGCGCCGGTTGCTGAATCTAAATATACAAACTGCGCATTATGTCGATACAGCCCTTTCGCTTAATGCGCGTAAGCAAAGATACCAAAGACATGCGTATCGACGACGGGGTCGGTGAGATGTCGGTATGGAAAACAAGTCGCGGGTAAGAGATAGCAATCGACTAGAACAGATCTTCTAATGTCATCTGCTTGACAATGTCCTGAATGGAGGGCATGTCAGCCCAAGAAGCCAGGGAATGCAGAGGCAACGGACCGTGTTGGACACCATCTGCGCAAATTCTTCGAAATTTAGCTTCCCGTCGCCGTCCTGATCCGCCTCCATGATCGTCTTGTCCACGATTTGCTGCAGCTGCTGGTCCTACAAGAAACACCAAAGGCTTAGTTCTTGTCGGTCCAAGCTGCGCCAGTCGGAGCCCACCTTCAAGTTGTTTCCCACCATCATTTTCAGAACCAGAAAGAGTTCGCCGTTAGAGATGAATCCGTCCCGGTCGACGTCGTACACTTTGAAGGCAACTGCACGCAAAGAGGATGACAATGAGATGAAGGTGATCGCAAGAGAGAGGAGCAGTATACGACGGACACTTCAATTTTTCTTCGCGTCCACCCCTGCTGCTGAATGCACTCAGCCCACCGACGAACTCTTGGAAATCTACTGTTCCTCCACCGCTACGATGTCAGATGAGCGCGACCGAGAACGTGATAAATGAGCGGACACCATACTCTTCATCAAAGATAGCAATCATTCGGGAGGCCAGGGGATTCGTAGCAATTTGCGGTATCTGGAGGAACTCCTCGCGATCAAGAGATCCTGAGCCGTCCCTGTTTGTGCATGAACAATCGGCTGCTGTAGCTTCAAGATGACACCACGTACACATCGAGTTTCATGAATCGTTTCTTCAGTCTTTCAAGCTCTGGCTGAGTGACTGTACGCGATATCAAAGCCCGTCACGAAGTAGACGGCTCAATCGCGACCCACAGTTCGACCGTCGTTCCATATCCTCCATAAACTGAGCAGACGCTGTATCGGATTGAGTGCCGTCAAAAGGATCCTGCTATAGGACGCGCACTTGTTTGACCCATGATTGCGGACGCTGCGGGCGGGGAGAGCGAGTGAGGGAGTCGGAATGGAGGAGCACAAGAGCAGAGCGAGTATCAGACCACGTGCCGCCCTGATCGGGCGAACGCTGTTCTGCTCGCGACCAACCACAGGGAGGAGCACCTCGCCGCGCAGTGCAACATCGTGCACTGGTCCTATGAATCGTGCACTCTCCAAAACTGTCTCAAAACGTTCATCCACAGCTTTCAATCTTCTATCTGGAATTTCTCTCGCTCATTCAAGACTCGATCAGCACCGCCCCGTGATCATTGCTCGTCTTCGGCTTGCAAGGAGATGGAAGCATACAGAACGACATGCTACGCTCCTGTCTGACGCGCAGCGCAGCACGATATATGCTTTGTCGACTCCCCCTGGCAAAGCAGGTGTTGCTGTCATCCGGGTGTCCGGCCCCGAAACCGAGCTGGTTAGGACGCGTCTGCTTCCAAAGTCCGCCACCAATCCACCTGAGCCCTGGCGGATGGAACGGTGTCGCATCCGGCACCCTGAGACCGGGGAGGTCCTCGACGACGGTTTAGCCGTCTTTTTCAAAGGTGAGCAACTAAACATTCCTGAGATGAACGAATTATTCATCCCCGGAGCAGGCCCGAAGTCTTTCACGACGGAAGATGTCCTCGAACTGCACATACATTCTGGACGGGCTGTCATTTCTTCTGTACTCGGAGCTCTCTCCGCGCTACCGTTCTGTCGACCTGCGGAGCCCGGAGAATTCACGCGACGCGCCTTTCGTGGAGGTCGATTGGATCTCACGCAGGTTGAAGGTCTAAAGGATCTTATTGATGCCGAGACGGATGGCCAGCGAAGGATGGCACTGCGAGCGGCGGAGGTAGGTGAGCTTGTCCCCGGCCCGGAATTTCCTTCCATTGTGTTTATCCTGCTTCAGGGTGCCACACGGGTCCTTTTTGAGGATATCCGGCAGGAAATCATCGGTTGCCTTGCACACGTTGAAGCGTTGATTGATTTCGGAGAGGGCGAAGACATCGAAGAAGGTGTATATGAACAAGGTATGCTGAATGGTCGTCAGCGACACCTGGTGCTCATCTATGAATGGAGCCCGGCAGCGGGCCGCAGTGCTCTTGGAACGTATTCGGGCATATCTAAGAGACAGCCGGCGCGGTGAAATCCTGCGCACAGGGCTGCATCTCACCATATTCGGGCCGCCGAATGCAGGCAAAAGCAGTTTACTGAATTTCTTGGGTGCGTTGTCCGTCTGCCATCAACGTCTCTCAACTCTCGCAGCCCAGCGTGAGGCGGCCATTGTCACGCCTGTTCCCGGCACGACGCGCGACATCCTACAACTAGCCATCGATATCGGGGGTATTCCTGTTATCGTGTCTGACACGGCTGGGTTACGTCCGACGGACGACTTGGTGGAGCGAATCGGGATTGAACGAGCCCAGACTGCGTCGGTTCCATTCTTGTTCTCGTGCCCTCGTTTGCTGACGTCGGCGAAGAATTCGGTCAGCAGACATCTCGCTGTGTGTACTGGCATGTGACGAGATGGACTATTCTCCGTCAATCCAGTCCCTGATTACGGAAGACACGCTATTTCTCTATAACAAATTGGATTTGCACCCAGATGTATCGGGACTCAAGCTGGGACCCAAGCAGTGGGCCGTCAGTCTGAGAACAGGACGAGGGACGGAAAATTTCCTTGCTAGCTTTGCTCAAGCTATACGCGAAAAGTGAGAGCTGAAGCTCGCAGCTACGCATGGATCTAACGAGATCATAGATATAACGTGGAAGACGACAGTCATGCACCGGTGATCACACATGCTCGACATCGGACTCATCTGGAGTCGGCGGCGAATTTCATTGATGCCTTCCTGGAGACATGTTTGTGGATTCACATCTGACGACAAGCCATCATAACTAACTGCTCATTTAGCTGTCAACGATATCGTGTTAGGTGCTGAGGAGCTGCGATATGCAGCGAAGGCTGTTGGGAAGATCTCTGGCCATATTGATGTCGAAGATATACTCGACGCGCTGTTCAGTGACTTTTGTATAGGAAAATAGTACATTTGTAAATCTCTATCGACGAGCCCGTTTTCCTTGCTAGAAGTTCATTAGTCGCGGAAGCAATGCAGAGATACCTTTACTCACTTGCTCATCCTCCCAATCCGTACCGCGCCTTTTGGTTTTGGACCATGGGACCGAGTCGACATCCATCGAGGTATCCTGTTCTGGGCCCTCTATCCTCCACATCTTGATTGCAGAATCTTCGCCACCGCTCAGCACGACACCACTCTGGAAGCATGTTGACTAGATTGACATATCTATCCCGAAATAAAACTCGCCTGCTCGTCCCACAACAGAGATCGGACGATGCCCGTATGACCATGCGTCCAGGTCTTTTGAAGCGTCCAGGGCGCACCCGGTGAGGCCAGATCCGGGTTGGTCAACAGAGCGAAGTCGCCCCTATGTTGTGTTCAGAGCGTTGACAAGAAACGACCAATCAAACCACGCACTGATTCGAGCCAACGAAGACCTTGAAATCCGCATCTGCCGTCGAATGGCATTTGATCATGTAGTCAGTCAACCATTCGTGTTGTGGGTGATTGTGTAAAGAGGGGCCCCGGATGTCTTGGTTTTGTAGGAGATCCAACTGGAAAGAGTGTTGGTACTTGAAGGTAACATGCTTCCGTGGTACATACCTCATGGGACCAGGTGCTGAATGTTTCCATATCACTAGCACCCCAAATTTTCGCGCTGCCAGGAGACTGGATCCAGCCCGCCTGCGACACGCTGGTGTTCCAAGATCCCACATGTATACCGGCTTCGTCTTCGTCCTCCTCGTTAGGATCTGACGTGCAGATAAGCCCGTCCGTCGATGCGCTCAGAAGAACTCCGGGAGAATCGGGGGAGAATTGCAGGACAGTCACGTCGTCTGAATGTGTAGACGAGTGAGTTCGCAGCGGCGCAGCTGGCTGCCGGGGGTCCCTGAAACGCTCGATCGGTGACTGTGAGAACATAGAGTGCGGATCACACACCAGTATAGTATATGCGCGTCTTCGCCCTGCAGTTGTGTCCCGGCAGCCACGGTCATTCCATCTTGCGACACATCACAGCAGAGCAAGCCGCGCGATTGGCCCAGATTCGTCACTCTTAGGTAGTCAGAACTTCAATCACGACATTGAGCGCGTCCGATCTTACTTTTGATGCTGTGTGAACTCGTCCGTTCATCCCAAACTTTCACACTTCCATCCAAGCCTGTGGACACAAGGGACGGGCGCGATATGTTGGCGACGGTCGGCACACATTGAAGGGATGTGGTGCCCACTTCATGCCCTGGAAAAACAGCTGCGCCTCGCAGAGAAGACTTTTCGAAAAGATGTATCTGATTCGAAGGGGCGGAGGCGGAGGCAGCGTAGAATGACGGTATGGATGCTAGGGAGAGGACGTATGCTTGCGATGGTAAGGAGACAGAGAAAATTGACGCGGAGGTTTCGGAGAAGCTCGCCGATAGCGTAAGAACAGCAGGGGCGTCGTCCATCGCGCACACAATTTCGCGTCCAGGAGAATGATCAAAAAAGCTGCTGACCAAGCAAATGATATCATTGCCGAGTGTCATTGCCGAGAGCGGAAACAGCCGAACTACTATGCATTGAACGAGGAGGCCAAGCCACATCGAAAGCACGATACAGAACCCGCTCGCAAAGATCTGTTATTTCCCTGCGATACAGGAGCGGGAGACTGGGATGCGTTGAGCATTACACGGAGAGATGTGCGGGTCCCGGGCGGCTGCGGAGACGAATGCTTCTTGGCATTGATCGCCGACGTATACGCCTGGAGCCACGTGATGCGATGAGCAACGATCAATCCTCACCAACTCTTTTGTCTTCTCCCGTTTCCTCCTCAAGCACAGCGGTCCTAACCCGTCTCTGCTCTCTCAAACCCTTGGCGCAACGCCGGTCGACGTTCTTTCAACACACTTTCTTTCCCTTACCTCCTGGCGGTCCGGACATATACATATTCATCAAGTACCATGCATCACCAATCTTGTGCGCATATAACTCTTAGCTGGAATCATCATTTATTGACGGCCGCAAAGCCCCGCGTCTCCACCGTTTCGGCCACCGCCGTGACTACACCTTGATACCCGCACCTCTAGGTATTCTTGGCCCCCCTCTCTCATTCGGGCGCGTCTTGACTGTGTTTAGATCTCAATCTTCCGTTCAAAGGAGAGAAAGACGCCCTCCCTGCCATCATCGTCACACCTTCATCACCCTCCTCCGCGCGCGACTTCTCCATCGCCTTCTGGGCACCTCCCCCCAAAGCTTCCCTGCGAGAACGCCTCGTTTCGTATGCGCTCTCACCCCTGCAATACAAAGCGCGCACTCTGATCGTGTTCACCCTGATCCTCTTCATTCTGATCTGTCATGTCGTCACACACCGTCTGGCGCTCCGGCGACCACATCTCGAATTCTCGCAGGCTGGCCAAGCCCATGTTGCTCAATCCCCCCTCACGTCGGTTTTCGGGTTCATTCGATCGATCTGGGGAGGAGACGCGCTCCGGGATGCGAAACCAGCTTTTGTCGTCTCCGACTCTGGTTCACCAGCCTAGATGGACGTTGTCGAGTGGGTTGGTCGAATGTTCGGATGAGCACTTTTCTACTATCTCCTCAGTAAGCCCTTGTTTACTTTTGTACTGTCGATTTTGCTATCTATCGGGTGTTCTGCTGTCCATGTATGCTGGGAGCTGACCGCACAATGCCGCTGCCGACTGGTTCGAAGTGACGGCTCCGAAATCATCATGTGAAATCGGACACGACATGATGTCATCATTCGGTTCGATCCGAGCTACAGCAAGTGCCAACCGCGGCGGAGCACTGCCGGGTCTGGACGTCTATACAAACATCTACCTCGTGGAAAATGCATCGGGCGGAATTTGTGGCCGGTCCAGCGCGAATCTTCGAGGCGATGCTACAGCCTTCGACTGGAGTGGCAGCACGATCGTCTCATGAGATAAGTCAAGTCAGGCTATTCCAAGTGCATTTCTACTATATTACAGGCAAAGACGCAGAAATTGCGTGAGCTCACAGGCTACGTCGCAGGTGCAGGTGATTGTGTGCAAACTGCAGCCTGCACTTCTGGCGCGCACCTAGGCCTCTTGGCGTCGCAGGACATGAAACGGTACTGGTGATGCGCGAGTGTGTGTATTATTCCTTGGCAGATTCTGTACTCGCCAGGGCTCTGCAGGTCTGCGCGTTAAAACGAGACGTGAACGCGAACTCCCACATCCTGGCTTCTTCACATTTCTCTCGTTCTTGTGTCATGACTGTCGCCTCTGTCGTCCGCCTGATTGCTTTGTGTATGTTCCTGGGGCGCGTTTCTGATTCGTGTGTTCACTCAGCGCTATGCAGCCCTTGTCAGCGTATTCGCCCTGTGCACGCTGGGTTTGGCTGCTGCAGTCCTGTCTCTCAGCAAGACCTACATGAGCGGCTACTATCCCTACGCTGCGCTGGCGATCGCTGCAGCGGTGATTACCATTCTGACTATCCCTGCTATGTCGGTCAACATTCTCGTTTGATTTGTCCAAGGGAGCCAATGTAGCTATAGGAGTGCATTGGACTTGATTCACCCGGGCGGACTCACGTCTCAGATAAAATTCGAGCTTCCCTGGCTATGTGCGTCTCCGCCTCTCAGTTGTGCGGACAATCTCAACTGAGATGTGCAGCCGTCCTTGCTGCATTATGGTTGGCAACCGCGAGCTACGCAACAAAGGCCGTCATCGAGGATTTCCCCGGATTTTGCGACGAGATCCGGGACTCTGCCAACCGTTTGGTCGCATGCCAGGAGAGCGCAATTTTGCTCGCGTTTGCACACCTGAACTATTTTATCCGTGCATTGTTTCCGCGTCTTGTGTCACTGCTTTATCTGATCTCGTCTCCAGTCTTCGGGTACCTGATCTTCATCCTGAGTCTCTGCCTTGTGGCCGTTTCGCGCCAGCATACCGGGGTCTGGAGGTCCTCAGTTGCCCAGGCGCCTTTCTTTACGCGTAAAGGTGCTGCTCAAAGTTCCGCTCACGAAGAAACTCGTGTTTGAGTGGGTGGTGCGGTCGATCGATCGAAGGACTAGCGGACAGGAGCAGTCACGACCCTTTTCTGTTTTTCCCATCCAGAAACACTTACGTTCACGAACTAATGACTTTTTGAACCTTGGACTCCGCACGGAAATATCTTATGTATGGAGCGCAAAACCTCGCCATTTATTTCTCACTCTAATCAATGTCGGATCTTTGCGACGCCTTTACTGGAAAAATATTTCATGCCGCGACATCCACCTTGCCGAGCCATTCAAAAATGAGGCTCTGATAGCCATCTCCTGCCTTAGCGCGTCACGGTCGTATCAAATATCTCCGAGCTGGCGCCGTGCTACGGGAGATTCGATGTACAGAAAAGAAAGACGTTGAGGCCCCCCGTCACTCCAGCCTGCAGCCTTGGAGTCAAAATAAAGACCCAGAGTCAGGATTTGCTGGGTCCTAGATCTTTCTAGATTGCTGTGACCAGCATGTGTACGCATTGCGTCACTTTCCGAGTGCGCGACGCATCAAGTCGATCCTTCATCTGTGACAGATGACAGTGACAGATGACATCTGTCTTGATCCCTGACTATCCTCTTTTGCAGATATCCTTGTCCTTGCCTCGCTCACACTCTGTGGTCGACATTGCTTGGGCGCGAATATAGTCGTCTCTGAGATGCACTGGGATTTCGGGGCTTGAATCTGACTTGGTTTGACATAGCGGAGCTTGAACGCTGTCGTGGCGGCACGGCAAACAAACGACGTGCCATCTCTGGCTTTTGTCCCCAAGCGACTGGCGATACTGATTGACTAATTAAACCATCAAGCTGGGAACAAAGCACACCGTCAAAAAAACTCGGAATCCCATGGCCACTTCCCTTTGGTTACCTGGAGTTACTTTACCGCTGCTTAAGGCTCCTGAGAGGAAAGTCGCTGTCTCTTGATGTTTATTCAACCTCGCGACGAGCACAACCAAAGCCTTGCACTACTTCCAAGCATTCAAGAGGCCAGCGTCATTCGGTTTCATATTGACAGGTCACAGCCTGTACAGCAACACGTTCCCAGGAACGCTGGGTTCCGTCTCAAATCCGGGTCCATAAGCGGCAGTTCGCCTCCTGTCTCGATCCAACTATAAAGCGGGCCAGACCTCTCGCCACTTGACTCATTCCCTTCCGCCCGTCCATCATCATGGCGCTCGTTCCCCTCATCCGACTCGTTGCTCTGTGTGCGTCGTGGCCTGAGTGCCAACCGTTTCTGCCTCATATTGATACACTGTGCAGCTCTTGTCAGCGTGTTTGCTGTGATCGTGTTGGGTCTGACCGCCGGGCTCACGTCTCTGACTGAGACATACCTGGGGGGCTACTTCCAGTTTGCTGCACTGGGAATCGCCACCGCGTCACTGACATTGCTCACCGTTCCTGCTATGTGAGTGCTGAATTTCATCGCTACGTTCGCGATACCAACTCGTCCCCAGGATTGCCCTGGAGATCATTCGTCCGGGTGGCTTCACGTCGCAAATCATTGTCGAGCTACCGTGGTTATGTACGTCCCATTTTTTTTTGCTCGGTATACCCCAACACCAACGCGTTCATGTAGCCGTTCTTTGGGTTCTGTGGCTCGCAACCGCTGCTGACGCAACGAATGTCGCAAACAACATATTCATTGCTAGCTGTGGCGACTACTTCAGTGACAAGATTGCACAAGGCTGTAGGGAGACCTCCGCCGTTCAAGGCTTGGCATATGTGACTTGGGTCATCCGTCAGTGTCTTCAGATGAACTAACCTTTGGTAATCATCTGACTTGATTTCCAGTCTTCGGATACACGATATTCATCCTCTCTCTGTCTATCACCGCTGCTTCGCGCCAACAACCTGGGGTGTGGAGGTCATCTGTCGCCGAGGCACCATTCTTTGCTGGTGCACCTGCTGCTGCAGGTGACGTGCCCCCAGCAACTTCCCAGACCGCAGGGACTACCGGTGTCTCGTACGGAGGAAGCGCTCCGGGTGGAACTGATGAGCCCGCATCGATGGGCGGTGCGGGTCCCACGTCAGTCCAGGCTGGAACGGTTCACCAAATCGTTTGAACGGGAAAATAGTTACAGTACGACCTTGCTTATGACTTGCTCTTTCCGTATATTGTACATCGCTCGCACTCGTTGCATTTAACGAAATCTTCCACGAGTACAAGGAATGTCTGCACGCACTTGAGTTTGGGGACTTCGAATTATCTGATCATTTGATTGTGATTAAACGCCGCAAGGGTAGCTCACATGATGACATCGGACGTAACACGTTCGCCAAGTCCCTTATTTTCTGCTCTTACCAGCCAGCAGCTGAAGGGCCTGCGCCATGGACGTGCTATTCATCCCCCTTGCGAACTTGGCAGGCGCGTCTGTCGATCAAATAAAGGTGCGTCTGCGCCCTTCGTGTGGGAAATCTCCATCAGCTAATTCTATGCCAGCTGGTGTTCTGCCTTCTTGTCGCGTATCCGTTGGGCAGCGTGTTCATCCGCATTCCGTCGTCGCGCCCGGAACTGAAGCATATCTTCAACATTGCCATAAGCTTGTTCTTTCTCTACACCCTCAAGCTCTATGGCGCTTTCCTCCAGCTTCTGGGGGATGTGCTTGTCACGTACTTTGTTGCGAAGCACAGCAAGGCTCCCAGCATGCCGTGGATCGTCTTTGTGTGAGTAGAATCTCTCTTGTCGTTTTTGCGTCTCTGAACGATGTTTTTGCTGCCAGTATCGTCATGGGACATCTCACCGTCAAGTGCGTTACCACTCACACAGTAGAAGTCGGGTTAATGTTCGCCCCAGTCACGTTATCCGCGTCGTGTATGGCTTTGGAGACGGCGTTATTGAAATCACTGGGCCGCAAATGGTGTTGACCATGAAGCTTACCACGTTCGCCTGGAATGTGTTCGATGGTCGTCGTCCTACAGAGGTCTGTTGCATCCTGCCGCGTCATTTTGGAAGCGTGACGAACCTGCTTAGGACCTCGATAAATGGCAAGCTGCTAAACGCGTTATTTTCTTCCCCTCCATGCTCGAGTTCCTGGGCTATTGGTGTGTCTGTTTATTCCGGTCTCTGTCTGGTTCTTACTGGAAAAACTCAGCTTCTATTTCCCGGGTATGCTCGTCGGACCATACCTTGATTACGCTTCATATATGGACGTCATCCATGAGACTGCCTTCAAAAACCTCGCTGTCAAAGGCAAGAGCGGAAGAAATGTCCCCTCCGGCCGGAAACGCGTTGCCTATAGCAAGATGATCATGGGCCTGATCTACCTGGCCATTTTCGTCGTGTTTGGTGCTCAGTGGACGTACACCATTTCTTTGACTGAGTGGTTTGTCAAGCAGTCGTTGCTCACTCGGTCAGTGCCTCGCATTTCGCTCATCTGCTGCATAAGTTCACACTCCTCAGAATTGCCGTGTTCCAGCTAGTTGGAATTGTTACACGCATGAAGTACTACGCTGTCTGGACCCTGACTGAGGTTGATGTCTTTCTTCCTGGGTCACGGATCTCATTCTCACATCTTTTGCTCTCCAGGGCGCTAGCATTCTCACCGGGAACGGATTCACCGGAATGTCGCCTACTGGCAAACCTATGTGGAATGGGGCAGCGAACGTCGATGTTCTTTCCATCGAGCTTCCATCCAACTTCAAGGTCCTCCTTGACTCGTGGAACATGAAGACCAACGTCTGGCTTCGAGAATGCGTGTACAAACGTGTGACTCCAAAGGGCAAGAAACCTGGCTTCAGGAGTAGCATGATCACGTTCGGAACGAGCGCTTTCTGGGTGCGTATGACTGACATTGCGTGGGTGGACTGCTTACTCATTTTTCCCGATCAGCACGGTATCGCGATTGGATACTACCTCAGTTTCTTCACCGGTGGTCTGATTACGACCGTCGGCCGGCTTTCGCGAGCCAACATCCGGCCGCTTATCCTTCCCCCTCCTGGCAGCCCGCCGACATTCGCCAAACGGGCTTACGATGTGCTGGGTACTGCCTCTGCCATCCTGATCCTCAACTACGCAGCATCACCTTTCGTGCTGCTCACTGCGGGCAACTCTCTTTCGACCTGGATGCGACTGGGATTCTATGGGCATATCATGATCGCAGGTGCCATGGCTTTCTTCTACTCTGGTGGAGCGAAATATTGCAGGAGGCTGCAAGCCAAGCAGGCGAGTCGGGTGCAGCCAGTCGAGCCAACCACGCCTGTGAACGAGAAGCAGTTTACGATACCGCCGCCGCTGGACCAAATCGTCCCTCCGCAGTAGAGTCAATAGATCTTACGGGCAAAAGTACACTCGTAGATATGATATAATGAAACCCTCAATAATCGTGGAAATCCGATCGGACCCTTGATAGAACACATCACTACCTCATCTCGGGCAGATCGGCGCGCCAGGCATTACTTACTCACATCACTCGAGGACTAACTTGTTCGAACACGAGGACGGCTAATAAGAAGCGAAGCCGTGGTCGGACACGACATTGTTCTCTCCTCAACCTCCGACTTTCCCTGACCCCGATTCGATGTTGTATGAAGACGGTGTGCCCTCCCCGCATGGGCACCATTCCCTCCTGGATCTGGAAGATGACGAGCCCGATGAGCTCTGGAAGGAGGCTCGGAAGCAGTCGATTGCAGTAGGTGGTCGTCCTTGCCCGTCCATGACCTGTATGACTGAGACCGGCGTGAGGAGTCCTTCTCGGACATGATTCAAGAGGCCAAGGATCGGCTCGAGACTCAGCTGCAGAACATCAGGGGTCTGGAGAACGAGGAGTACCAGAAGAAGTCGCTCATCGACATGTTCCAGAACGAGGTATCCGCCATCAAGGCTCTCGCGAAGGGGGAGCTCGATCATGCCGTCGCGCGCGAACGCCTGCAGCGGAGGTTACGGAAGGACTTGCCGTACGCGTCGCCGTCCTCCTCGCCCAGCCAAGCCGTGAACCCGGGATTGACTCTCCGATTGGAGCTGGAGCATGAACAAGCCGCGGCCTTGGCGGAGCGCGGCGGGTCTAATCTCGAGGCCGCATTTCACAGTCTCATGGACCTGTCATCTTTGTCCCATCACCGTGCATCGAGCCCGTTGGCTGACCTAGAAGAGGAGCCCGAGGCCGAGGAGGAAGACGAGTATGATTACGTACCGGCAGTTGAGGAGGAGGATCTGCTGAGACTGGATGACGAGGATGAGGAGGTACAGCTGCCAGAGGAACCGACTACTCCGATCATTGACGCGTATGGGGGCGCATTGGCCATCAGAATAACGCGACTGCATCCGGAGCCACCTGCGGTACACTCGTGGGTCAATGCTAGCGACATGGCGCGCAAGCACGAGCAGGAGAAGCGCCAGAGAAAGGCGGATCAAGCTCAGTTGCAGATTGAGGCTGCGGAGCCGGTCCCACCTCCCGTCAAGTGGGTCTCCGCGAGCGAGGTCGCCGCAAGGAAGACACCGTACACTCGGATGATTTCTCAGGGCTAGCGTACGAGGCTCATACATACATATGGATGCGGATGCGGATTTTTGGTTTGGGCATGTAGAAACAGGAACGCGCATGACACAGGGACTGTGTAAAGTAGTGTGACATAAGGCATAAAGCAAGAACTCTCCACCAGCATGCTGCAGAGAACCCGAAGGGAAAGACGCTTTAGACCTTGAAACCCTTGGACTTTCTGCGTCCACGAGCAGACTCGAACTAGATGCGGGTGAGCAACACACGAGACAGGACAGCTCAATGAACGCACTTTGCGACCCTTGGAGATGGTGTACGGCTTCTTGTGCTTGTGGGGGCCTGAGGGTCACCACAAGTCAGCGGAGAGATCGGCGGTAGAAAACATGACTGACCCATGCCAAAGTGCTTGTTTGCCTCCCGAGCAGTCTTTTGTCCACGGAGGAGAATGGTGTTAGCGCCAGTAGGGGCACGCATGGCAAGTTGGTCGAGGGTCAGGACTTCACCACCAGCGTTGAGAATGCGCTCCTTGGCGGACCGGGTGAATCGCAAAGCAGCAATGGTCATTTTGGGGACCTCAGGCAGGCGGATATCGTCCGTGATCGTACCGACTGAGACGATGATTTTGCCGGAAAGGTCTCCAGCGTTCGAAGTCTCCTTCATGATGCGAGAAAGCGACAATGGTGCCCGGTTTGTGCGAGACAGAAACAGACGGTGGAGGAGGACTTTGTTGAAGCCAGCATCCGTGCGACGAGCCAAAAACCGGTAGAGCTGGGATGGATAAGTACAACACAAACACGCTCAGCGATAACAGATCCTCACCTTGACCAGCAGGAGCAGATACGGGTCCTCGCTCTTGGGAGCAGTCCGGTTACCCTTCTTGACGTGGTGGTGGGTGATGTCGATACCCTAGAATCTGTTAAACGTGCAGCGGAATGCATCCACTGTCGGTCTCACCATTGGTGTTCTTGCTGAAAAGTCGTGAGTGAAGGCCAATTACTTAATCATTTGCATGTGACTGCACATATCTCGCACGTGACTCATGGGTACAGATGATAAATGGCCTCAGTTATGCCCCGTTCATTCCGCTCTTCTTGCAGGGGAGGCGATGTTTACATTCTTAGTCGATACGCCCCGACCGCTTAATTCAATCGAGATATTGTACGAAAACGAGTAGAAAAACATTCGTGATGTCAAGTATGAGTCGAAGAAACCAAACAGGTGAACACATCCTTTGTTGAAGCTCAACGATGTCGATGGTAAAACTTTCACCCGCTGGCTTTCATCCTTCTAACATGCAAGCCCAGTATAACACCGAGCCTATGCCTTCTGTCGACCCCTACGCGGACGACTACACCGCTGCCGCTCCTCCCTCGATTCCTCCTGCCGACTCGGTGCCGCCTCGCGGCCGCTCCCGTTCGCGCAGCCCCCGTCGGGACTCTCGCGACGACCGCCGCAGTCCAGGTGGATACCGCCGCAGATCACCTGCCCCTCCTCGTCGGGCTCAACACGCGCCCATTGCAAGCACCCCATTCTTCTTGATGTTTTTTTTCACTGAATCCTGAAACAGGCTCCCAATCCATCCAATGTGCTTGGTGTTTTCGGTCTAAGCATTCGCACCCAAGAGCGCGACCTTGATTCTGAATTCAGCCGGTTCGGACGGGTCGAGAAGGTTACGATTGTCTACGACCAACGCGCAAGTCTCTTTCTTTTGAAGTTGCTGTCTTTGTTGAATATGCTATTCAAGTCTGACCGTTCGCGCGGATTTGGTTTTATCAAGATGAGCACTGTTGAGGAGGCTACTCGTTGCATCCAGGAACTGAATGGCATCGTGAGTATTGTATGTCCTCTTCTTCCTTTTTCTCATGTCATATTGCAGGACCTCAATGGGCGTCGGATCCGTGTCGACTATTCTGTGACTGACCGCCCACACGCTGCCACCCCCGGCGAATACATGGGCCACCGCCGGTCGTCTGGTCGGGACTCAGGCCGGGACTCAGGCCGGGACTCAGGGCGAGACTCGTACAGAGACTCCCGAGACTCATACAGAGATCGTGACCGCGACTATGGACGGGACTCTCGCCGTGACAGAGACCGTGACCGGGACCCTTACGGCCGCGACAGCCGCGACTGGAGAGAACGTCGTAGCCCCGCTCCCTCGAGAGGCGGCCGATACTCTCCCGAGCGTCGTCGCCGGAGCTACTCACACAGCCCTCCTCGAGGAAGCAGCCCTCGTCGCGAGTATGATACTCTCCCTCCGGCTTCCTCTGTTGCAGCTCCTCCTGCTGAAGCTCCCCGCTGGTGAAAGCAGCTTAAAGATGGTCAAAGAGTCATATCGCACGTACAAGAGGTTTCTCACAAAAACGACTCCATCAAGTATCTCAATTTTTTCTTACAAGATCCCGTGAAGAACTGGATCGCTATGCAATATAGCCAAAGATGCTCCAAGTTTCAAGTTTTCTGTCGCAAATGTTTTCCTAGTTGCTGTCGCTACGTTTGGTTGCAAGTACAAGATTTTCCAAGTCAGTGGCAAACATGAAAAGGCGGAAACGAACCCAGGACCATTGCTTGCAAGCGCCCAGTCTCTTTATATTGGCATCGCTTCCTGTCATCGCCAGTCCCTAGTCTTTTGTTCTGGTGCGTACACATCTCTTTGGGCGCGGATTTCATGTAACGACGGGTCATACCTCAATAAAGTACATACCAATAAATATTCCTAATTGATGCGTCCTGCCGCCGTTTTACTTGTCCTTGGCTTTAGGTGAATCCCTCTGATTTCAGTCCGTAAATACTCTTACCCATAAGGGGATAGATTGTCGGCCATCACAATAATTTTCTGTTGCTCCCAACTGCAGCATGCCTCGTATACGCAAAAGTACGGATTAGCTCTGTCCTGATCTCTCCCGCTCACCCTTTACTCCAGAGACGAGTAACCGTGTCAAAATCAATGACCGACATAAGCTCCAGACCCGCATCCGGGATAGTAAGAAGAAAAAGGCCAAAGCAGCGAAAAAGAACCCGCAGTGGAAGTCCAGTGTGTCTCATACTTGTCAGACATATCCCCCGTATTCCTGAATCGCTGTGCAGAGCATAAGAAGGACCCCGGCATCCCGAATACATTCCCGTACAAGGACCAAGTGTTGGCTGAGATCGCAGAGCAACGGAGACTCGTGCGTCGCTCCCAGTTTCTGACCTTGCTGCCCCTTGGTTTCTAATGCGTCTTTTCACAATTTTAGGCGGCGGAGGACAAGCAACGCAAAAAGGACGAGAAGAAACTGCAGAAGAAAGCTGCGCTCGAATCCGATGCCGAGGATGTCTCTACGGATGAGATGGAAGTCGACGAGGATGGTGCGGAGGACGAAGGCGATGCATTAGCGGAGGTCAAAGCTCTAGGTCTCGCTCAAGGATTCGACGGAATCGCCAGCCTCAGTGCGAAACGCGTATCGACTTCGAAAGTTAGGGAGCGAGAAAAGTCAAAGCCTGTTGTCGAGGAGGAGGAGGAGGAGGAAACGCCCGTTCTCATGAACCCCGAATTGCCGAACCTCAAATCCGTGCTGGACGCAGCGGATGTAGTGCTCCAGGTGCTGGACGCACGCGATCCACTTCCCTTCCGGAGCTCCCATCTCGAGGAGTTAGCTGCTGCCAAGTCTGGTTGCAAGGTCGCTTTTGTACTGAACAAAATTGGCAAGTCTATTCGATTGTTCTCGTCCCCTCGACTGAGGCTGAATTCTATTTTAGATACATCCCCGCGAGAAGCTGTTGCTGCTTGGACAACTCATCTCCGCACCGTCCAGCCGACATTTCCATTCCGGTCGTCCACAAGATTCATGCCTCTCGGTTCAGAGGCAATCATGGCGGACAAGGGGAAGGGCAAGTCAAAAGCATCCCCGAATGACGCATTGGGACAATCGGCCATCTTGGATTTCCTGGCCGACTGTGCAAGCTCGAAAAAGGGCGATGCGCCGCTCACAGTTGCCGTCGTCGGGCTGACCAACGTACGGACGCTTACTTATTCTCATCTGGCCATGGTAGCTTATCTCCAGCCTAGTCCGGAAAGAGTTCCCTGATCAATTCGCTCATACAAAAGTCTGCTCTGCCGATATACACTTTGGCCACTTCCTCACGCGGCCCAACAACAACCTCGTACGCGCAAGAGGTTGTTCTCGACATCAAGGGCAAGCAAATCCGACTTGTTGATACTCCTGGGCTTGCTTGGGAGATTCCATCGGGCGTCTCAGATGACGAGGATGAGGACAGTGCAAATGCTGTTAACGATGCTCGGGCACGCGACATCCTGCTACGCAGCAAAGGCCGGATCGACCGATTGAAGGATCCCGTAATGGCCGGTAAGCCCTCCTCCGGTCTCATGGTCGCCGCGCGCTCATCTCAAGCGACCAGCGCAACACATCGTCTCTCGCACGAACGCCGAAGATCTGATGCTCATGTACAGCCTGCCTGCCTTCTCTGCAGGCGACATGGACGCGTTCTTGTCGTCCGTGGCACGTGCGCATCATCTGGTGAAAAAGGTGTGTGTCCTGTCCTGCTCCGAGATCCGTATCCGCAGCAGTACTGAGCATTTTGCGCATAGCGAGGCGAGCTGGATCTGACCGGCGCTGCCCGCATTGTGCTGCGGGACTGGAACACCGGGAAACTTCCTCGATACACCGTGCCTGCCACTTCATCTGCAGGCTCGGCATCGCTTTCCGCAGCGGATGAATCACTGCTCGCTACGCTGCAGATGCGCAAGGATTTCCGCAAAGCCCGGGGTCTGGTTAAACTCACCCTCGGTGCGATCGAGACAAGGAGGGCTGTGTTGGACGAGGATTGGACAGCGTCTGCTGTTGGCGACGATGATGTAAGCGAAGATGAGGGTGAAGATGAAGATGAAGATGAAGATGAAGATGATGCCGGCGTCCAAAATGATGACGACGAGAGTATCGAAGAGGAAGCTGAGGACGAAGAAGACGATGGAGAAGAGGAAGAGGAAGAAGAGATCGTCGTTCCCCTTTCCGGAAAGCAGAAACGGAAAAGGGCAGCAGAACAGGCGAAACCTCGCAAAAAGGTCGTGTTCGCACCAGAACCTAAATCCTCGAAGCAGGCTCGTTCGGCAGCAAGCAAGACGCCCAAGCTTCGTGACACAGCTGTGAGATCGAAGAAGATCGCTGCGAATGTAGGTAGCAAGTCACAAAAGACGGCTGGTGCTCCGGGACCTGAGGAGTACAACTTTAGCCAGTTTTTCTGAGACGCAGATCTATACATTCGCCATCCTTCATTACTGTAGTGTAATTCACATGCGACTTGAATGTGAGCACTCCTCATGGAGAGGGTGACAGTGTCCTGAGGAACTCTATGGCAGGATGTCTAATCAGGTAACTGCCACTCCTTTTGGGGTTATCAGCACCGCCTAGAGAAGTTGGATGTGAACGCTGAACTGTTGAATCGCGACCACAATCGTGACACTACTTTCCTCGTGCCTGTCGTTCCGTGTGCAGGTCCACTCTTCTACCGCCGGCGTCAATTGCGGCCATCTGACGGGACATGGGAAAGAAAGAGAAGCTACTGCCCCATGACGTCGTCACCCAGAGGACCACATATAACTGGACGGCGTGCTGGGAAGAACCTCGGTCTCTCTTTTTCTGGACTCAACAACACCTTTTCATGTGCTGTCTGCTGCGGCATTTCATAATGGGCACGATATAAGAGCGCGGCGCCTACTCTGCATACTTGTACTCACCACTAATCACACTCACGACCCACAATGACCATTTCCGTTTCCCTCGACCCTATTCCTCTGCGTCCTCAGGACAACATCAAGGTACACTGTCTACAGTCATACGGTTCTCCTATGCTGATCGTTCCGTTAGACCGGTCGCCCCCCTCTGTTGCATAAGCTCTCCCGAACGCCTGGGGTGCCCATCCACGACACCATGCTCAGCGCCCTTCCCGTCGAACTGCTCGCCGAGATCTTTCTCCTGTACTGTGGGAGGTTCTGTCCAGTAGGAAGCGCGACCCAAGGGCCGAGGCTGCTGCTTCGGGTCAGCAAATCGTGGAGAGATCTGGCCATTGACTCGCCGCACCTCTGGTCGTCCTTTTCGCTCGACGTCCGGCCTGGATCTAGGCGGTGCGATGAGCCCATCGACGAGCTTGCACGGTGGATCAGACGCTCTCGGCGGATTCCGCTCGATTTCAAAGTGCACTACCCGGTTATGGACAGCACGGCCACGGTGCTCTTCGGGCTCCTGATCGACGCCTCAGCCCGGTGGCGCGATGTGCGCATCCACGCACCCAACGCGTGTCTCGCCCCGTTGTGTGATCTCGACGGCGCGAGATTGCCTTTGCTGCGAAAGTTCAAGCTGGAGACCGCCGTCGCATTCACGCTGGCGCCCGCGAGTCTGCGCATCCGGTGGGACCAGATATCGACGCTGGATCTGTTCGTGATTCCTGTGCCGACGCTCGATCAGATCCTGTGCATCCTGCGCGAGGCGAAGGCGCTTCGCCGCTGCCGGACGAATGCGTTGTGCGTGCTGGAAGACACGCAGCCGGAGGATGAGGACATCCGCCTTCCATATCTGTCGCATTTTGAGCTCAAGCTGTACGGCAGCAGGAATGGAACGGATGCCCAAAGCGACCTTCTCTCTGTGCTGAACAGGCTTTCCGTGCCGGCACTGTCGTGTCTGGGCATCAGCTGGGCCGTCTCGCAGGCCTCGTACCGGGGCTTTGACGGCCCGACTGCTGATGGATTCGCGCAGTTTCTGGCTCGGTATGGGCGGCGCCTCCAGCGCCTGAGCCTGGCGTACCTCCCGCTGGACACGCACCAGCTGCTGCGGTGTTTGCGCGTGGTGCCCAATCTGACGTTCCTGGGCATCTCGCTGTCGCAGGCCGACGCTGCGCACGACAGCATCAACGACGAATTCCTCAGCGCACTGTCGGCCGACGGGGGTCTGCTCCCAGCGCTGAAGAGCGCCTGGCTCGAGAGCCACGGCGGGGCCTTCGACGACGCCGCGTTGCTTGCGTTTCTGGCCTCCCGATGGAGATACTCCCCCTCCGCGTCAGGCTGTCTGGAGTCGTTGGACATCGTTGCGCCCCTCCGACGGGCGGAATATCGTCCCCTGCACTTCTCGGACTCCAGGCGCGGCCGGCTCCAAGTCTCGGCACGACTCAAAGCCGAGCGCTATATGTTACCAGTCCTCCTCTCGTTTATGCTGTACGATTTCACGGACAAGATGATATGTTTTACGAACAAGGACTTTCCGCCGGACATTCGGTCGTTACTGGTTTTGGTGTAGTTGCGTTATTGACGAGCTTCTGTCGCTGCGAGCAAGTATGTAGTCTGGAATGATATGAGTCGCGGCAGTCAGAGTATCTGAACGGGTCAAGGCAGCCTTCAATGCTTGCATATCGCGGCTGAACTCTACGTACGGCCCAGATCACACTCGCTGTTCTCGTCTCCTCGAGAACATTAATTCTGGGTTCGTGCGAATATGCTCCAGGGTTAGTCACCAAACGCGGTGCACGGAAAGCGCATCCGTTCAAATGAGACTATGATCTCGACCTCGGAGCGGATTTTTTTTGAAATAACAGCATCCAGTGATGGTGATTATCGAGAAGCTGTAATACATAATAAAAGGGCAGCTGGGACAAGAGATCCAGTGCTGCGCCAAACGGAGAAAGCAGGAGACCGAATCGGTAGTCACTCGATGCCGGTGTCACACCCGACATGCCTCAGACCGACTCAGACTGGGTCTTGCTGATAGACAGTTCCTCGTGTTCGTCGGCCCAATCTGCCAGAAGTCCCGGCAGTTCTCAGAGGCACTGCTACTCATGGAAAAGCTCGGTGATCGGCGTTTTGAACGTCTGACTGTTCCGCTGATCTATGCAGAGTCAGATCAGTACTTTGACCGCTACCTCGTCAACTTGATCTTCTTCGACTGCGCGCCGATATTAAGGACCCGGATAAATACGATACGCCATACTTTGAAGCGCACTCCGGGCGCCTGAGATAATACGACCCAGCGCCCTGTATATTCCCGCACGCAGTTGGTCTTGAACTGCACACAATTCACCGCCGGGTCAACGATACAGTATGCACGACAGTGCAGAAACCTTGAATGCGAAGGATGGCTCAATGGAGTGGCAGTTATGGCTACTAGCCGGACCACAGGGCTGTCAGAACAGTGCCACCTACTATGTCACCCACTCTCTCTGTAACAAGGTCGAAACGTCGACGCAGTATGCGCCGCGGTGCCCGGACATGACTTGCTCAGTCTCTGACCCCCACGTCTATTTCTAGTTTTTTTTTCGCTCGTGGATGCCCATGTATAGGATAAATAATATTTATTATGCGGAGGGAAAAACGGTCATTTTGGGGCCAAACTCTTAGTATTACCATCCCAAGAAGGATCAGACCCCGCGGGTCTATCAGTTATGAAATGATGGTGGAGGTGGCTGGGTGTGTCCATCAATCAGTTCTGCAAGCTGATGGACTAGCCCTGCACTCTGACAGCAACAACAACCACGGTCACAGGATGATGTAAACAAGCGAGCTTCCGCGATGGGTCTCGAGTCCGATGATTCCTCACGTACGCGGCCGGCCAACCCACGGGGTTGACAGCCACCATTTGACAAATCATCCTCTGGATGACAGTTATGCGCGACAGTGCAGACGCCATGAAAGCAAAGGATGATGAATCGGCAGAAAAGAGCGCACAGACCTCCACATCCGCGGCGCCAGCTCACAAGAGCCGCGCGTTCTACATGAGCTTCGTGGCGATCATGGTCACCTCGTTTCTCAGCGCACTGGATCTGACGGCGGTCGGAACAGCGCTCCCCACGATTTCGGTGGCCCTGAAGGACAGCAAGGGCGAATTCACCTGGGTGCGTCTCCTGGCTCTGTCCGGATGATCTGCTGCTCAGTGCAGCAGGTCGGTTCGGCCTACGCGCTGAGCAGTACCGCGTTTATTCCACTGAGCGGCAGCTTGGCTGATGCATTCGGAAGGTGTGCAATCACACATTCTTGATCCCAGTTCTCCATTGTTTCGAGCAGGAGACCTGTCCTCCTTCTTTCTATCGGGTTCTTTTTCTTGGGAAGCGCCATTGCTGGCGCAGCGCAGAATATGGTGCGAGGATAGTGCTTGCTCTGTCCTGTCACTGAATGGTTTGGGCAGTCGATGATGATTGCCGCGAGGAGTGCGTCCATTCTGCGTTAACTGGTCAGCTTACAATGTCTCTTGTAGCTATCCAAGGTACTTTCCACTTATCCCATGATCACGTCCCTCGCTCCACGGCCAACAGGAATTGGTGGTGGGGGAATCCTCAACCTCACAGAAGTTTTGATGGCGGATCTAGTGCCTTTGGCTGAGCGAGGCCTCTATCAGGGCCTGGATGGACTTGTGTGGTCCTTTGCTTCTGTGCGTGATTGATTCCTAACACGCGTCTCACAGGCTCATATTATCTGCAGTGCATAGGCCCTCCAATAGTGCGCATCCTGTCAATGATACGAAGAGTGCTCATTCATTCATCCACCGGCAGGGCGGTGCACTCGCTACCCATAATAAAAAAGCCTGGCGCTGGCTGTTCTGTGAGCCATGCATATTTACTTTCCCGTGCTTGATTCATGTTCACCAGTCCTCAATTTGCCGTTGTCCGGGCTGGCTTTCATCTTGGTTATGATCTTCCTCAGGGTCAAGACTCCCCCCGGTACCGTCAAGGAGAAGCTTACGAAAGTGGACTGGATGCGAGTCTCACTCCTTGCTTGTCGTCGTTAATCCAAGTCCTGATTGCTCTTCCAACCCAGCGGGAATGTGATGGTCGTCGTAGGCTCTGGGCTTGTCACCATAGCACTCACGTGGGGAGGAATCCGGTACTCCTGGCGGTCTGTTCCGGTGCTGTTGCCGTTGATCCTGGGGGTATTATTCTTGGCCTTGTTCTGCGTTTACGAAGCTACTGTGCCATCGAAACCCACCATTCCACTCGACGTGATCGGCAATCGAACGTCCTTGAGTGGGTGAGGTAATTCACGCGCCCCGTTCAATAGTTATTGACCACTTCTCAGGTTATTGAGCACAGCAGCGCACAGTATCGCGAGCATGGGCAAGTCGATGATCGCCTGATGCAGTGGGTGTACTGTATGCTGACCTCGACGACAGCTATTATCTACTACCTACCCGTCTTCTTCCAAGCGTGTTTCGGCGCCTCGCCCATCCGATCTGCCGTGGACTTTCTCCCCGGTGCTCTGCTCACTGCTCCCTTCGCGTTGATTGCAGGCCTCGTGATTACGGTTGCAAAGCGGTACAGAGAAGTGAATTGGGCGGGATGGGTGTTCATGATCGTGGGATTCGGACTGACCAGCACCCTGAAAGCGACCGCCTCGACGGGACAATGGGTTGGGTTCCAGGCCATTGCCGCCATTGGGATCGGATTGATTGTGCGTGCATCGTGATCATGGTCTTTGGGCGTCTCCCGTTCATGTTCCTACGACGAGCTTTAGTTCTCTGGCCCCGTCTTCCCCATACTCGCACCACTCCATCCCGACCGCGCAGGCTCTGCGCTGGCGCTCTTTGGTTTCACGCGGGCCTTTTTCCAGACGTGGGGCATCGCCATCGCTGGATCAATTCTCCAGGTGTGTGTGTGCGTGTCCATGCGCCCCCTCGCAGCGACAATCCACTCATCCTCTGCCTGCCTAGAACGAACTGAGCCGCAGACTCCCCCCGGCATTCATAGCCCAGTTCCCGCCCCACTTCGAGATCGCGTACTCCGCTATCCCAGCCATCGGACTGCTCGAGGAGCCGCTCAGATCAGAGGTGCGAGCGGCTTTTGCGGGGAGCATGGACGTGATCTGGCGGGTCATGATTGGTGTCTGTGGACTCGGATTGCTGTTTGCCTTGTTCATGAAAGAGGTGCCCATGAGCACGGATGTGGACGAGAGATATGCGCTTCAGGAGGGCGGGGGTCCAGCGGTTGAGATCGCGACCTAGTGTGGTGGCATTAAATCCTTATTGGTCACCCGTCGATATATACACTCAGACTGTGCACATGCTCCAGTATGCAGAGAGATATGGCAGATGGGACCTCGGCCTGCAATAGGCCGCACTGGCGACAACAGACAGGAACCTTCCCGAAGCACGGCCCTATTCATGTAGAAGTCAAGGGCACATTGATTACCGCCGCGAGAGGGTGCATCTCTGAGCTCGCTTGAGAAGGCAGAAGACCCAACAGGCGTTGCGCGTCTTCAACAAACCTCCATTCCTCGGAAACTGATTCAACTGAAATGCGGCCGGATACATTCGCGGCCTGGATGATTTTTGTCGCGGGCATCACATCTGCACCCGGGCGGCAGGGCGTTCCTCAATCTCAAAGTGTTTCAGGTGCAACACTTGCTAGCCTGCCTTCGGAATGGAATGAAATGGAGACGAGGGACGCTAGTGGCGCTCCGAGTTGCAAACTGCTAGACGCGCGCTGGTCCTCCTCCATTCTGGTGCCTCTATAAGAAGCTCAGCCGCCCATCTTACGTCTGTCTGTCCTTCGCCCACCATGCCCCGCTTCCGCCCTTACGTCTGGCTTGCCCTCGCGTGGCGCGCTTTCCTCGATAGGCTCACATCCCGCTGGCTGTGGCTTGCGAGCGAAGAGACGGGCGGCCCCGTGTCGTTGAACATCATCGTCGTCGGCGGAGGGATCGGCGGCCTCGCGGCTGCCTACTGTCTCGCAAGGGCAGGACACGCCGTGACCATCCTCGAGCGCGCAGCCGCCGCGGGAGACGATGTGGGCGCCGGGATCCAGGTATGATGGGAGTTACGGTCACGTGTCGAGCTGATTGGCATTGGCGTGATCATGCCACTGACAGGTTTCTCCGAACTTTAGTCGACTGCTGATCCGGTGGGGATTGGGAGAAGAGTTGGCGGAAAAAGGGTGTGTGCCGGAGGGCATCGCGTTTCTTCGGTGTGCGTATACAAAGTATAGGCTATCTCTGGGAGACTCATACGCCCTAGATTCCACGGGAGAGCGGGTCGGGGCCACGCGATGGGGCAAACAGATGGAGGCTGATTACGGCGCGCCTTATTATCACATCCACGTGCGTCACCTGAAATCGCGGTGCAGCAGCTTTCTCGAGTCCCAGCTTACTTGCATCTCTGATGACCAGCGCGCCGACCTCCTGCGGATGCTCACGCGCCTGTGCGCCCGCCGTGCGGCCCTGCGGCTGGACAGCCGGGTTGCTTCTGTCGATCCAATCACCGGCTCCGTGGTTCTCAGCTCAGGCGAGATGCTTACCGCAGATCTCATCGTCGGGGCCGACGGGATCAAGAGCGTCGTGCGCTCTGCGGTGCAGGGAGAAAAGCCTCCGCTGCAGACCGGCGACGCGGTGTACCGCGCGGTGATCCCCACAGACGGGATGCTGGCAGATCCAGACCTGGAGGAACTGGTCAGGGGGAGGGAGATGGTCAATTGGATGGGGCCTGGTGCGTTTCGCGGTCTCCGTTTAACCGCCAACGCTCGTAACCTAGATTTGCCAGAGAAACATGTTATCGGATACTGCATCGTGAGTCTGCCAGGTCTCGGTGTCGCCCGGTGAGCCCGACATATTCCAGCGAGCTGGCCGCGAATACAATCTCGTCCTCGTGCATCCTGATTGTCGGATGAGGAAGGAGTCGTACATGCGCGAGGGCTCCGTCGAGCAGATGAGGTCGGACTTCGAAGGGTGGGATCCGCGGTACCAATTTCCCGGAAATAAAACCCGATCCTTTGCTAAATGTTCGGGCACAGGTTGCAGAAGTTGCTCAGGTTGGTCGAGAAAACGTACATCCTTCCACTCATGTATCGGCCCCCGATCGAGGACTGGGTTCACACGAGCGGCAAAATGGTTTTGTTGGGCGATTCCGCCCACGCGACGCTTGTGCTGAGAATCCGTCCCTCCTTGACGCGTGTGCTGACTCACTGCTTGACAGCCCTCCCGGGCCCAGGGCGCGGCTATGGCGGTAAGAATCGCGTGCTCCAGGCTCATGCCCTGGCTCGAATCCGCTGAGACTCAAGTGTGCGCAGGTGGAAGACGCTGCCGTTCTCGGCGTGTTGCTCAGCAACCTCCGATCCAGGCGTGAAGTCCGGCTGCGCCTGCAGGCCTACCGAGACCTGCGCTACGCACGCACCGAAGCCACGCAGCGCGCATCGCTGTCCAACCACCGCGTCTTCCATCTCCCAGACGGCGAAGCGCAGCAGCGCAGGGACGCGAGCATGCGAACGGCCATGGCCGGGTCAGAATCTGATCACAACGCGAATATATGGGCCGATCAGAAGAAGAGCGCGGTCCAGTTTGGCTATGATGCGGAGCGCGTTGCGCAGGAGTGGCTCGACGCGCATGCAGGGCCTCGCCTGGCAGCGACGCGGTCGACGGCAAAGGTTCGCTAGGGTGTCCATACGACGACCTGTGTTGCTTGCACGCGGTCCTTGGTAGCCGCGGAGAGTTGAATTAAACCGGTGTTCTTGTCTCAGCCGTGGGAAGCATCGTCGTGCGTGGAACGAGAACTCTCTCTCGTACTGCGGATCTTGAAGGTGGCGTCCGATACAACGCAGTTGCTGTTCTCTAGTTCGGCGCTGGGGAGCGTAGTGTCAAGGGTTGAGCGTGGGGATGGTGAAAGCTTTCATTCCAATCTCCAGGGTTGGGCCGGGAGCTGCTTGAGCGTCACTCGCCTTGGGTAGCAATGAGTAATATTCGCTCAGGCGTACGCATGGTGGTCACATGGTTTTTCAAGTGCATCCGTTCTACGTTTCGATTACGAGGAAGAGAAGGGCACGATGATCGGAAAGACGAAGAATATGATCCACAGGCTGTGTCAAAACACCGTCGAGTTTTTCCGTCGTTACGAGTTTACATAATGATGAAAAGTCGTTGCGAGTGAGCTTGATCACAGTCGCGTCGTGTCACGCAGTGACAACGTGATATGCGATTAGAATTCAACGGGAACTCTAAATTATAATTTACAGTAGCCCGACACGTGTAGGACACTCAAACAAGAGTCGGGCGAGCCCGAAAAATCCGCTGCCAAACGCCCAGGGACCCTCTCTCGCAGGGCTTGATTTTAGCCAATCATTCAAGGACGTCCTTGATGAGCATCAGGGTGCGATCTGCTGCATCTGTAGCTATGGAAAAACTGAGGACGTGTACGTATTCGGTAATGCACGGGCATTGGCTTTGGAGAAGGTCCCTGGTTCTCGGAATTGTCATAGTAGGATGCCGCCAGCCTTCAACGCCGCCGCCGCCTCGTTCTGCACTGGGACTGGGAAACGTTATTATTACCTGTGACTGATGGTGTTTGCCGTCACACCTCGCCCACTTTTGCGTTCGCACTCCACGCACTTGAGCGACAGATGTGTTATTTGGAACAAAGTTCACACGCGAAAAGAACGGTGAAGATCGCATACGCGATTAGACACAGTCGGACCCGATCTCACACGTCGCTTACACGGTCTGAAACCCCGAATGTTCTCGTGCCATGATTTGCCCTGCCACGGGACCCTACTGTTCAGATGCTCGGATCCTCTGACACGGAAGTTTTCGAGCAGTCTATAAATCGCGACGGCTTCTCTCAAGGTAGGTACACTGTTTTTCCCTCCCGCATATTCTCTCAGCGTCATGTCTCTCAGTCTCGGAATCAGGGCGTGTCCCACCACCCCGGCAGCCCCGTTCCTGCTCGACCCTGGGTTCAACATCTCCGCCGTCGCCACCATCGCCAAGGCGCTGCCCTCTCACTCTTGGGAGTTCGGGACTGCGTCTGAGGCTCTGCTCGAGCTGTACAACCCCGACATCTCGGTGTTCGGGTCCAAACCGTTCCCCGTGCCCGTCATCCCGTCCAACTGCCACATCCCGTCGCTGGACTACGCCGCCAGCAAGATCGTGTTTGGCACCGGCGCGAACGGGCTGTCGGACGGGACCGGGGCTGTCGGCGACCCCGCGAGTCTCGGCGTCAGCGCGGTTCTGCTCGGGAAATCGAACGCGTCGTTCGCTGCCGGCGCGCAGGAGGAGCTGACGTACATCACCACCGTCGCACCGCGGTACGCGAACGGGGCTATCTCGCAGCGAGCCGATGTGGCCGAGTTGTGGTAAGTCGCTCGAGCGCTGGGGTGGGCCGGTCAAAGCTGACATCCATCAGGGCCGACTTTATGTACATGGCGCCGCCGTTCTTGGCGTACATCGCCGCTGATCGGAACAACGCGACGCTCCTGAAGGAGGTCTACGAGCAGTGCGGCCTGTACCGCGCCGTGCTGAAGCCCCCCGCGGTGCAGAACTGGCAGCACATCATCGGGCCGCAGAGTGCCGACCTGGGCCTGTGGAGCACGGGCAACGCGTGGGCTGCGGCCGGCATGACTCGCGTGCTCGCCACGATCATCAAGGCCCCGGTCGCCAAGAACGCGGACTGGCGCTCGGGCGCGATCGCGGACCTGACGACGTGGATCCAGGAGATCGTGGACGGCGCGATGAGCCAGTCGACGGACAACAACCTGCTGCGGAACTACCTCAACGACACGACCGGGGACGGTCACGGGTACGGCGAGATCTCTGGCACCTCCATGTTGGCCGCTGTGACGTATCGCATGGCTGTGCTGAGCAAGGCGACGTTCGGAGCCAAGTACATCGCGTGGGCTGAGGGCGTGCGCAAGACCATGGCCTCGCACATCTCCAGCAATGGAACGGCCGCGCCGGCAGTCAACCCGCTCAACTGGGGCGACACCGTGCCCTTCACCGCGGGATCCCCCGAGGGCAACAACTTCGTTGTGCTCATGTACGCTGCCTGGCGGGACTGTGTCAAGGTTGGAACCTGTTCCAAGTAATGGTAATCGAAGCTGCGTAGTACTTACATAAATCAACTGCGCCGTGTAATCAATCAAGCGAATGTTGTCCAACTGCAGCCCAAACGTCGCTGAGTCTGAGTTGTGTCACCCACAACACTCCTGATGGTGGCTGGCTGCAGCTGATAAATGGTCTAGAATACAGTCAAAGCATGCCGTTGCGATGCAAAGAGCGACCGATGGGAGATCGTCTGAAATTTGTATGCTGGCAGAGGATCGGGCGCCGGTAGAAGATCGAACGCCGTAAGGAGAAGGTAGAAGTGTAGCACCGCCGTAAGGGCCTCGCTTGGCTGCACGAGGGAAGCGACCACATAATTCTCTGTAGGTAATGATACCCTATTACTTTTCAATACATCGTCATTTAGAGCATATTAGAGGTTCTAGAGCGCCGCATTTTCATACATTTTCTACAAATCTCCAGTTGATTTGCTAGAATTTGACTTTGAAAAAAAAGTTGCCCGAAAGCAAAAACAGCTTGAAGTTCTAAAATCAGCAATTGTGAGTCGGGCCTGAGGTCGTGAAATGCAGTCCGTTGGCACCATCAATTCTAGAGATGGGGCAGAAAATCAACTGGGAATTGGTAGAAAATGCCTGAAAGGTCGAATCCCAGAACCTTGAATGAGTATACTCAATGGAGAAGTTTGCGAAGGGAGCCTGGGTTAAGATTGATCAGTAGATCCTCTCTATTCCATAACGCCATCCGCCATATGCATAATCGAATCCAGAGCCAGCCTGGGGATCAGGATGGCAAATCCAAAGAGAGGACCGAACATCATCCATACAGGCCGACAACCCTACTAAACAGACTGTTAGAGTTGGCTTTCGAAACGCCTCGTCGCGTGGCGTCACGCTCACGCATCACTGTGACATCGCTCTTCCCTCTCACATTCGCCACACATGCCCCGCAAAGACGCCCCTGCATCAGGCCTGATCTCCGCCCAGGCCCAGCAGGACCTCATATCTGAAGGAATCGAAAACTACGAGCTCCCCAAATCCCTCGTGACTCGTATCGCCAAGTCTGCTGTACGTCGGCTTACGCTGGTGGTGGCTTCGTAGAGCATACGACCGATGGTTCGCCCAGCTCCCCGACAACGCGAAAATGCAGAAAGACACCGTGCTCTCGCTCGTCAAAGGGTCGACCGTGTTCATCAACTACCTCGGTGAGCCAGATCTTTCGGACACCCGGCCCTCTCTTACGCATCCACTTGGTCCCCAGCTGCAACGTGAGTGACTCTTCGCTGCTATCCCACAAGGAACAATCTCATATTGCTCCTCAGGGCACATGATGTAGCCCTCTCGAAACAGCATAAGAGCATATCCGCCTCAGACGTCCTGAAAGCGCTCGAGATGATCGAGTTCGGAGATCTGGTCGACATGTTGCAAGCCGAGTTGCAAAGTACGCCATCTCTTTTCTCCAACACCTCCCCCTCATGTTCATGTACCCGCCGCACCCCAGTCTACCGAGACCAATCGAAATCTGACAAGACCAAAAAGGCGAGCGCAAGCGCGAATTTAGCCAGCACAAGTACCGCGGCCGCAGTTGGAAAAGGCAAATCAACCTCCGCCTCGACCGCCTCGACGCCAGCGCCCAAATCGGCCAAGGGAAAAGAAAAGGCGACCATTCTCCTGCCGGCCTCGGCCCTGGCGTCTGCTCGACAATCTGAATCCAGAGGCGCTGTCCCTGTGACTCCAGGTGAATCCGTGTCGGCTGGACCTGGTGTCGCAATGGACGTTGACGGGGAGGACGACCGCGATGTGGATAGACCTGTGCCGGCAGAGGATCTGGACAGGGAAGGGGATGCCGAAATTGAAGAGGACGATGAAGAGCAAGATGTGGAAGAGGAGGAACCGGAAGAAGTGGTTGACACAGTCGCCCTCGAGCAGGAAGAGCTACGACAAGATGCGCGAGGTTTGGACGCACGAGCAGAAGACACTCCCATGGAGGAATCATGAAGGCGGTTGCAGCCCTTGCCAAAGTGCAAAAGTAAATGCTTTAATTATAGATATAACCAGAATACATGTGGCATGAGTGCAGGCCGTGGGTGGTTACATACATGGCAATGAGAGATAGATAAGATAGTCTGGAAGGAGAGGTGCTTAAGCACGTTCTCCGCGCAGTCGGCGAGCAAGGGCGAGATCTTTTGGCTGTATGGTGACGCGTTTGGCGTGAATGGCAGCCAAGTTGGTGTCCTGTAATAAGAACCACGAGCTCAGTGCATGACGGGAACGAAAACAAACCACGCACCTCGAACAGCGACACGAGATAAGCCTCGGCGGCCTCCTGTAGGGCCATCACTGCCGACGACTGGAACCGAAGGTCGGTCTACAGGGAGCAAAGCAGCGTTAGGCGGTACATGATGCGCCGGGCGATTCCGCGCACCTTGAAGTCCTGGGCGATTTCACGGACGAGACGCTGGAACGGAAGCTTGCGGATGAGTAGTTCGGTCGACTTCTGGTAACGACGAATCTCGCGCAGGGCGACGGTTCCGGGTCGGAAGCGGTGGGGCTTCTTCACGCCGCCAGCAGCTTGCTGGGCAGTCTTGCGGGCGGCGGACTTGGACGCCAGCTGAGGTTGTGATGGTGAGCTGTGTGAGACGAGGTGGCAACGGCGAGGAAGCGACATGCCTGCTTGCGAGGGGCTTTGCCTCCGGTGGACTATGGGAGGATGAGCTAGCCATGGGACGAGGCGACAGAGCGAGCTGACCTTGCGGGCGGTTTGCTTCGTGCGGGCCATCGGGACGAGTCTTGAGGAAGAGGAGAGTCTTGGAGATGGTGTTCGAGAATGAGTTGGCCGACAATCAACAAACGTCCTTTTATGGATGTGTCGATTCTCCTCACGTGTGCGCGCGTCTGGTGTGATCGTGGCTGTACCGCCTCGGATTAGGAAACTCCCAGTCGACCACGTCGCTCAGTCTGTGCTTAACGCCTGACAATGTTACCGTGGCTCCTTCTCTTGCCACTCCCGGCCCTAGCATCGGTAGACAAAACCTTAGGCGTTGCGCCCTCTCTCCTATCCAAGTACTCGACCCCAAAATCTGGCGTCTGGAAATGCCTGGACGGCTCAAAGGAGATCCCTTGGGAGTTTGTCAATGACGACTCTTGCGACTGTGCGGATGGCAGTGACGAGCCAGGTTTGCACTTGAATGGGGTCCCGTCTTCCTCTCGACTTATTCTACTCAGGGACGGGTGCGTGCCCAAACAGCACATTCTACTGCCAGAATGCAGGGCACATTGGCCAAAGTATCCCTTCATCCAGAGTCAACGACGGACTCTGCGGTTAGTGCTTCCAATTGACACGCTTGTTCACTGCTTCAACCTAATTCAACAGAACCGCAATGCTGCGACGGCTCTGACGAACGACCTGGTGTCTGCAAGAACGCGTGCGCCGAAATTGGAGAGGAGTACCGGAAGAAGCGAGATGCGGAGCAGAAAATACAGAAGACTGTATGGGTTCATTCCTCCCCCTGGCTTCGGTTTAACATGAGCACAGGGTGCAAAAATACGTGCATCCTATATTGCTTTTGCACAGAAGGAGAAGAAGCGCTTGGAATCTCTTCTGGAATCCTCCACTGCGGCGATCGCCGACAAGCAGAAGGAAGTTGACCGCTTGCGAGACGTCGCTGAACGTACCGAGTCTGTGTCTGCCGCTGCTCTGGAGCACAAACAACAATCCCGTTAGTACTTTGTCCAGCTCAAAGTCCGCTCACTCATCAAATAGCTCTCCAGCGCTCTACCAGTCTCTTCTGGACCATGCCTCTGCCTTGAAATCTCTCCAGCGTGAACACAAGAAACATCTCGAGCGCGAAAAGTCTCTTGGCGAAATCCTCTCCGCCCTGCGCAAAGGTTACAACCCGAACTACCAGGATATGGCGGTGCTCGAAGCTGTCCGCGGATGGGAATACTTCGCAGGACTGCCTCACATCGGTGTGGAAGAAGATGCTCAGAAAGCTGCGGACCTATCCGTCTCCGACGAGGAGGCTGGCATTGACTCCGAAGGCAAGACTGAAGACGAGATCCCGGATGACCAATGGACGGCCGAGGAATTGGAGACTGGGCTGGACGACCTTCTTGACTCGGACTACGTGTCTTTGCTCATGGAACACGACGAACACGTCCAGAGCCCGCCGGCAGCTGCAGGTGAGTCGGCTTTGTTCATACGCTCACATGACATAGCTCACCTAAATCACTCCAGTCTTCAATATGCGCTCCTACTTGCCCGAGTCCCTGATTCCGCAGTACGAGTCATTCAGAGAGAGCATCTTGTCCTGGTTGGGAGTTGTTGGAATCTCAGCCTCGGATGCCGAGTCTTCATCCGGTATTTATCCATTCTCTGGTTCGCTGTGCCGTTTTCTTATCTGTTCTCAGACACTTCCCAAGCCCGCAAGGCTCTGATGGAGGCTGAAACTGCGCTGAGCGATGCCCAAAAAGCAGCCAAGGACGCTGAGCTTGACCTCGACGAACTCTTCAATCCTGAGGGCTACGGACCCGAAGGTGCCTGGAAAAAGCTCGACGGCCAATGCCTCGATCTGAACACTGGAGAGTACGTGATCAAGTCAGTTCCAACAAGCTTGAACTGATGCGTCGGTGGTCAGATACACTTACGAAGTTTGCTTATTCGACCAAGCAAGGCAGAAACCTAACCACGGCGGATCCACGTTTACCCTTGGGTACCGTCTCCTCTCTCCCAAATTACACTCCGGAACTAAATCTATACAGCAAATTTTCGTCGTGGAATCCTGACGTGGAACCGGGTCATCCTGACTACTACACTAAGCAGGTCTATAATCACGGTACAAGATGTTGGAATGGACCGGAGCGCAGCGTCATTGTGCGTGGCCTGTTTCATCCTGGCTGCTCAATTTTTCTGACCTACTTTCTTCCATAGTTGGTCCTGAAATGTGGCACAGAGAACACGATCCACACAGTCCAAGAGCTGGAGAAGTGCGAGTATCAGTTCACGGGCACATCGCCGGCACTTTGTCTCCCATTGGACGCGAGCGATTCCAGTCGGGATGAGCTGTAGGCACCACTACTAACTTAAATCTACGTCAATAGAACCCGGACAACCAAGCGTCGATGCACTACTTGGCGTTCGGCTGCACGATCAGGACCGGAAAGTTCATTACTGCGCAAATTGTTTCTATGGAATGGACATGGCTGGTTGAACGATTAGAGGACGTTGAGATCGCCGAACTTCTCTGCGTAGCCTGGAAAAAAGAATCAGTCGCCGAAGCGTGACCACGGCGGGTCCACGCACCGGGCACGGTGAATTTTCCCTTCTTCATCATCGTCTCCATAACCTGGACGAGACGCGGGTGTGCGTCACCGACTTCGAACGCCTGGTGAGGAACAGTCAGAAAGAGTAATGGGAATTGAAGAACAGCACGCGTACCGTGAGATCCTCGAAGGGACGGGCCTCCTCGATGTTGGCGAGGGTGGCCTGCAGCTCCTTCACCTCGGCGTCGATTTTCTCCTCCATAGCCTGCGCAGAAACGACCTATTCCGCATACCCGTCGTCAGGCGGGAGCTCAGAAGCACACCCGGAGAAAGGACACGCACCGCCTTGGCCTCGAACGCCTCAATCGCCTTCACATGTGCGTCCACGTCATATGTTACGGGCTTGAAGCCCTTGAGGAGCTTCTCGGCCTCGTCAACGACGGCCTGGTTGCGGAGAACCGAGCGGTAGTGCGCGATGTCGACGGTAGTCGGCTCGGCGGCGTATTGGGATTGCAGCCGCTGCGCCTCGGCGTGTCGTTTCCGGAAAGCTTGCAGCGAGGCAATGGTCTCTGTTGGATGGGAAGGGACGCAGTGAGTGACCGACCCGACACTCCGGTGTGATGCCGACCTTTTCCGAGTCCAAGTGTCGAGTATATACGGGTGAAGTCCTAGCAGAAATTCAGAGCGAAGACATTAATATATGTAAATGGGGACGCACGACGGCGGCGACAGCGGTTCTAGAGGCCATCCTGGGCAGCCAGACGAGCTAAAGCAAAGTGGTGGGGGTGTTGTTTGGCTGCGTGCCGGGGGAATAACATCAAACCCGAATAAACCCGAGTCGAACATCCTGATTTCTTCTTTCAACATGTGTTCGAGCGCATCCATGCAGTTCGACGGAAACACGGAAACTCTGTATGAAATGTGATACAACCAAGAGGTGATTGCGGACTTCGCAATTCTGAATACGAGGATGGCAAATACATTGCATCAAACCTCAATTCACTCTTCCTGTTCCGACTAGAAAGTGTCGGCTCTGCCAACAGAATGCCTTGCTACTCAACACAAAGATTGCAAAAATATCAACAAAGACATTGGTCATAATTAAGCCCCAGCAGCCCTCGTCCTTTTCTTCTTTGGGCTATCATCCATATCAGGTGCAGCTGGCCAACACTTCTTTGGGCTGGGCAGCAGTGCGATCTGAGACTTGATGATGTATATCTTGACAATGTCTGCAACAAACATATCCTCTTTCTGGCTTGTGAACGAGTAGTGGGTCATAGTGAAAGTGACTGCAACAGAAGCACTGGGGAGCTTTTTCATGTAATCCTATGGTGCAATGATTCTGCCCTCAAAATCATACATACAAAGATGATCAACCACATATTTGCCTTGATAGAGCAAAGCCGGTCACAAATGTCAAATTCGCATGCACAGCTAACATGCAGATGTGCGTAACTGGCAAGATTGATCAGAACGGATCAGAGGCCGGATCAGGTTCATCAAATTCTTATGATTTTACGTAATTAAGGGTCTGGAGAAGCCTTGACAAGCAAGGCAACGATCCTCATATTTTCGACAACATTTGCTCAAGCCAGATTGCTGCATTTGCATCTGTTCAAGACATCCTATCCCTCTTGCTGCCAGTCACCTCGACGACAAGATCCTCGGCACTACGATGTACATCTGATATGCCGGCTGTAACAGAAACTGCGAACAGAATGCAAGCGGCGAGGTATCTGCGTTGCCCCTTTGTAAGATCGCTAGCTATTCGCTGTCAAGAGCGCAAATCGTGGTCTCTTCTCCATCTCGATTGAACGCTGTGTCTACCTTTGACCGTTTACTCTCGTCCTGCTTTCTCTGCCGTCAAGCAGTCAGTTAGCCAAGTCATGCATCACGACACCTCGAAGACCCCTCTGGCACGGCATTCGATTTGCTCAGAATCGGACAGCGGCCTGAGCGAAGCCGATGGGATAGAATTCGACGATCAATAAATAAATGCAAGATAGGCGTACAGTATATTTCTACAACTTGGCAACTTCCTGCTCGATATGACAATGCATCTTGTACCCATTCATCTCGTTGATGGTCAACTTGCCCTCAGCAGCAGCAAGCTCGGCATCGGGGGCGGTCATGCTCGTAAACCCGATCCGCTCGTTGAGGTTCTCCGTAGCGCGGGCCGAGGCAGCCTGCACGCGTGTCGCACGTGGCTTGCGGATCGTCTCGTACAGCGCCAGGCCTTTCTCGATGTCGTTGGTGAAGCCGTACTTGGCGGAGAAGATGATTCCGAGGGCGGCAGCGTCCTCGATAGCTTGACAAGCGCCCTGCGATTGATGGGGCATCATCGGGTGCGCAGCATCAACGAGGACGCAGGCTTTGCCCTTCACCCAAGTCTGGGACAGGATGAGATGGAGAAAGCAGGGCTGAGGAGCGCCAAACTTACCTCATAAGGCTGGTGGACGTATAGTCTCCAGGGCATCCGGTCGATCGACTGCTTCAGTAGCGCAACACAATCAGGATCCAGTGTGTCATAGCGGCCCACGAGGATGTCCGAGACAGGAACTTCCTTGAAAGAGAAGCCCTCTTCATGATGCGATGTGAGTTCTGATGGCATGAAACCTGCACGTATAATGAGAGTGAGCGAGGCGCTGCATCGGTGGACAACACACTCACAATAGAAAGAGACAATCTCCCCGCCAGAACAGGGAGACATGACAATCTTATAGTATTTCGAGCGACCGTTTTTATCGGGAACGCCACCCCAGTATTGTCTGGGAAAAAAATATCAGATAAGAGAGACCTGCGACAGCGGCACTGACATAGCCGGAGCGTAGGAATAATCGACGAGACCCAGCTTCTTCACATCTTCAGTCAGGACATTGCAGCGATAACATGTTTGAGGTGCCGATTTCATGTCCGGTACGATGCCAAGCTGGCCGCGAACGGCAGACTGGTGGTTCATACAATCAGCTTGTTTTTAGTGAATGTAATATCGAGGCACTTGCGCACCCGGATACCGTCGGATCCAATGATGAGATCGGCGGACACGGTCACGCCGTTCTTGAACGTGACGGTCCCAGCCTCGGGATCGACAGTCTCACAGCTGAGGCTCGAATGTCAGGGAGCGCGTACGAGCGAAACAAGGTGCGGCGTACACATGATCTACGACCACAGTGCATGGCGTGCCCTTGCCTTCCACAGAGGTCGCCGTCTTCAGAAGCGTCGCGTGCATGTCCTGACGGTGGAACATGTTGTAGACGTTGCCCCACTCCTCCTCGTACTTCTCGAGCTTGTAGTCGTTCTGAACCCGGCCCGTCTCCCATTGTCGCATGACGAGATTCATCTGCGCCGAGTCAAGGCGTGCAAGCGCGGGTGATCGCAGAGCACCATGCTCACCAGCACAATCGGCTTCATGTCGGGGATGTCGACCTCCCATTCACGCAGCCACTGGGTTCCGTTGGCCGCACACGAGATGGAGGCGCCGACTTCGACGTTGAAATCGCGGCGCTCGTAGATGTTGACTGTCCGAGAGAGAGCTCAAGCAGGTACCGCGCTTTCAAAATCTAGTGGATGCCCACCGATGTGTCCAGCCCGCCGTAGAGCAACTGCGGCCGATAGACCACCGAGACCGCCGCCTACGACGGCGACTGTGAGTTGCCTGAATGCAGAAGTAGACATTGCAAGTTGTGCCGTCGGGGAGAGGACGGGTTCCTAGTTAAGACCCGAGGGAAACTAGAGCTCCAGCACTGCGACATGGTGTTATAAGTGTACAGGGTCCGTCCTAGAGAGGGCGAATGACCCGGCCTCGGGCGATCCGCGGCCGTGGGTGAAGTTGAGGTTGAAGGGAGATAAGATAGCCCCCGTGACGCACGTCACAGCGATATCTCAACACCATCAATGCGTCCGACTTTTGAAGTTCTATAATCACGGCTCTGTACCACTCCCCCGTTCTCTGTGTGCGCGACCTACGAAACGATGGCTCCCCCGCAATTCTACGATCCTGCGTCTCCTGATGAACAGCCGGTCGCGCTGCCGTCGGCACCCGCAGTAGCTCTGGCAGAGGGCATCATCATCCAGCCTCCGCTCACACGGCGCGGGACTGGACCGGGCTTGATCGTCTTTGTCCCGCCCGAATCCTCTCTTGACCTGTCCAATAAAACGGGTGATGAGAAACCGCTGGATCCACCCCCGGTACAGAAGTGGGCGGAGGAAGGATTCGCTGTCGTCGGAGTGCGTGATCTTGCTCGTCTCCCGGGTTTGCGAATCTCATCCTGGATCCGAGATTACCACTGGGCACGTGGATATCGTGGAATGCTTGAAGAAGGCTGTCGATGGGTTGCTGGCACTTGAAGAATTGGACACGAGGGAGAAGTTCGCAGTGGCAGGTGCGGATCCTCTCTCGCTTCTCTGTCTCAAAATATCTCATCGCAAGTCACCAGTATATGATCCTGCCGCGCTCGACGAGATCGTCCTCGCGCTGTCCTCCGATTCCCGATTTGCCTGCCTCGTCGTCTATGGGTCATGTCCCTCAGGGACGGTGCCGATTCCAACCCTCGCTCTCGTGCCTTGCGGGTCTTCAGTCACATCGAAGACTTCTTTGAGTGTGTTCAAGGTCGACTCCGGCGCGCCCCATTTCAGTCTCCCCCAATCGAACGAATTCGAATCCAGCTCGGCCTCGATCGCGCATAGCAAAGCAGCAGTGCACATCAAGAAATATCTCAGAGGACCATGTCAGTTAATATTCTTGATCTCTCACCAGGTTTCAGACTCAAGTGGGTCCCAGACTTTGATCTTGAAGCTATCTGGGAAGAGCACACCTACTTCGAATTCGAGGTCCGCAGTGTGGCGAAAACGATGGGCACGATGGTCGTAAGTATCGGGCAATCCTCCCGCGTCTATCTCTCAATCGCTGCGACAGGCAGAACCGTATGTGAACCACGTCCCAACGGTCTGTGGCCCGACTTGCTGGGGAGAGTTGACAGCCTAATTTGTCCTCCAGCTGGCCGGGGGCGTCGGTCGCAAGAATTTGACTGCGTTCTATCGGTTCGTTTCACGTTGCAATCTCGTCGAAATGCGTTTCTAATCTGAGCAGCGACCATTTTGTGTTCAAGTGAGTCTTGAAACATCCAAGAGCGACACGTAGTCTGAACAGTGGCAGCAACCCAGACGACACGCGGCTGCAGACCATATCTCGGACCGTTGGGACGGATCGAGTCGTTGGTGCGTACCTCGTCACTTTCTTCGATCTGTTCTGAACGAGGATAGATGAATTCGTCTTCCACGCGACACACAACAAGCAAATCGATTGGCTGCTGCCCGGAGTGCCTCCTACGGGCAAGAAATTGGCCATCCCGATGATGGGGGTGATCAATATCCGAGGCGACAGGCTCTATCACGGTCAGCAAGGCCCGCGCATATTGGTTTTCTGTTGACGAAGCGTCCAGAGCACATCTGGTGGGACCAGGGCACGGCCTGCTTGCAGGCGGGCATCATACCGACGCACGTGCCGTTCGAGGGAAAGACGCTCAGACTGCCTATTGCGGGTGTCGAGTCTGCGACGCTTTTGTGCGACGAGCGGTCGGTGCCCGCCAACGAGATGCTTGGCCCAGCATATGGTATTGTGTGATCTTGTTAGCCTTGGAAAGTACAAGAGGAAATTCGAGGACGCGGGCCGAGCCTGGTCGTCGCGGACAATGTATATTGGTCAGGATAAGTTGTCGAAGTGTTCGATTCAGATCCATTACTGAGTTGCCATTGTTTCTATTTCAAACACAGAATACGACATCAGACTAACGTGGAACATTCAAATGGGATCCGTAAGATATCTACAGTACACGGTGTTATGAATAAGTGGTCTACACAGCTACAAATGAAAACAAGACAGCAAGGACAAAAATATCCAACACTAGACTACAAAACCGCATCCGAATGGGCAATGGGACACAAGAAAGAAAACAGGACGAAACAGGCGAGTATCCAGGATATTCACCAGGTCCCGCTTCATCGCCCCGGCGCCTGCTCCGGTCTCAGGACGTCCAGGAACTGCGTCCATTCGCCATGGTTGAAGCCCATCGCGGCACCCCAGACCGTCTCGTCGTCCACCCCGTGCTGCGCATAGCCACCAGTGGCGTACCGGGACATATCGCCGGGACCGCCATAAGCCGGCGGCTGCGCGGGCGGCGGAAGCTGGTATCGGGGCTGGTCGGAATACGCATGGCTGTTGTGCTGCGGGTGGTGGTGGGGATGGTGCGCGAGATTGTTGGGTGACATCACGGCCGGCGGCGAGCGCATGTCCGCGGCGGACTGCGGGTACAGCGCGGATGCCGATGCGCTGGGGCCCGTGTTTCTGACCGAGGACAGATTCTGGAGCCCTCCGCTGTCCCCGTAGTGCGCGCTGGGCAGTGCCGAAACGAGGCCCAGCGGCGGACTGACCGAGGTGGAATTCGCCGGCGAGCTCATGCCATGGCCGTGCCCCGGCCCGCCCATCGCCATAGCTCGCGGGCTCTCGCCAAACACTTTCCGTTCCTGCTTGTCGTGGTACGGGAACGCAAGCCGCCGCACAACACCCAAGATCCGCGCCTTTTCCCGCTCCCGGTCAGAGCCACTCAGTGTCCGGAAGTCCGGGTCGTAGAGTGGGGCCAGACTGTTGAGCACATCCAGTCCCCGTTCGGCAACCCCAGCGCCCCGATGGAGCTCGAGAGTCGACATGGCTTTCCGGACACTATTTCGGAAAAACGAGGCGCCGGCCTGCTCAGGGTTCGCAATCAACTGGAACGAGAAGAACATGGCAGCAGAGAAACAGTGGAACGGGCCCCAGTTCATGTGTCCCGGCACAGCAAGACCCGCACTCGCGTTGGCGCCCGGGCTCGTCGAAGTGCCAGGTGCGAGGAAGTCGGGCCGCGCCTGGCTCGTCATGGTGATCAGTTGGTCCGCTGCGGTGACCGCGATCTCTAGGCTCTGGGCACACTGTTCGGGCGACACATGTCCCAATCCAGTCCCTGGCTTCGCCGCAGCGCTCGCAAACTGCCGGTGCAGCGTAAATCGGATGTGGAAGTACGATGTCCTGACGACAACGCTTTGCACGCCGAGCCGTCGGGTTGCCAGGTTCAGCGATGCCAGATTTCGTGCCAAACGGTATTCATCTAGATCAAGCTCGTGGGGAAGTGTTTCCATCCATGAAGCCAGCGCCCGATCATTCGCAAGAATGCTGTTGTACGGGACAGGTCGAACGGAAACAGCATCGTCCATAATATCGCCGAGGATGAACGCGAGTCGGAACAAAGCGATGTTGGGCAAGTACAGGCGCCCGCTCTTGTCTAGCGATGGGTCGCAATACGAGGGCAGTTGAGTATCGAAATGATGGGAGGAGATGGATATCGGACGGCCAAACATGAATGCCTGCCATCTGAGCAGTGTGAGCGAAACTGGGAGAAAGAAGACGAGCATCGAAACACACCGTTCCAAAAGCACAATGTGCCACCATGCCCAACGTCGGCGTTCGGCGATATCCCGGTGCATCCTCCATCGCCCTGGATCTCGGTGCAGGCCCATCGCAGTCCCGATAGTGACGATTTCGCCCTTGGCATGCCAAATCTCCTCCCCATCACGCTTGGTCGTGGTCATGTAATGACACCGAATCAACAACAGCTCGATCAACTCCAGCGAGTACGAGCGATCGTCGCTCATCCTCCGCTGCAGGGCCGTCGTAGACACATCGAAGTATCTCAGCCCCAGTTGCTCATGGGGTATAGGTTCGCCCTGGCTTTGCGCCTGCTCCAGGGCATGCTCCAATAGCCGGTGCTGAGGAGGAAGGTAGTACGTGGCTAGAGCCATGATGACGCATGCCGTGCTAAGGATAACGCGGTCCGCAGAAGTCCCGCTCTTGTACCTCTCCCAGTGCGTGAGGAAGACGTGTTGGTTCACATGCCTGTAGATCCAGTTGCAGAATTCGAAGTAATACGCGATCAACCCATCGATCGCTTCGATGGAAGGGAGCAAAGCGAGAAGGTCGCGGTCGTATTCGTTTGAGCTGGTTAGCGGTGGCGGCGGCGACGGTCGGCTGAAGGTCGCGGGTCGATCTGGGTCCGATTCTTCAGAGCTACGAGCGTCAGGGTTGGACTGGAAGAGATATTTATATTCTACCACCTCGAGCGCGGAAGATATAGACGTACCAGGAGTAGATGTGATGTCGTCGCTGTGACTCCTGTATATAACCCACCCTTCTCGCGAGAACCGAGCATCCCTGGGGTCACGCTCGTCGGTGTGGCCCTCTCTGACATGTCCATGTCCACTGGCTCCTTCTTGAGGACGACGGAGCCAGGTGACTCGGGAGGTCGCCGATTATTGGCATATGGACGCGACGGAAACACGTAGGCTTCGAGGAGCGATATGGACTGTCTCAGTCGGGCGAATTCCTGGGCAGGATCAACGCGTCTGCACAATGGTTGAGAAATGAGGACGGTTTTTTGCAGGAGCACGACATACTGAGCACCATCATCTCCGCGGGGGCCGTATTCCCCAGGTTCAGGGCCCCGGCCGTCCTGATAACAGGATGTAGCGGTTCCTAGGAGAATGGGAATGAGCGTTGTACATGACGTATGTTTAGAACGAGGATCGCACCTCTCAGCACACACGATGAACACGGGCGGTTTCTGCATGGGAACGTTAATTGTGTGTTCTGCCGGAGCATCACGGACTGCGCGCGTACCGGTCGCATTTGAGCTTGCTGTTCCGACAGGGCTCACAGTTGATGGCTTTGCGTGCGCGCTTGGTGGGACGGGAAGCGTCGGATGAGTCGGGGCCGGGAGAGGTTCGTCCTCGGACAGAACCAGCGGAGGATGTTTTTGGAGGCTTGGGCCGCGGAGCTACTGGAGAAGTAGTCGCCGCTGACGAACAACTGTCCTCTGGCATCATAGAGACTGCCGTTTTAAGAGACAGATGAGATGCGGATGTCGGACGGGATGGGAACGGCAGCAGAGGAGGCAGGAGGGAGGGCGCAAGCAGAATGCGCGAGAGGGCAGCCTTGGAAGGACCAAAATGATTTAGTTTCTTGCCCAAACAATTTAGCAAGCAAACGAGCCCAGTGTCCGGGGTCTTTGATCCGGCTGCGATAAGTAGCTCTCCCAGGTACCACGGGCCTCCGAGCCTGGTGTCTCACCCACCAGCCCCGTCCATCGCTGTCAGTTTGTCCTGTGGAAGCTCATCCGCAAACCACGGCATCTAAGGCTATCACTTCGTCCGCTCTTTCGGCCTCCGCCTTCTTTCAGATTTCTGGGTTCTCCCTCGTGTCGTGCGTCGAGCTAGAGACCTTGACAAGGTCAGGGCCAGCGTCCGCATGTGCTTGGACTGCTCCCATGTTCTAGTCTCGCTCATGCTTGCAACCGGTCGTCGATCGAGACCCATGCAGGCCGACGACCGCATGCATTCATTACCGTCGACCCCGTGCAGGCTTCTCTGTCCCCGGACGGACCAATGCCCGTGCATACAGCGTAAGTGCACACGCGCTGTGTACGTCATTTCGGCCCTACAGTATCGTGGGGCACCAAAGCTGGCCCGCGCAGAACGCACTCAATATCCTTCACGATGTCCGGCGAATTTCTCTCTCATTCTGCGTCGGCCAATGTCAAGATGATAGGGCACTTCACTTGATCAATTCTATTGCGTCTGCTCTGGGGTCCCAGCAACAGTGCGACGAGCAGCAGTTGATAATCAACGCCGGCCATTGAAATGTCCGCACCGAGGCTCACGTGCAGTCGCCATCCAGCCAAGGAAGACGTGAACTTTCTCATCGTTGTCCTTGGTGCCAGCACTTCTACAGTCTCTGATGGACATGGACTGTTATGACGTCGACGGGAAACACACGAGAATTAGAGTGTGAACTGCTAGCGTCGAGAAGCGTGAAGGCGACTGACTGTGGATGGGCGAGGAACAGAGCGCACGGGCCAGACCTAGAAGACCGGGGAGAGTCGGGACCCGTGGTGTCATGTTTGTGTTGTGGGCGCAGAGCTAGGCTGTCCGCCATCACTATCAATCGAATACCGGACGGTGTCGATTGACCCATGCACGGATAAGCGGAGACAGAATGTTTGTTCCTTCATCTCCGAACAGCAAGCACATGCAGGACCCCGAACTTTCAAGTTATCCAGGCTGGTCGGGTTACAGCGTGATCTGCGACGCTATGCTTGAGGCGAGCGACCGAACTCTCAATCTAAGTGAACCAGAGAGCAGCCCATCAGGAGGTCGAGATCAAGCGAATGACTTTTCCTGCGAGGCCATCGGTCCGGATGGCACGCACAGCCATCGACGACGGGAGATTTTTGCCCAAGAGAACAATCCACTGTCATCTGTTCCGGGCGTCTGTGACGGACGATGCATTGAACGATGCTGAGCGCTCTCAGTGACGTGCCAGATGCATAAAAATCAGACAGGAGATGCCGCCATCGACTTGTGCAGATTTAAATAGTGATGCAGAATTACGGAAGCCTCTCATCTGCTTTTGCTGCTCGTTGAGAGACAGGATGCACTGCACTGCGCTGATACTCTTGGAAGATAATGAGGAGGCTTTGTGGTTCTCGAAGTTGGCCGCCGAGCTCAATTACATTGCCTGCGAGCAAGATTGGTAATTGCACGAGTTGCTTTATGATCAGATGCCACTCCAAGTGGGACGAGTCAAGCCAATCACTGTCAGATTAGACAATCGAAAACTTCTCCCTCTGAGTTTCTTCACGTGTCTTGTGCCTCGAGTTGGTGGCTGTGAGTGCGAGAGACTGAACTTTGTTGATCTGGGGCACGTGCGACATGTGTATCACGGGACCGCAATCGCGATCGGTCACGTCTGTCACAACCATCGAAGTCGAACCAACTTTAGCCTCTGCCTCTGCGTCGTGCTCACAACCTATCCACGCCCCTCTCTACTCTGCGACGATGAGTACGTCGGCAACCGCGAAGGTCAAGGTCATTGCCCGTTTGCGTCCAAGCGGGCGCGGAGAGCAGCCCGACCCTGGGGTCCGCATCTGCCACAACGAGCCTAGCAACTCGTCATTCACCATAGTCAACAGCAGCGGGAATACTAGTATCAGCGACAGTACGTCGACGACGCTGTTCACCGGTGTGGCGGTGGTCAACCCGCGTGACCCGACGCAGATGTTTCGATACCCGTGAGTCCCTCTTATGGTAGCCTAGGAGGAAGTAGCTCCTGATAAGGTATTGTAGATTCTCTAGCTGTTACGGGCCGGAGGCTACACAGGAGTCGATATTCGAGACTGATGTGCTGCCACTTCTCGACGTGGCGTGGTCGGGCATCGTGCGTTTTCTGGTATGAGACAGGTGTTGTGGCAACTAACTACTTCCTGAAGACGGTGACTATTTTCGCATATGGCGTTACTTCCTCCGGCAAGACACATACCATGCAAGGCACTGAAGAAGCTCCCGGCGTGATACCACGCGTTGTCAACACCCTCTTCGACCGTGCTTCCTCCTCCGCAACCCGCTCCGAAATTGCCGTCTCCTACATCGAGATCTACAAGGACGATGTTTATGATCTACTGGTAGAAAGGGAAAACGTGCTTGCATATCGCTGAGCCGGTTTGATTGGATCTGACCTGCGCTACTCAGGCTCCCAAACTACCCGTGCGGGAAAACGATGCGGGCCAAGTTTTCGTTGCGGGCCTACTCTCGACTTCTATTTCCAGCACTGCCGAATTCGACTCGCTCTATAGGTGCGATGTTTCGGATTTGTTCGACACACATTCTGATAGCACACTCTAGCACCGCAACGAAACGCCGGTCGGTTGGCGCAACATTGCTCAATCGTGCTTCTTCGCGATCACACTCTGTCCTGACCTTGTATCTGCGAGCTCAAGAAGGGGACAGAATCCGCGAAGGGAAGATCAACCTTGTTGATCTTGCGGGGTCGGAGAACAACAAGGTAACACATCGTATCGGCATATATGGGAGGCTGACAGCGTACAGCTCACTGGCAACGATGCCTCGCGCATGGCTGAGAGCTCTGCTATCAACAAGAGCCTGAGCGTGCTTGGCCAGGTTGTCCATGCCTTGAACACAGGCGCTGTGGGTCTTATCTTCATTCTTGATTGGCCCGTTCATTTAGCCCAATTCGGCAGTCCCGCGTCCCATATCGCAATGCGAAGCTGACGCGTATACTTCAAGATGCACTCGGCGGCTCGTCTGTCGGACTGCTTATTTGCAATCTAGCCCCAGGCACCAAGTTTAGACAGGACACATTGAACACTTTGAAGTGAGCCCAAAGCACTGCAGGTCGACATTGAGGCTGATCAAGCTGTAGTTTTGCGAGTAGAACGAAGAATATCGAGAATAAGCCTGTGGTCCACGAGAAAGGTGAGTATGAACTACATGCCCTGGATGCTCTAATCTAGTTTCCAAGCTACTGTTCCACCACCCATCATACCCCCACCAGCAGTGTTGGCCGTAAAGCCTGTTTTAGGAAACCGACAGGGTACCCGTCCGTCTCTTGTGCCTCGTCCTGCTTCGCGGGTATCCTCCTACGGACTTGGTAACCATCGCACGTCAAATTTCGGTCTCGACGCCGGGAAAGAGAACCTCTTGGGCAAAGTAGTAGCCAAGGTCAAGGAGAAAACACCCGGGTTGAGCGAGGCTGAAATCGATGCCAGGGTGTGTTCGAATAGCGCTGTTTGTTGTTTGCCGCTCACGCTCGATAGATTTCACGGGCTGTAGAAGCTGAGGTGGCTCGGCGTGTTGCAGAGAGCCGGCAGCAATGGGAAGAGGAGCGGGCTCGTGAACGAGAGAAGGAACGGGCGGAGCGAGAAGCTGAACGGGAACGAGTAGAGAAGACGAAGGAAGCCGGCCCGAGTCGGAAACGGCGGCATGAGTTTGACGACGACGGGAATGTTGACCAGATGATCCGCCGACACCATGATCTGGATGATCAATTGCAAGCGCGGTTGGCCGAGTTGGAGCGAAAGTTGTCCGTGTTTTTTTCCCTTGATTTTGGATTCCTTCTCATTGTTCTCTAGTGAACGCGGTAACCCGGAAGCTATGACCGGAGCCATGTCTCCAGTCTCCAAGAAGAAAACCGGTCGTGCTTATGTTGCATTGGCTAGAATGCACCAAGACAAGTGAATTATTGTGGCTATTGATCAAGTATTTCCCGACTAACCTGTCTTAGGGGAAATCTTCAGGTTGCTCTGGATTTGTACAAGCGGGCGGAGACGTATGTGCCTGACAATGTCAAGCTTAAAGAAAGGTGGATCCTGTTTCTTGTGCACGTCTTCCTGTGTCGCGCCGCTGCTTCTTCGACCGCACCTGCGAGTAAGAGTCGTGCTTCTGGTGCGTCCTCGAAGGCGGCGACTTCGAAGGCTCCGACTGCCAAGGCACCCGGTGTTGTTTCCAGGCCTACAGGAACAGCGCTTGGGACCAGTGGAAAGGGCACCGTCGGTAGCAGCGGACATCGCGGGAAGACGGGCGCTGGAATGATCAAGCGCTGACCTGACGACTTAGGATCATCGAGGTCGAATGGGCTGTCAAACACGACAAACCGTTCAAGCCTTCACCGAAGAGGAATAAGAACAAGAAGGCCCGACGGGCTCAGACGCCAGTCGAGATGGAGATCGACCCGGGCCATCATATTCTCTCGGACGACCAGATGGAAGTGGACGCGATCGCGACGTCGTTGGTCGGCAGAGCCCCGACTGAGCGCACGAACATTGTGCATGAAGACCAACCGATGGAAACACCTGCCAAAAAGCCAAAGCGAACAGTTATAGACAAGGCGAAAGCTGTACTGCACGAGGAGGAGAATACCGAAGACAACACTGCACCGAGGAAGACTTCACGGCTTGCAGTCTGATCATTGTTCATTCACAACTATGTACATATCTTATCATCTTGTTTATATCCCCCCGCGACCACCGATCCTGCAAATAAATGTATTGTAACTACATACCCTGCGATGCGTTGAAAATTAAGCGTAGAAGCCTCCACTCGAGCCAGAGGAAAAGCGGTCTCCCAGTCCGCGAGCTTCCTTAATCATTTTGTTACGCTTATCGGAATCCATGACGCGTCCCGAAAGCCCCATATCTCTGTCACGATCCCAGATGGCTTTCGGTTCGTCGTCTTTCTTGGCTTCAGCAGCGTTAGCAATTTTGTGACAGAGCAAGAGCCAAAACTCACGCTCTTTCTTGAGCTTTTCGTTGTGTGCCTCGACTAGTGCTGCACCTCTCGTTCTCTTGGTGTGCTCATCAACACCTCGGCGTATGTCTTCATCCACACGTGCTCGTTTCCTTCGCTCCAGATCGGTCCTCTCATCTACAGGCGCTTCGGAGTTGGCGGCTCGTCGCCTCTTGCCGGATACTTCGTCTGCCAGCCTCTGAGCACGCTCTGCAGGTGTCTCAGTCCAAAGCGAGGTGTCTTGAGAGGACGCGGCTGGTGCAGCGGTGGCGCGGAATGTGCGTGGCCGAGAAAGCTTGGCAGGATCGAGGGTTCCGAGGAGGGCGGACGAGCTAGGTGGGACAAGCATCCATTCCTCGCGTTGTGGGACTTTGGGTTTGAGGGCATCCTGCGGATGACATGTGTGAGCCGGCAAAGTCAGATGACATCGGGGGGTACGCACCTCTCGTTCCTTCCTCCGCCTCTCCTCTCGCTCCATGAACTCGGCGACTGGATCGAGCTCCTGCCGTGCTGCGTATCCAGCAGGCAGAGGCCGTGGTCCCACGTCGTCGTCGTCGTCGTCATCATCATCTTCGTAGAACCCGTGTTGGGGCGGCATACTGGGCCCCATAACAGGACCCCGCGGCTGCTGTGGTGCCGCCGGTCCAAGCTTTTTGGAAGACGACGACGCAGCGAGATCAGGTGGGAGCGCAGGCCCGTAATCGTCGTCCGAGTCGTCATCTTGGGATATAGGTGGGATCTTTGAGGCTGCAACGACTGGTTCCGTTACAGGTACTGATTCTGCATCGTGGATGTGTATACTGGCCTCCCGGTTGAGTAGATGTGAAGGAATGCTGGGGCCGATGCTTGCTGCAGCTTCAGAGGCGGATGGTGCAGGCTCTGCCTCGTCTTCATCGGCTTCGACTTGGTGCCTTTGGCTTAGGAGGTGTGAAGGGATAGCTGGGCCAATACTAGACATTGTTTGTGTGAGAGCAATAGAATCATGCGGGGATAGCCGAGCGCATCAATAATGTCAGGTGACCGTTTTGACTACTGTCTCGTGTTGCCTACGCCACATTCTACGAGTCAGAGTCACAAGGACTTCTGGACTGATCATAGGCAGTCTCTCTGAAGGCACATCTCTTCCATGTTTGAATATATTGTCCGACAGCCATCTGGATCCGTGCTCGATCACAACCCCAAAAATTGAGGGATCACTTGCATGCGTGTCGAAGAGCCAGAGGGTTCGACTCCTGTCCTCCAGTATCCGAGACAGCCCACAATTAGCTCCCGTCCGAAGACTTGAGAAGAATGTGTGCAGACGCGTTCAGGACCCACATTCGTTCCACGTGACCGCGATCAACGACGGAATTTTCTGGAATCTTGTCGACTACGGTCACTTTAAAACCACAACTCTTTTCTAATTGTCAACCATTTTACCAACATGAGTGTAAGTTCCGACCTCTACCATGTGTCTACCGCATCGCTGATTCGAATCCAGGCCACAGAGCTGAAAGACCTCGGCAACAAGGCGTTCGCCGCGAAAGATTACGACAAAGCGATCGATCTGTTCACGCAAGCCATCGCGGTTGACCCCAAGAACCACGTCCTGTACTCGAACAGGAGTGCCGCACACGCAGGGAAGAAGGAGTGGGCGGCTGCGCTAAGTGATGCTGAGGAGGTGTGTGTTATAATCGCCGCTCGCCAGGGTGGATCAATTACCAATACACGCAGTGTGTGTCCGTGAACCCGTCTTGGTCGAAGGGATTCGCGAGGAAGGGTGCGGCTCTACATGGCGCGCGACGATACGACGACGCGATCGCCGCGTATGAAGAAGGCTTGAAGCTGGAGGACAGCCCGGCGTTGCGGAAGGGATTGAAGGAGGTCCAGGATGCCAAATGTGCGTGGATCTTATGGCTCAGGCATATCGGTCTCTTGAATTGTTATAGCCGCGGAGTCTCAAGAGCCCACTGGTTTTGGGAAGATCTTCTCGGACCCTGCGCTGCTCGGCAAGATCGCGGCTAACCCACGGACGGCTAAACATATGGCGGACCCTTCGTTCGTGCAAAAGGTGAATGGTTTCTCATGCTGATAGACACTTCATCTAAACTTCATCCAGCTGCAAATGATGCAGAGGAATCCTGCCCTTGCCGACTCGTAGGAGGAATTTTTGTGTCACCATCCTGAACTGACACCGTCGGCTCAGGTTCATGCAGGACCCTAGGATGATTGATGTTCTCGGAGTTGCCATGGGTATCGACATGCAAGGCTTTTCCAGGCCCGAAGGCTCTGACGACATGCCGCCCGGCGTGGTGCCCACCGAGCAATCCAGCCCATCACCTGCAGCCTCGTCCTCGAAGCCGACACCGACACCGGCACCAGCGCCCGCCCCGGCAGCGCCTGTGGCCGAAGATGTGGAGATGGAGGATGCAGATGATGAAGAGGCTCAGGCCAAGAAGGAGGCAGAGACTGCAAAAAAGCTCGGTGGCGAAGCTTACAAGAAGCGTGACTTCGAAGAGGCCGAGAAACAATTCTCCAAGGCTTGGGATCTCTGGCCGAAGGACGTTACCTTCCTGACTAACTTGGGAGGTCTGTGGTCTTCGAACGTGATAATACCAATGCCGTAACTGACTGTTTTGTGCAACAGCGGTTTATTTTGAGCAAGGCGAATTTGATAAGGCAATCGAAACGTGTGAAAAGGCTGCGGACGAAGGCCGCTCCCTCCGCGCTGATTACAAGCTGATCGCGAAGGCTTACGGTCGCATTGGATCGTCCTACCAGAAGAAAGGAGACCTTGCGTCTGCCATCAAATTCTTCAACAAATCCCTGACGGAGCACCGGACGCCAGATATCCTCAACAAACTTCGGGAAGCTGAGCGAGCCAAGTCTGATGCTGACCGACAGGCTTACATCGACCCGGCGAAGAGTGCTGCTTCCCGTGAAGAGGGGAACACTCAATTTAAGGCTGGCGACTTTGTCTCTGCCGTGAAGAGCTACACGGAGAGCATCAAGCGTGATCCAAGCGATGCGCGTGGGTACAACAACCGTGCCGCAGCCTACATGAAGCTTGCAGCGCTGCCTGAAGCACTGAAGGATGTCGACGAGGCAATCAAGACGGACCCTGGAATGAGTCAGTGTCTGCGCATCCTCTGTTAGTTCTCAGCTGATCAGTGACTGCAGCCAAGGCCTATATCCGTAAAGCAACGATCTTGTTCTCGATGCGGGAGTACACGAAAGCGCTCGAGGCTGCGCAGGCTGCTCGGAATCACGATCCGGAGAACAAGCACACGCGGGAGATTGTGGAGCAAGAAAACAAAGCACAACAGGCCCTGTACGCACAGCGAGGATCGGAAACTTCGGAACAGACGTATGAGCGTGCGATGAAAGACCCGGAAGTGGCTGTGGGTCTTTCTGAGTGGCGTTTAGATTCCATGCTGACTTCGGTTCTAGGCCATCATGGCCGACCCGGTGATGCAGCAGATCTTGCAACAGGCACAGGGCAACCCAAGCGCTCTCCAAGATCACATGCAGAACCCCATTGTCCGAGAGAAGATCATGAAGCTAGTCAATGCTGGTATAGTTCTTCTTTCCAACACGCGTTTGCAAGCACTCACGTCTTGGATAGGCATCATCCGAACAGGTTAAGGGTGTAATAAATCAATGTATTGTATCTGTCACGACATCTCTGTTCTTTTTTGTATCCCCGACTTTCGTTGCAGCTGGCACATAACGCAGAAGCGCGATTTGGTGACCACCCAGCTCTTCAACGGGTGCTGTTGAAACCCAGATCCAGCTGGCAAATAGGCTCTAGTGGTCAATGCGCACACGAGCCGCCAAGCAAGGTTCATATGTTATCAATGTCCGACATACGTCCCAGTGAATGAGACGCGTGCAGTCATACAGACTTTAAGGCGAGGCCCGGATGGGCGTTGACAGAGTCCCCAAAGTCCGGCTGCCTTCAGCTGACACACGTCCGCGAGGACAAGCACGGGCACGTCGAGTTCAGGAGTTCCAGAAATGGCTTGCAAGACATGGTGTATTATCATGTTGAGTAGAAACACAGAAGCCCTGGTATGATGACATATCCCTCGCGGGGGGTAGACGCGTTTGACGGACAATGGCAAGAGCTGCAAGGCATACAATGGGATTGTGCAGAAAGCCTCCAAGAACGAAGAGTCATCAGTACAGAGAGCTCCAGAAAGTTCAAGACGTCATTTCCGGTACGCATTCTCTTCGTCTTGGCTGTCAAAGCCTGTGGGATAGGAAACGCCTGTTGTTCTGTGGCAGCAGCGGGAACATCTGTCCACTTTCCTCCAGGACGGTTCTTCTCGCAATGCTCCGCCCCAATGTCAGATCCAGGAAAGGGGTTCGGCCCACATTCTGTCGCACTCACTGTGCAAGTCTGCTCGAGAAGTCAGCGAGATCACAGAGATTGTCCTCGCAGGCCCCGTGGCCCCTTCTCCCTCCTTCATATCACTTCGATCCCAGGATCTCGGATTCTATTTTGGGGGAGCCCGAGATGCTCAATATCGCCCGCGCGTCCGAGCTGGATCTTCGGGGCCCAGAATATCTATCATGCACGTCGACTCACGGCCGACCGAGCTGCCAGGCAGGTCGTGGACCCACATTTGATCCATTAAAACGCGATGGCCGATGTGCCGGCCAAGTAAGGGAACGTTCGTCCGGGGCACTGCACCCGCGAGGCACCCAACTATGCCAGCACGCAGAGATCGGGTGGTAGCAAATGGTATAATGTGCTTCAGGATAGCCAGATAGATGATTTCAAAGTTTGTTCGACATTCGCAGCCGAGGTTCTGACGCGTCAAATCGGGCCTCGCATGTCCAGCAGCAAATTTGGGGCCACTCTCAGGTCGTTGGGACAGCGGCCCATAGCCCGATGCGAGATAGTGCGGCGGCGACAGGCTTGCCTGCTTTGCGGGCTTTCGCCCTCGGACGAGGTCGTTTGGCATACTGAACGCAGACAGACAGTGTAAGTCACGGGATCTGATAATGGCTTCAACTTCCTGGTCTTCTCTCGCTCGAGAAATTCCCTTGTCACCCCGTCAAAGATTAACGAGAACAGAATGCTCAGCCGAAGCAAGGTACTTATGCCTAGCCGAGCGACGGAATCTGTCTCCCGACGGGCAACTTCTGTGCTGCGGTTGTTTGCTCGGGCTTCAGATGATCCTGGCACAGATTTTGGACCCAAAATCATCTCAAGCGCTTTCATATAATTCCATGGGAACAAGCCACGATGCAGGTCAGCTCTCCCACAGCGATCGTCGCTCGCCATTTTCCCGACCATCTGGAGCAATGCGATATCCCCACTCTCCTGGAACGAGATCGAAGCGAACCCTCGAATTCCATCTGGGACTAGCGACGGCTTCTATCCACACCTCCGACCGACTCCTTTCTGAATCGATTGGGTTGACAATGGCAGTGTCTGACTCCCCCGTGACGCGTTCGAAATCGCGCGTTCGCACGGCAGAACTTGGGTGGGACGCGCGTCCAAAGTGATATATCTCTGTCCACCGGTTTTGGAATGCAGCGATCGCTTCACATCTCGTTCTGGTATAAGAGCTCGGGCTCATGTGGTGGGAGCCCGCACCGCCTTGTCTCTCGCTCTTCGTCCTCGCCTCTCCCTCTATGGACCAACTAGTGCCCTTCCGAGCTATTCTGTTTCCCACTGATGGTCTGTCGGCGGTTTCTGCTGCCAAACTCCTCTCTCAGTGTCACTCTAGGTCGTCAGCCTTCGGTTGTGAACCTAATGACGAGGTGGGTTTTGTTTTCCCCCTGCCACACCTCGGCTGACAATGTCCCTCCAGTCCCACCCACTACGGTACTGCCCCAAGTGGAACACGAATGCCTCATCCCGAAGCTCACATGGACTATGTGAGTATTGATTGTCTCTGTCTGATGCTCGCTCACAAGTCCTGCAGGTGGCGGAATCAGTTGGGCTCGGTGGCGCCAAACCATGGCGGTATATCGTGAGCTCGTGTCTAAGAACTCCTCAGCCGGCGTCTCACCCATTTGCGTGCGCAGATCGTCGACTCGCTGGACGGCATGAGCAAGAAATTCAACCACCCGTACATTGTCTACTACCCCACCATTTCACGAGATGGCATGCCCTTTCCTGTCAACAAGAGCATTCGGGACATGCAGGGCAATAATTTCGACGAGAAGGTGGCATGGCGAGGTCAGCCTGGTCCATCCATCTTATCTTATCCGATCTTATCGCATCTCGCAGGCAACATCATCATTGGCAAGTTCAGCGACCATGAGTGCCCGTTCGCTTCGATGGTCGACGCTTCCATTGCCGACTTCGTCATTCTCAAAAACTACCTGCGGTCCCGCGGATCTCCTCGCATGCAATGAGAAAACTGGAGCCTTGGACTCTTACTCAGGGATTGAAGACTGGACTATGTTTCGGATTTTAGCACACACTGGTATTCACTATAGAGCATACGGCTTGCGAAATATCTTTTACAATTCTTCGCGTTCCTCCTCGACCTTTTTCCACTTCTTGGCCTCGGCTGCGTGCTGCTGAGCCAAATACCGATCACGCTGGGCGGATTCAATGTCGGCTTGCTCCTGCTTGCTGGCATCGCAGTGCACAGGGACCGGGCTTGCCGGGTCAATGGGCGGGTGCAAGACACGGCCGACTTTCACGTAGTCTTTATGATTCTTGAAGAATCCCTTCCAGTGTTGAACACCCTGATATAACACTTCAACGGATCGAAACTTGCGTAATCGGGAACACTCACCTCCCACTCTTTATTCGACAGGCCACGCAGATCATGGGTGCGGTGTGTTTGGAAGCAGCCCGTCCCAAAAGCCCGGGCTGCGTCGATCCCAGCCCTATCATTCAATCAGTAAGCATAACCACGCCGTCCACAAGTTGCAGAGCGCACATGAAGTGGTAAGATCCGCCAGGCTGGTATGCCTTCCCCTTACTCACGTCGTAGATATCACCGTCGATCTACGCGTCTCAGTAAGCAGGAATATCAACTGCGTGTGCTCGCGCGCCACGCTCACCGCAATATACGTGGCCTTGCCGTTCTCTCCGTTGAACTGCGATAGTGCCTGCTCAGAGAACAACCGTCCGTCCATCTACGAGCCATTAGCCAAACCAAACCGAAACGCGCAAAATATATAGAGCACGACTCACGGGAACCATCCGCTTCAACTGGAGCCACCGCGTCTCGTACTCCCAGGTATAGCTCCCCGTGACGAACTTGCCCAGCAGCGCAATGCTCACCGCGAGCCCGAGGAAGAACTTAATCAGGCCCCACACCCCCACGTCGATCGGCTCCGTAGGGTCCCGCTCAAGCCGCCCGGCGGGCTCCCCGCGTGCAATCTTCTCGTCGTGCACACGCTTCTTCTCCAGCCAGGCGTTGTGCAGCGCTTCCTGCTGTGCGCGGTATTCCTGGTGCCTGACGCGTCCGAGTGAGCGGAGTGTACAGCTGGGGAACACAGTAGAGGCGGAGAGTCACCTCAGGAACGGTTGGTTGGCGGATTTCGCGGAGACCATGCGGTCCTTGATAGCAGGGTCCTGGACCTTCGCCTCTGCGTCGGTCCATTGAGAAAGGCTTGAGCGATCGTATTCCCATACAACTCACCGTCCTTGGGGGTTACATATGTAGGCACATCTTGTCCGGTTAGACCACCGAGCCACGACATGACGGCAGAAAGGACAACGATCGTGTGAGCCAACTCATCAAATCGTGCACAAATGGGAAACGGGGGATTCCATAAGCATAGTTCATTCGTAGACCATATACAATAGCAGCGTATGTTATTACTGGGAGCCAACCCAAATGTAGTGTAGCGTAGAGATTACAGTGTGGCAGAGGTGAGTTTGTAGTAACAAGAACTTGTGTATGTACGGCATAAAAGAATGAATGCCGAGCACGCAGTCATGCAGCATAGGAGGAGAAAAGCATTATTGGACGGATCGACAACCCCCGGCGTCGAAAGAAGAAGCAATGAGATGCGCATAGAAAGAGATGCCAAAACCCATGCAAAGGACCCACGCAAACCCCACATTACGAACCATTGGCCGCAAGCAGCCGGTGTTCTCGTTCGCTTGCTTGCTGAGAGATGGTGATGTACGCACCACCTGTCTCTTCCAGACCAGGAGGGGCAGACGGGTTCGACGGAAGCATCCGGATGTCGTCGGTGTTTTCAAAGTCCTCCACCCAATTCCGCACAGCCAGGAACTTTGGTGTCTTGATGAACTGGGCGACGAATGAGCTCGGCGAGTCGAGAAGAAAGAAGCGATACTTACCTTGGGAACCGAATCCGTAGCCATGAGCCGGAAAACATGAGTCTGAATACGTTCATATAACCGGATCATCGTCTGCAGCTGGGTAGCGTTGAAAGCGTTGGCTTGCTCAGGGTCGACCTGGCCCTGGAATGCCTTGCCCGTCATGCTGGTCACAACCTCCTCCAGATACTTGGACAACTCGTTTCGCAGGCCGTGGTCGATGTTGAGCTCGCACTGACTCGATGGCGCAAGGTACTTGTTGTAGATGTAGAAAGCCGTGCTGATCAACGACTCGTGGTGCTTCTCCATCGCAGCCTGGCCCGGTGTGCTCCGAGCTGGCTTCTGGGGACCAGCACCGACCGCAATGGCACTCGACGTGATGTTGAATTTGCGCTTGAAGTCCTCGACCTCCAGCCAGAACGACAAGTTCTCCTCGCAGAAGTTGCTTTTGAGGAACTCCCTGAAGAGGGAACGCAGGGCAGGATCCTCCAAAATGTACTTGAGACGATCGGTGTTGCTCTCCTTGCCGGCTTTGTGAGCTTCGTAGTTGAGCTTCTCGGCGATAGAGATCCTCCTGTGAATTTTGGCATCACTCGGCTTCTTATTTCCGTGCTCGGGGTCGTCCACCGACGACCGTGTCGTGGACAAATTAGCAGAAGAGCTGCTGGGCGAATCGTGACTGCGAGTGTTATCCCAGTGCGCAACCCGGCGTCCCTCGTCGGTGATCTTGTAGATGGCTTTAGCTGTGCAGCGGAACTCGCCGTGTTGCTATCGATACATCAGAAAAACGTAATAGGAACGGAAGACGACAACGTACGCTGACAGGTGAATTTCCGCCGGGTGCAGATCCACGAACGGTAAAGATGATGGCGGAATCATTGTTCTTCCGTTTGTCGCTCACCAGGATGATGAGCCCGAACCGCACGAATTGAGCGGCCATCTCAGCAGCCTCCTCCCTGCCCACAACCGATGTAAAATCGCAAAGCCACTCAAGAGCGGTAACTGCGGCGAAACAATACTTGTGGGCAGGATTCTTCCCCTGAAGCGACTGAGAGCGGTCCGAAACGTCCATGAGCTGGCAGCCTTTGGAGCGCTCATTGTACTTTTGGAAGGGGTCGAGGGGAGCCGTCGACTGGGCGCCATAATTCGGTTGACGGCCGATGAAACGGCGGAAAAGGGCTGTGATAACAGACTGCGTCACGATGATCTCGTCATCCACCGACCGACGTTCCAGGTGAAGCAGTTTGATGCAGATGGGCTGAGAGACGAACACGGACTGGAGGTGGTCGGCGTTGATGCCGTTCTTGCTGATGAACCTCTCCAACACATGGAGACCTTTGGGTGTGAGGACATAGACACCACGATCCTTGAACAGATTGGAGGAGGGGTCGGTAGCGTTTTCAATCAGACGGGCATCCATGAAATGCTGGCTCATGGCCTTTGCCATGTCACGCGTCATCGAAAAAGTGGTCGTAGTGGTTGTTGTTACAACACGCGAAGGCTCCCTGGGATCCGGTCCCCGATTGGATTGCGAAAATTTCAAGGAGGCGAGGTTCTGAGCGGCCTCGTCGCTAGCGGGAGAGAGGTAAGGGGCGCTGCGCTGGAAGCAGTGGCAACACGCACGTAGAAAAAGAATTGGGAAAGGTCTTGAAGAACTGTTTGTGGGGTCCCAGCTGCAGGGACACTATTAATGTAGCAAATAAGTCAAGGGTGTCCTGTGAGGGGTGTGAAGTTGCGCTGGACGACAACGACGGGGATGGAGCGGACCTTGAGGAAAGGCCTCCCCCGCTTTGTGGTCTTCATCATGTGAGACGATGTGCCTGTGTCATCTTGAGGCATGGCGACGATAGAGGAAAGGGACGAGGGAGAGGTAGAAGGGAGACTAGCGGAGGAGACGACAAGAGGTGGTGGGAATTTTCTAGGGCGGTTGCCGTTCGGCCTGTGTCACATCACTCCATGCCATCAACCTCATGTTACTCCTGAAGACTTGGACCCTGCATCATTTTCTTATTTCTATCATTTCGTGGTGACCAATGCGAGGCTATCCCGTGCACTTCTTCACGCATGATGAAATGCGCTGTTTTTTGCCGCTCAGCCTTGCTCAGCCTCCGCGCTGCGGTTTTACAGATGCTTTACGGCTTCTTGATGTGCCTAGAATATCAGATCAGAGATCTCCCAGCTCCCAGCCTCCTCCTCGCTCACACATCATCCATGCCGTTTATGATTAGTCAGGTCAGGTCACTTGGTTACTGCAATTCGTTTGTCTCGCGTTGCCTTTCTCGGGGCCGGATCCCTACGCAAACAGCCGTCTCTATCGTGCTTCGACTCTGTCGAACACCCATCCCCTTGTCCAAGGCACCATCTCTCCTGAGGCCTTTTTGAATTTAATCACTTTCTGGCAAAACAAATCCCCGTTGATTCGGACCTTGCGCTCACACAGGAACTGGAGTGTGTGGAAGTTAAATGTCATCGGTTGCCATGAGTGAGGAGCGGGCCTCCGAAATTGCCCCAACGGCAGCGCCAGAATCACAGACAGCACCCCGCCCACGTTGCCCGTAGCCGGGACTAGTCCACATGCAAAGAGGGATGATTGCCACGAGTCACCGCTAGCGTCTGAGTCTGACCTACCGATCGCGACAAAGAAATTAATATTTGCACGTCACAGCCACGTGGACGTGACACGTCGTACTAAGCAGCCGCCTCGAGTCTTGACCACCGGCAATTCATGAGTTCATCCAATATCGTAAGGTCTCATCGCTCTTGTGAACAGTCGTGAATGTATACAGGATGCAGCAAGTGTGAAGGCTCTTCTTGATCGCCTCAGGGGGTCTCAAGCATGGCAAGACGCAGTCAACTCCCAAGCCTCTACAAGCGGGGTTGTTCAAACGGTGCCTTCCCCTCAAGATAAGCATACACCAGATCCTGGGATCCCCGCCCCGTCTGTCGCGTTGCTTCTCTCACAGTTAAACGCCACCCCAAGCACCAACACGCAATCTGAGCCGCAACTGGCACGTAGTCGACCATATGGACCCTCGTCGATCCCAGTTCCAACTCTATCAGCACGAGGACAGACTCTGGCGCCGGTCTCAAACACCGCCCCTCCTGTAATCGAAGATGTCCGAGGGATGTCTTTCCAGCAGGCTCTTCCGAGGCTCGGTGAACTGGCCGAGGATCCAGCTGTGGTCGCAGCCATCCAACGGGTATAGTCTGGATCACGTCAGCGAGCTCGCTCTAATCACGCACGTTTTAGCTCAAACAAGAGCAAGACAGATTAGAGCGCCTGCTTTGGGACGAGCGCACTGCCATCCGCACTAAATTCGAAGAGAAGGTTCAGGTCGCCAAGAACAAGTGCGCTCCGGTGACATTCGCGGTTGTGGTCTGGTCTCACTTGCGTTATTCCTCAGGGCCACCATGATCGGTGTCGGACTGTCCAAGCACGAAGCAGATGTAAGTGGGATCCAGGGTTGCATTCTGCACAGCCTGAATCTGATTCTCCTCTCTCTCATCTGCAGATGCTTGTTTCGGGATATGAAAAGGAACTGGCACGATTCGATTCTGAACGTGTGGTTCCGGCCTGGGACGGATTGGTCTCAAACCAGCAGTCGGCGTTGGCCCAATTGGGGATCCCCACCATGTTTCCCACTACTGTCAGAACAGACGCCGAGGTGAATCACCATCTTTCCTCTCCTGCAAACAACCGATAAGACGCCGTTTCAGCGCCAGCAGCGTGTGATACAAGTTTTAGAGGGTATCTTAGGCTGAATGTTAGCCATGTCCGTCAATGGCCTTGTTTCCGGCCCGTAGTCCGTTGATGCGTAGATACCATTATTTCGTTCGGGCTCCTTCCGCTTGGGCCACGCGCCAATTTCCACGCGCCGATGAATATCCGCATCGCGTTCCGCTGTTCGTTGTCAGGCCGCTTGTACCTTCTCCAAAATGAAGTCAACGGATGTGCAGTGATCCAGTGATCGTGACTCCGAGGATGACCAGTTTGGTGTCTGGATGCGATCGGCCGCGTAGCAAGGTTCCTCCGGAGACCGTCTCGGACTCACTCAGGGATCGAAGATAGCAGCTCGCTTTTCCTCTGCACTTAGGCCATGGTCTCGACGCGCTAAATCCTCTTTTGGACTGGACACTATTTTGCAATTAGCCCTTCCTCACAATGCCTTTCGTCGACCTGCAAAGCTCGAACGACTTTGCTTCCATCTTCTACCAAACCAACTCACCTTCGGGCAACGTGGGCGGCTTCGACCCCAGTAAACCGCTCGTCTGCATTCTGCACCCCACATTCCTCGATTCTTCATGGGTCTACTCTCAGTTTGAAGACCCTCGCCTGGATTCGGAGTTCAATCTTATCGCATTCGACATGCGGGTCGCAGGGAAGTCGGAGTGTCGGACGAGTGGAAAGCACGACAGTTGGGTGGACGCAGCGGATTTGGCCCTTTGCCATCAGGTGAGCGCTCGCCCTGCATGTATGCACGGAACTACATAGTTATGACCGCCTCTTGCAGTTTCTGAAGCTTCCCCCGCTCCACATTCTCGCTCTCGAAAGCAATGCTATCAACTGCGCCCTCCGATTCGCGGCTCTGTCGGTCGCATTTTTTTCATCCCCAAAGCAGCGGTCGTCTGATGCATGGCTTCCTGACAGATTTCCAGAACTATGTCTCAGTCTGGCGTTGTGTAACGTGCCAGCGCCCACCGAGTGCGTCAACCTTGACGCGTTACGTCAAGTGATTGATCCCGTCCCAGACTCAAATGGATCTACACGGCGTACGATGAACTGATACAGACCTGGTGCTTTGCCGAGGATTTAGAGTCCTACGAGCACATTGCCATGGAAGCGGTCACTCTGACTCTGGGGCCTGTTCGTGTTCAACTCCCGTACGCCGTGTCCTATCCACTGATTTCAATTCCAGGACACTCCGCCCGACTTGCGGGATCAGGTGCGTTCTGGTCTTTATCTCGCAGCTGCGCGTTGTTCACTCGCTTGCGCAGCTCATCGCCTACTGGGAAGTCACAAGCCATCCAAGGCGACGCACACGACTTCTTGAGCAGGCGAATATCCTGATGCATGTCAGTTACCGACCGGTCTCTTTTCGCTCTCACCGAACCGTATTTTAGCGAACACCTCTTCCGACGTCCGCCTTCACGCACATCACACAGCCTGTTCTCATAATTCATGGAGATGCGAACGAGGCATGTCCTCGGAAATATGCTGAACGCTTAGCCAATGAGCTCAAGGCGGTGTTATACACTGTCAAAGGTGATCGATCCCATCCCATTGTCTGTTCCATCCCTGACATTGATGGCGCTTGCAGGTGGCGGAGGCTATCTAAGCATTCCTCTTGGCACAGCGTCCATCGTGAACCAGGTCTACACCAAATTCATTTCCCGTCTGCCTCACGTCGAGTCCGACTTTCCTGCGAGCATACGGCCAGTCGAAGACCGAATGCGGGAGGCTCTCGTCACACTGGAAACAATCACGGGAGACAATCTGCGAACGCGAGATCCGATGTCGTCCCTTTCCTTCAGCTGTCTCTCTGAAGAGATCGTGCAGCGGCAGAGCCAAGCGCTGGAAGCCTACAAAAGGGGGCAAAGCACGGCGTTCCTGCCTCTTGGACCGACAGGGAGACCAATTCGGAGATACTCGGAGCGACCCCGCGATGATTGGTTCGAGAGCAAGTCGGAAGGCATATCATATGCAGGTCCGCCTCCTTTCTGTTCCGGGCCTGCCGCCGTGCGCTGATGCGGATATATCTTCCAGGCGGCCGTTACTTTCCAGAGGGAGGAGTCCGGTCCGATAGGCCACTTCCGATGCCGCAACCCGAGCTGACTTCCAATGATCACAACCGCTTACGACGAGGAACGTTCAACTCGGGCTCTGTTGAGAAAGGTGTCATCAAGGGCTCGATGGCTCGAGTCGTCGGCACCCAACCCACGTTGCAGAAGCTGTTTCTGTAATATCATCATATACCATCCATCTGTCCATCAGTACTGTATCAACGGCCATACCCCCATATATATGTCATCCATATTCAGCATCTTCACGAAAACGAAAAAAACGTTATAGTAAACGTCTCTCGTCGTCAATTACATGCACACCAACCATCCTGAATTCCAGAGGTACACTAATAACAATGTCTAAAGTTCTAGCCAGAAGCGAATGAATATGGATGTATGTATAACGAGCGTGGATTCTTTTGCGGCAGAACATTTACAAGCTTCCCTCATCCATCTTCGCCTTGTAGTAGCGCACCATTTCCTCCAGACCCATGCGCACCGTCCAGCGCGGCTGCCACTCCAAAGACTCTTTAGCACGAGTCGTGTCCGGGCGACGCTTCTGGGGGTCGTCGGTGGGGATGGGCTCATGGATGATGTTGACGCGGCGGGTGCGCTTGATCCCATCCTCGTCTTGCACCTTCTCGACGATCTCACGGACCAGCTCAGCAAACTCGCCGATCGTGAACTCGTCCCCGTTTCCGATGTTGGTGGGCCGAGTCTCGTCCGAGTTCATCAACGCGATAAGGCCGTCGATCAAGTCGTGGATGTACTGGAATGAACGGGTCTGCGAGCCGTCGCCGTAGACAGTCATGTCCTGGCCCTTGAGCGCCTGCACGATAAAGTTGGATACGACACGGCCGTCGTAAGGGTTCACTAGAGGCATGTCAGATTGCGTTAATGAAATGCATACACGATGTTAGAGGACGTACTTCGAGGCCCGTAAGTGTTGAAGATACGAGCAACGCGGACGTCAACACCATCCTGGCGCTGGAAGCCGTAAGTGAGAGTCTCGGCGACGCGCTTTCCCTCGTCGTAGCAAGCACGCGGGCCGATGGGGTTGACGTGCCCCCAGCTGGACATAGATCGTCAGCGCGTGCGACAGTCGGTTAGCAATCAGTTGGCTCACTAATCCTCGTGCTGGGGGTGAACTTCGGGGTCACCATACACCTCTGCATGTTTAATCATCATGAGCGGTCATTACACGCCGCATAAGGGGCAGAGCACGCACCCGAAGTACTAGTGATCAGGAATCGCGCCTTCGTTCGCTTAGCGAGACCGAGCATATTGAGAGTGCCCATGAACGAAGTCTTGATTGTCTTCACCGCGTTGAACTGGTAGTGAGGGGGCGAAGCCGGACAGGCCAAGTGATAGATTTCTTACGCGCGCGCCATCAGCAAACGCGTCAAATGAGCGCGAAAGGATGCATATACTCACGGTCGCACTCAATCATGAAAGGCTCAACGACGTCGTGACGGACCATCTCAAAGTTGGGGTGGCCGACCCAGTGACTGACGGTCGTCTTGGAGCCCGTGAAGAAATTGTCCAGCACGGTGACTTCGTGGCCGAGGAGCATCAGTCGATCAACAAGGTGCGAGCCGACGAAACCAGCTCCACCAGTCACAAGGATGCGCTTCCGCAGAGAAGGAGCGAGAAGAGTGACCGGAGGGAAACGCGAAAGAGTGGTATACGAGATGGATTTGGTATCGGGGTGGTAGATGGACTTGGACTGATAATCCGTGCCCTGAGTGAACTGGGCATGCTGGGCAGCCTCCTGAGGGAGATCGTTGGCGGAAAGGACATAGTGGGGACGCAGATACAGCGAGCGAAGGACATCGAGCGGGACCTCGCAGTCGAAGCCGAAACGCTCGAAGCCAACGGTCGTGATTTCGCGACCTTCCTTGTCTGTGGTTTTGATCTACGGCGTGGTCAACGGACAATTGGGCGTGGATAGTAGAGAACGCACCGGGTTGGGCGCAGCAGGGGACATCTTTAAGAATCGGGTGGGAGTGGGTGCTTCAAAAGAGTCAGGAACGCGAAAGGCCCTGTTTTATACTTGCCAGAACGTCAAGGGGTTGGCGTGTTCCAAAGCTCGGCTCGAGCCGCTTGACATCTCTTCTCATCATATCCGGATCCAAACAAATCTAAAAACCCAATGCCTGCTACTCGCAAAGCCTCTTCGTCGACCGGCAAGTCGAGACACGATCCACTGCTCGTGCAGCTCGGCGACGACGAGATCGAAGCACGTTATGGGCGAGTCAGTCAACCGGGAAAACGCAAAAAGAAAAATGCTCGGGATGAGGATGATTCCGAGGTGCTTTTCCCTATCGCTCATCCAAAGCCCATCGTCGCCTCAATGCAGAGCTCAGGTTATCTTGGACCCTAAAACCTCGAAGCGCATCTTCGAGCTAGCCAAGGATCAGCAGGATGAGCTCGAACTACTCGATGAGCAGCTGGAGGATGAAGAACCACGAGTATCTGCTTTTGCGAAGCCCCGAATGGCCAAGGACTCGGATGAAGAGTCGGACCTCGATGAAAATATGGACGAGGAGGATGTGGAGGAGATCTTCGTGCGCAACCACACTCCGACTCACCTGCAGAAACTCAGTTATTCCGACAGGACATTGACGAGGAGGACCTGCAAACCCTCGATGCTTTACATCCCCATAACGCTGGTGAACGCAGGACCTTGGCCGACATCATCTTTGCCAAACTTGAGAGCGGCGAAACCGATAACGCTGCTGTGATTAAAAAGGTTTCCCAAGGTAGGTATTTCCCCCCGCCCTGGCCGTCACTTTCCTCAACCGTGCTCGCAGATCGAGACCGACCAGATCCCACTCTAGGACTTGACCCCAAAGTCGTCGAGTCGTACGAAAAGTATGTGTCCGTCTGCTCGTTCGCAACTTTCACGCAAGCCGTATCTAGACTCGGGATGTTCTTGCACAAATACAAGTCCGGCCCACTTCCGAAAATCTTCAAGGTCATCCCTTCGCTCCCTGCCTGGGCACGGTTGCTTGCGATCACTGAGCCTGAAAACTGGTCGCCGCATGCTTGCCTGGCTGCTACCCGGATCTTCATCTCTAGCATGAAGCCACCGCAAGCGCAGCTGTTCTTGAGTGTCGTCTTGCTGGACGCGATTAGAGAGGACATCCGCCAAAACAAGAAGCTTAATGTGCATTACTTCGATGCCCTTCGACGAGCCATGTACAAGCCTGGCGCGTTTTTCAAGGGTCTTATATTCCCCATGCTTGACGTACGCTTTTCATCGACTGCGGTTGTCACATTCTGGGCTAAGATGACCATAGCAAGGCTGTTCTCTCAAAGAAGCTGCTATTATCGCTTCTGTGCTTGCACGAACGAAAATACCCGTGCTCCATGCTTCAGCTGCCTTGATTCGGATAGCCGAGATGGATTACTCCGGTATGTTTTCTTCCGGTTCACTTATCCGATTTCCAACGCTTTACAGGACCCAATTCTCTGTTCATTCGTGTGCTCATCGATAAAAAGTTCGAACTGCCGTACAAAGTGGTCGACGCGCTGGTGTTCCACTTTATACGGCTCTCCAATACATACAAAGCCAAGACACGGGCTGATTCGGACAAACTTCCGGTCTTATGGCACCAGAGCTTGCTTGTATTTGCTCAAAGGTGGGGCATCTTGGTCACTCTTCAGATCTCTGACTCACTTGTGGTCAGGTATGGCTCAGATCTGACCCCAGACCAGAAGGACGCCTTATTGGATGTCGTGCGCGCCACACCCCACGCTCAGATTGGCCCTGAAATCCGGCGCGAGCTTGCGAACTCCGTGCCACGCGGTGCCCCCAGGGGAGAGGATGGAGATGTTGAGATGTCGTAAGACATTATGCGCCGTTCAGGAGGATACTAGTTACTACGGTGCACCTCGATCACCATTAGTCGATCCCAAAGCTCTTGTCTCGTTGACAGGTCGTGTCCCCCGGCATTTCAGCTCACTGTCAGAATGAGAGAGCTAACTCTGCGTTCAGGGTAGCAGTCACTGTAAGTCGTATGCTAGCACGGCTCGGTGGACGCGTCTGCCCTTCAGTGCCACCTGTCAAGTCGGGTTGGGCCTGATTGGGTTACTCGGCCAGCGTGGCTGGTCGCTGTCGCGACTAAGCTAATATGTTGACAAGAACTGGATTAAGAATGGCGACATTTCCTCCTTATGTTAGTCCGTCCAGAGCAGCTAGCACGCAGCGGCAGATGAGGCATAGGGCGACATGACAAATTGTGATTATATTATATTACCACCTACTGTAAATGTACTGTGGCGCAGGGCTGATCACGTATTGTCAATGACCAAAATGTGTGCGGACGAACAACGTCCACAATCATACCCGGTCAGACCCTTGTTGACCCAAAGAACGGTAGCCAGGATCCGGCCTCAACTGCCTCCGTGATTCGAGAGCAGCTTGCTGTCGAGATCCACCACGCGCAAAGGACGACGAGCTGATTGAGATTCGCAGGAACTGTGCATCTTGCTTCACATCGCACTGGATGCTGTGTAAGGCCAAGTCTATAGAAATAGCACGAAGTAGCCTCGGCCGCCCGAGCAAACGCAAGACCCTGACTGGACCCTAACCGAAAGAAACGATGTTCTGAACCACGAGACGGCTCAGTCACTCTTGGCTTCTCGACGTTAGTCTACGCGAATCGTACGAAGTAGATTTAATTGAACAGCTTTTTTGCGAGACAGCATACTTATAAGGCAATTTTTTCGCTCTACAAAAGTTTGTCGTCCGAGATCTTGGACAATATAGAGCGAAAGAAAGTTGTATCCCGAACGTCTATGTATAGTAGCTGGATGTCCAAAGATTGGCCCAAGTCCATCGATGACGCGCGAAACATTCAGAATATCACACCATTTACCGCGATCATCGTAGGCGGCCACAGTGTATTATTAGTAGCTAGTGTACTTGGCTTGCTTAACCTGGTACTAGTACTCAAAAGAAGCCAGGATTTACCAGTGATTGCGCATCACTGCATTCTTGACAGGGTCAATCCTTGCCTCTCCCGCTCGTCTTCTGCTGCAATGGTTAAACGTTCGTCACTAGAAGCACTTGCTCCCTCGACGAGCCGCCTCAGGAATCAAAGATAGAATGATGGACTTCGAACATTGTGATTGACTGCGGTTGCCCGTTTAGTTAGGCAGCTGAGCTCCGCTGCGCGGGGCCTTTACCACATTACGATCTTGAAGTGATATGACGTGATACTCATTTATTTGCCTAGCAATGGTGCGCGAAGGCTGGGATGTAGGGGCTCCCGACAAAATCCGAAATCGACATCTCTTCCAGAGTCGAACCACAGACCTTGCGTAATCTTCGGACCCACTCGGAAGAATGGATCCAGGCGTTGTGGATCAGAATCGAGGGCCAATCTCGATTGCGAGGGCGGCGCAAGTTCGTTCACCTTGTCCACCTTCACTCAGCTACTTGAACGCGCGGATGCGAACCTCAATATTACTCTCTCTTCGTTATTGCAATGCCGATACCAATCCCCATGCACTCAGGACGCCGGGGGCATCGGCCGTTGACGAGGCGAGGTTCATGACTCAGCAGTGTTGTGCACCGTGGACGCATACATCCATGTCTGGGCGCAGGTATTCCCGTCTCTCCGTAGTCTTCCCATGTGGGTAACACCATCTGACCAAGTCGCAGATTTGCTGGCGTGTAATCGGGTGACGCATTCCTAAGGATGATGTCATCCGGAGCTGTTTCCAGTCGCCTAGTACTTATAGCAGCTGGAATGTCCCGTAGTGGGGCCCCGTTCTCTGCGTCGGACTCTGGCATCGAATTAGCCGGGTATTCCGTGCGCCAGATATTTCTCTCTCCGGGTCGATTATTTGTAAAACATGGCGGCCAACTGTCGGTCTTTCGTCTCGCGTGAACCCAGAAACTGACCGTTCCAAGATGATGGGACGCATTCCAAAGCGCCGGACGATGAACAGCACATCTACTCCACGAACAACCAGCCTCACCCCTACAGTCATTCACCAGGGACTATGCCTTATTTTCCTCCGATGAACGACCCTGTATTCCATTCACCAGGATCGTTTCATGGCTCGCCGGGGCCAGAATCACCGATAGGAACCTACTTCTCCCCCACATTCTATGGGCCTATGCACACACACCCGTATCCCTTCCAGATTGTTCCGACCTCTCCCATGCACAGTCCCAATGCGATCCCAATGTTCAACTACTCGAACGCATACGCGCACTCTTACCCAAGAGGCATCCCCCCTCACATGGTCTACATGTATCCAGGCCCGTCGCCAGCCCCTCCTCCCCCTCTGTCTCGAACCCCGACATCCCAAAGCAGCTCTTCACTCACCGCGCTTAAAGTCGAAACAACGACGGACGCGGCAAAGAAACCCTCCCCGAGCATGCGCCAATCTTACCATCCCGACCCGCCTGCTCAGCGCTCACCGTGGGCTATGTGGGTCGGAAACGTGCCGAAGGACGCAACACAGGATGAGCTGTGGCGGTTCTTCACGCGGGTTCCTGACGAGCAGCAGGGGCCGGACGAGAGCAGCGCCGTCGAGTCTATCTTCATCATTTCCCGGTCAAACTGTGCGTTCGTCAACTACGTGTCCGAGGCCGGGCTGGCCACGGCCATATTGCGGTTCGATGGGTCGGCGCTGCGACGAGACGGGCGGCTGCCGAAGCTTGTTTGTCGGATCCGCAAGCAGACGGATGACTTGAGGGCCGGGGTCGGCGGCCAGCGGGGGATGGGCCTGCACAGGCAGTGGGTGCGGGACTCCGAGAAACGGTCAGAACCTCAGCTTGAACGGCCCGAGTTGGCGACCACGAACGGAGGCAAACCCGACAGCTCGGACAGCTTTGGCTCGAACGCGAGCACGTCGTCGAGCTTCCTGACCACGCACTTCCCTCGGCGATTCTTTATCATGAAGTCTTTGACGCAGGTGGGACAAATTGGGTTTCTTGCCATTTGAACTGACCGAATAGCCAGGATGATGTTGACCTGAGCACCAGGACTGGTGTCTGGGCCACTCAAAAACACAACGAAGGAATTCTCGATCAAGCCTTCCGCACGTCCAATGAAGTGTATCTCTTCTTTAGTGTCAACAAGAGCGGGGAATTCTATGGTTATGGCCGGTGAGTCGATCACATCCTTCTCATCTTATCTTCACTTACACTGTGTTCTCGTCAGAATGACCAGTAAACCCGGCTCAGCACGTGAGCCGGTATCCTGGTCTCCTCGCGAGAGACCGTCTCCTTCCTCACCCATTCAGGCCATGCTCGGTGCAGATAGGCTGGTGGATAAGTCCCCTAGCCCTGGATGCGAATCCAGATCCCCCCCGCTGGGGCATCCGCACTACCAAACGGCACCTCCCCAGCTCGCCGGCGGGGCAACAAACGCCAGCAGGAACCAGGCTGATCCGAAATTCAGCCTGGACCAGCTCATGGCGCACCCGCGGCCAGAACCGGTAGCAAATGACCCCGAGCCGGAAGGCTGGGGCAAAGGCTTCGAGCTGGACTGGATCTGCACGCATCCTCTGCCGTTCCACCGGACGCGCCACCTGCGCAATCCGTGGAACAACAACCGGGAGATCAAGGTGTCGAGGGACGGGACGGAACTGGAACCTACAGTCGGGGTCGCTCTGCTGCAGGCATGGCGGAACATGCTTGGTGAGGCAGGCGGGAGCTTGCCTACCCCTGTTTCGCTGCGCGCTCCGTCTCCATCGTAAAGTTATTGTCGACTTGGGTTGTACATTTAGTGTTTAATGTGAATTAACATCCGGATTCTGAGCACCAATTCAATATTCGTCATCGTGTATCGTGACCGAGTTGTTCTGAAGACTACCCGAACGGAGATGCACTCCTATTATTACTCTTATTTCCCGAGGAAATCACGCGAGAATCTGAGCGTTCCATGTTCAGCATTCTATTTGCAGAAAACCAAAGATACTAAAATCGACGTCTATTCCTGGTACAAATCGCCGAGTTAATTCACGTCGATTTTTGGTATCTTTTTGTTCGCTACAAATAGAATGCTGAAAGTGGCACTTCTAGATTCTTGTGCGACTTCCGTGCAAGAAAAAGGTCTGCTCACTTTTAAGCACTGAAGTCTGAAATAGAGACAGGGTGCCCAGCCCGCTGTGCTGACCAGGATCATCCGGATCAGCTGCTGCAGAACATCAGTTGTAAAATTGATCCGCCATCAGAAATGGGACTGGCGGGACCGCTTCGGGCCTTACAGCCGATCCGTCTTCTGAGGATCGCGCAGTCCTCTTGTCTGGACCCTCGACTCTGATGCTCTTTCATCCATGTCCGTAACCGAAACAAACGTCAAATCAATTACGACTTTGTACGAGACACTCAGAGTCTTCCCGCAACCCACTCAGTGGACAATCTTGGCGTCCTTCTTCCTTCGAGATGCATCCTCTTTCCAGATCGTGTCCATGGCCACCGGGACCAAGTGCCTTCCCGCCAATAAGCTACCCGTGTCCGGCGAAGGGATTCACGACAGCCACGCAGAGGTGCTCGCGCGTCGGGGGGCTGTGCGATGGTTTCTCGAAGAGGTGATACGCGTGCGAGATGGGCTGGCATCCAAGTGGATCCATCGAACGGAGACCGGACGCTTCGCTCTGAATGCAAACTCTCAGCTGGGGATCTACATCTCCACTGTCCCCTGTAAGAGCCCCTCGTCGTCAGGTCTCCCGCACCGCGCTGCAACACACTCCTTGAAGGTGGCGACGCGTCGATGCACTTTCTCGCGTCATCTCAGGATGAAGCCATGGCTGCGCTCAAAGACGCTCATTCCCGTGTCCCTGCTGCTGCTGCCGAATCGGCCCTCGTGACGCGCGGAAGAGACGGTTACGGCGTTCTTGGTGTCCTTCGCACAAAGCCCGGCCGGGCAGACGCTCCATCGACGGCGTCGATGTGCTGCAGCGACAAAATCGCATCCTGGGCTTTCTTGGGCATCCAGGGCGCTTTGGGGTCTCGTCTCCTGGAGCCACTGTACATATCCGATGTTGTCATCGGGGAGGTGGATCCCGACATGCAGGAAGCGGTGAGGAAGGACTGCGAGCGGGCTCTCTGGAAACGATTGGATGGGATTCCTGGTCAGTTTCCACCTACCGTGTCTTTATCTCCCGGTCTCATCTGCGTAGCCTGCGATAGGTTCTCACTTCACCCGCCGCGAATCCATTTCACTAGTGTCCCGTTTGTGCATTCGCGCCGTTCTTTACCCGAAGCCGCGAGTTCGTGTCACGAATGCATGTGGTTTCACACCCAGCGCGGGGGATCTTCTGACCTGCATGCAGCGCTTTGCTGGATCTCCGACTCGCACAGACCCGCAGAGGTCATCATCAACGGATATAAACGCGGCGTCGCGCCGAAGCATCGGCAGAAAGAGAAATTCAGGTGTGATATGTTCATCTCCGACAGACTGGCCTGGCTGAAGAAACCGTATACGGGCCCTCAATCTGTCGAGCGTCCATGTTGGTGCTATATCAAGAGGCTTGCGGGCATCCTCCAGATGAGCTGTTGATACCCATCCATCCGGACGGCCGTATTTGTATCTGACCCTCTCACAGCTCTTTGTACCAGGATGCTAAAGATGCGAGTGTCGACTACCAGCGTGCGAAGACCAGTCTGATTGGGTCACGGGGCCCGTTTCACCGTTGGGTGCGCGGCGGGACGGTGCCTTTCCAAACTTGAATACCTACCGCAGAGAGTGTCATCATATCGCAGGGTTCCGATTTTCTCTGCACTGTAAATGTGTGATGCTGGTCCGGAGTTTGAGTTGCGCAAATTGGTCAAGCATGGTAATTTGATACCATCACTGCTGCGTGAAGACATTTGTACACACTGTCCGTGCCATCACCATGTTCAGTCTTGTGTCTTCGGTTTCCTGTCTATTTCAAACTGATCCCAGATTCTGAACCGCGTTTCAGCATTCCCACTCCCACCTTGATCTGTCCGCTGACCACGTCCCGCCTAAGAAGCCTATCCAGCACCGCAACTGGCAGACTCGGCTTATGTCCATCTACAGAGAAGTGATCGTGATAGAGATGAGGGCTCGACGTTGGATTGACGCGGGTTCCCATCCAATGATACGTCTATTTCATCGGGCTCCGAGGGTCGCACTGCTCGTCGTCTCTCGTGTGTCTCCTCTGCGGCCATGAACAGCAGCAACCAGGACGTAGCCGTGGGCCCGCTCTTCGTCGGTCTCTGCCTCGCGATCTTCTTCTTCGGCATGATCTGCATGCAAACCATCAACTACACCAAGTCGTTCGCCAAGGACACGCTTTACACGAAGGCTCGAGTGCGTTGGGGCTTGCCCAAGTTGTATGCACGCTCACCGATCGGCTCATCGCAGGTTCTTGGTTTATGGTATTTCTACTGCCGTCGCCAGTCTCTTTGTGGCTCACGGGAGGGCCAAAGGACCGTGGACTTCCTCTTCACGATGTGTCTTTGCGTCGGCGTGTACACGATGGGCGTGAGCGACGATGCGAACTACGACGCGTCCCAAGTCAGTGCGGGACTGAAAATCGCGATGGTGGCCGGGTCATTGCTGCATCACATCGCCCAGGTATGTCCTCGACGCGGGCTGCTGATGAGACTCAATGGTTCCAGGCTTACTACGTATTCCGACTGTACCAGCTGAGCGGCGGGCTGCTTTCCCTTGCCATCCCACTGTGGACGGTTGCTGCCATCCTTGAAGGCCTATCATTGTCGATGGCCGTGAAGATACAGCAGACGAGCTCGATTGTCGAGATGGGGAGGACCTGGCATTGGCTCATTGACGTGACGCTTTTCGGAGACGCGATCTTGGACTTGATTTGCGCCGGATTGCTTTCCTTTTACTACCTGCGGACCCCGCGGACGGATTCGAGACACCAGTGCGTGCTTCGAGATCATAAAGCACTTTGTAGCGTCTGAATGGCGCGTGCAGAGTCAGCCGCACATTGAGTGAGCTGGTGCATTATACGATCCGTGAGTTGCTTTTCTGGGACAACGTGTTTCTTGGCACTGACAAGTGCCTAGGAACTGGCCTCTCCACAAGGTTGGCGGTATTACTAAAAGACCTTCATTATGTTGATATCCTCTCAGTCTCATCGCCATGGCTGCAGCAGTGTCTGTAAGTGATCGCAGGCCTCCTTTTCCCCCTTCTCTAGATGCTTAAAGCTTGGCTCCAGTTTGCAGTCAACTCCAAAAATTGTAGGATCCAGACCGTTTGCGATCCTGCGATGCGGCTGACCCATCACGCAGACATCTGGGTCATGTTCTACATCGTCGTCCCGAGCTCTTTCGTTGACTCGATGATCGTCAACGTGAACAACCGCAAAACCGACAGGAGTGTACGCAGTTCCACTGCCGTCATCCGAAGCGTCGAGAACCACCGCACCCAAACGACCGTCATCCAGTTTTCGCGGAGCGTCGTGGTACGTGATCAGGGCGAATCTCGGATCGGATGCCCATCTCATAACTCACGATCCCTCCCCGTCTATCTCAGTTGACCCGCGATTTCGAAACCGGCGACCAGATCCGCGACAGGAAGGATTCGGACATACAGGTTGAAGAGCGCGATGCGGATGAGGTGGCGCGCAGGTTGAATGCGAAGACGCTGGAATTCGTGCCCCGCTTCAGCCCGCTCCATCCGGAGGCCGAGTCGGTCTCGGATGTGGAGGTGTCGTCCTCGAGTGCAAAATATGCGGTGTAGATGTAATATGTGATATAATTTATTGGGAGTACAGACCCGAGAGCAGATCGGATATTATCACATCGGTGCTGAATCCTGATCCTGATCATGATCCGCCCAACACAAAGCTCACGCGCTCACGCCCTGCATCCATCTATCGTACACGGTATCGACCTCACCTCGGTCCAGTCTCGGTATCAGCCCACGCGCTGCGAGATGTAAATTTGGTATCTCAGGCTTACGGCTCAGCATCTCGGTGCCTCGTGATCGACGCCCGATCTTTCTCACGAGTCCCTCTTCTATGGACCCTCTCACATCTGTGGAGACTTGCGCATGGGATCATATCATTGGCCGCGGATCCGGCCCGTACAACTTTGCAAATGCATCAACGTCGAACATCCAACCGTACAGATTTGCTTAGCCGCCGGCAACCTCAGTCCTCGACGACGGCAACTCAGACCCCCGCGACAGGACTGCAATAGTCTCAATGAGGTATCGATGACGGCGAGTCCGTGGTCTAGTGGCGTCGACGACGCGTCTTGCGCTCTCGAGGACGCCTAGTCTTTTCCAACGAGCACACCCCTACACGTGGAGTCGTGTGTCCTCCGAATCAAACCCGTACACCTTCTTGTTTCAGATTCGACCGCTCAAACGACCTTCGACAGCCAGAGACAGCGATGAAGATGGCTATCTGTCTGTGGCTCCCTCACCGTGCCACATGCAGCCAGCCTATCACGAGAGCTGCTAAACAGGCCATGCTGTGCCGCTCATGTTGTCGCTCGATCCGAGCACCAAGTCGCGTCTACTTATAACTTGGATTGACGGGGGCCCGACCCGGCGAAAGATGCATCGAGGAGACGCGGGCAACAGAAGATGATGCTGAGATGTACTCTTGTACGGCCAGGCACCTTCGACGAAGGCCTGATTCCCCCGTGTCCCCCCTTCCTTCACTTCTTGCCTGCCCGGAGACCATGCCGATTAGCACGACCTTGGGCCCGTTTGTCATTGGCGGGATCTTCACAGTCTTTTTCTTCGGGCTGAACAGCGTCCAAGGAGCCAACTACTTCCAGGCGTTTCCGCGTGATGGGCTGCCGCTCAAAGCTACCGTAAGGATTTTTCGGCAGAGCTTGTGGGCCATGCTGATGGACTGTAGGTCTCGGTTCTATGGTATGCGCTGAAGTCCTGCTCGTGAATGCGATGCCTCAGTGTCACCTAGCACCTTAGAGTTCATCTATGCCGTTTGCTTGGCCCAGGGGATCTACAGTCTGACATTGCCGACTTTCGACCCAGTTCCTCTGGATAGTCTGGATTTCAAAACTCCGATAGCATTCAATGTGGCCATTCTCATTGGGTTTGTGCTGTCCTTGTGCTTTTGATCTGGCAAGTAACGAATAACTTTGCAGATCCCTCATAAATCACGGCACACAGGCTAGTCAATCGCGATCATCTCACCAAACGCGTCTGCTATGATGATACAGGCCTTCTTTGTGGCGCGAATATACAAAGTGACGAACAAGCTGTACATCTCTGTCGCTCTGTGGTGCGGTGTCGCTGCGCTCCAAGCCGTGTCGCTGCTGCTGGTGGCCAAAGCAGTTCGAAGCAACTCCTTGTTGACATTGGTCGAGAGCGAGAACTCTGTGCTCAAGGGATGGTTTCTTGGCACGGCGGCGCTGGATATGACGAACGCTGCCGTCTTGTCCATGTATCTCGAGCTGCAATCAAGATTTGGTGTCACACGACGGTCAGTACCAGGATCCACCTATCACTCCCGATGACAGCTGAGGGGCCTGCCACTGCCAGAACGGGAATGGTGCTCAACCAGCTCGTGTTGTATGCGACCAGTGGGTGACAGCATTCAGCATGACAAACGCAGTCTTATCGTCTCCACAGACACTTGCATTACAACAAGCGTGGTCGCTGGTGCCACCGCTATCTGTGTGAGCTTCGTTGCTGTCTTGCCCTTACATCACTCTCACTGTCGCACAGCTTGCCATATCGCCCGACACTTGTCAGTCAGTCCTCTTGTAGCATCGTACGCTCATTGATGTCTAATAGATGTCTGGGCTCTGTTCTTCCTGGCCATGCCTGGCTCCTTCATGACCGCCTTTCTCGCAAATGTCAATAGAAACTTTATCAGGCCAAAAGCTACTCGCGCCTTGTCGTCCAATATCGGGGCTATGCACTTTTCCGCAAACCCGACGTTGGGGGACGACCGCCTCGGTGCTGGATCGATCTTGGCTGTGGGGTCGATGAACCAGACGATGGCTTCACGGTCTATCAAAGATGACGACGAGCTTGATGCGGTCAGTCTCTGCGTGTGGTGCTGTGCTGATTGCGACTGAGCATGCTCTGCAGGTCGAGATGGAGATGGACAAGATCGAACCCGGCCGAAACCAATCGTTTTTGCCGTTTTGAGATTCTCCGATAGCAGGACCGATAACCATATTTCTCCGTAGTCTATTAGGGCTGACGTCAATCGGTCCTCGCTTGCGTACCTAGCACGGAGCCATGATGTAGACACCACAATGACGCACACATTCCCCCGCATGCTTAAAACGCGCTCTCGTCTGGAGTACAGGCTCCCCACAACACAACACATACCCCACATGAATCTGTTCACCCACTCCAAGCGTCGCCACCACCGAGCGTTCTACCGCCGAGATCCAGACCGCGTCGCGGGAGGGTACAGTAAGTGTCCGCCCAGCGCCGGGCAGACCCACAGCTCAGGAATCTACAGAGGCCGCACTAGCCAACCCCCGGACGACCCGCGAAGGCCGCAAACACGCTAAAGCCGAGCTCCACGCCATGGTACGCACGCCACCACCCGCGCCCCCTTTCCGACTGACTGACTGACTGGCTCCCGCAGGGCCGCTCGGCGCACGTCCCGCTCATGACGAAGATCAGGCGCGCGCTGGGGATCAGGAAGACACCGCGCCGGGAGCGCAAGGCGGAGGCGCGCCGGAGGGAGTACGAGGAGCCGGTGCACAGGCGGCGCGAGCCGCGGAGAGCACGGCGTCGCGCGTATTATGACTGAAGCGCTATGTAGATTATTCGAGTTGAGGACATTGTACGTGTACGATTAGCAGTTCGAGGCGTGTATCGATATTTGTTTGGGATTCTATGCAGAGCAGTGCTTGTAAGACTCTCATGGCGGGATGTGAACACGTGATGAGCTCTTGGTCGCATGCATGCCATGAGGTCACTCGGCCCAATTAGACATCGCCCTTATCTTGTGCAAGTCATTTTCTCTTCTGTCCCAAGTCAATGTGTTACACTTCTCCTGGCTGCCCGTGAGGATCTTCAAGTTACCAAATCTCCCCTACCTGTCCAAACGCACGTGATCGTGTCTACCATGATCAGAGCTCTTCTTGTTCTCCGTCTGCACTCAAACAAGAAGCAAGCAAGCATGGCGACGAAAAGAACAACAGGGTCATTGTACTGGACCCACGGCCCAAAATTATGCTGGACAAGAGCTGTCCGACATCAAGCATGAGGAACTGACAGTCACCAAGGTCCAAAGCGATGCCCATAGCGCGGCGAGTCAGATGGCTAGCGTTGACGCTTGGATCCCGTCGAAGCTCAGCCTTATATTCTCGATGTGACATCAGCTCATTCCTCCCACCCTGATCCTCAAGATGCTCTCCCACTTCGGACGTGGCTGCCCTACCGACCATCTCATCCTCCCAAACGAGCTCTGGTTCTCTATCTTCACCCATCTCCCGCCTGCCGCACTGAAAGACGTCTTCGAAACATCCTTCCGCTTCCGCGAACTCTCGCGCAGCCTTCGTTACCGCCGGCTCGTGCTCGACCCACTCTGCCCGTGTTACGCAGGCCCCGGACACCAGCACGGCGCAGGCTGGATCGATGCCTGGCTCGGCCGGCTCAGCGCGCCCCCGATCGCCACGCACGTTCTCGAGCTCGTGATCTCGTTCCAGTTCCTGGGTGCGCTCTTCGGCAAGCCGACAGGCGTGCACTCGCCCCATGCGCAAGCGTACGTCCGGCCGCTGCTCGAGGCAGTGCATCAGTTCCCCCGGCTGCGGAATCTCACGCTGCGCCTTCCGTTCGGGTGGGAGTTCGATCTGGATGCGCTGCCCGTCGGTCGGGTGCTCGACGAGCTGTGGATCGAGGGAGGGATCCTCCGGTCGTCGGCGCACGAATCGCTGCGCACGAAGAGCTTCGTGTACACGAACTTCCCCCGCTCATCCTCCCCGTGCGGAGAGACAGGAAACTCGTTCCTCGCCGCACTCGACGCGACGCACCTGGCTTCCCTCACACTATACCCCAGCTTCGACTGCCACCCGACCGCCAACATCGATCCCGCGCTCTGCCGCCGCTTTGCTGCGCTTCGGAGGCTGGAAGTGCAGGGATGCAGTGGCCCGTTCGTGCACGACGTGCGCAGCATCGTCGCGGCGTTCCCGGCTGTCGAGGAGCTGGTTGTCGATGGCGAATACCCCTCGTGTCGCTGCGCGACGCCCGACCGGCAGCTGCCTCCTTTGGCAGCGCTCCGGTCGTATACTGGACCAGCGGACTACGCCCCGATCTTCCTCGCCGGTTCGCGGTGCTCGCGAGTTGTGTTTGACACATTCCACACACAGCAGACGATCGCGGCGGTGCTCACGCAGAACACGACGGTGTTCGAGAATGTGACCGAATTCGGATGCAAGATTCGGCTGGAAAGTCTGCTCAATTCGGATGTGCTGGATATTCGGCGAGCGATGCCGAGGGCAAGCAAGCTGGAGCTATGTATTGCTGATTTACTTGGGCCGGAACCACTTGACGAGGACGAAGACGATTTAGAGCTGCATGCGGATGATCTCTCTGTGAGCAGCACAACTCCCGCCGTCATATCCTGTGTGCTGATCTCACCCAGAATCTACCCTGCATTCTGGCATCACAGCTGATGGCAGCGAAGTCTGATCCCTTGCACGTCACCATCGACTGGGAGCTGTGCTGTGAAGTGGTCGACGTTCTGGGTGGGCTTGAGCCAGTCCACCGGGCTTTAATGAAGCTTGTCGGGAAACAGGCAGTACGGGTGGACTTTCGAGGCGGAGTCCGAGAATGGTGCTCAAGAACTGATGTAATTACCCACTGATAGAATGTTTGCGCGAGTGTCCTGATACTGTACAGAATGCCCTGTAATAATTTTACTATATTTGGAATATTATTTGATCCAGTGAAGGGAGATTCTCTCAGGCTTTTGCGGAAGGAATCTGGTCTAGACATGTGCATGCAATCAGCGTCTCTAAACCTGCGGGAGACGAGACCAACCACGGACCGGATTTGATCGACAATGAGCTGCTTTATTCGCGGACACGTCTGATGTCTTTCCACACAGAAGTAGAATGTAATAGAAGCTACAGTACGGCGTAGATACGGAGGGACATAAACTAAAAATCTACAGCGCCTAGATCGGTCATTCTAACATTGGCGTTACATCATAAGAGATCGTAAGAGTTCCGTCCGGCTACGCGGATTAATCAACTTTCTTCGCATTCAGAGGCAGATTCGGCGGGTCTTCGGGGAGAAGCTTGGGCGTCACATTGGGCGACTGCTCAGCGGAAGAGAGGCCATCATCGCTGGCGCTGCGGCTCAAGCCAGGCGTGTTGGTTGGACTGGAACGCCCGGATCGTGCAGCAGTGGCTTCAGCCAACTCCTTCCGCAAGGCTTCCAGCTCACGCTCGAATCTACAGACAGTCAGGTCAGCGACGAGCTGTCGATTCAAAGAGGGTACACACTTGCGACCGAAAACCTCGATATAGAAACCTCCCCCATTCCACACACTCACGGACAGAATGAAGATAAGGAACGCCCCGCTCCAAAACGGGCTATCATACAAGATAAAGACAGGCGGAACCTCTGTCAGAATGGAATAGACTCAAGTGCATGTTAGCGATTGGCCTGATATGGAGACTTCAGCCCGCTCACCTAGCTGTCCAGCCATGAAAGCGACCTCGCGATAAGCAGGGGATATCGCAGAAAGTGCCTTTCCGATGGCTCCTCGTTTATCATTCAACAGGAACGAGAAGGAGGTGGTGCGTTCCCCTGATTCGATCTTCTCTCGTCGATCAACCAAGACGAACTGAGTAGTCTTTTTAGTAGTGAGATTTATGAGAGGACAGTGTACCATACCTTGTAATAAAGCAGCTGCCAGCTGAGATCTGGTGAATGTCAATGCATGCATAAGTAGATGAAACAATGGCCTACAGATTCCTCCGCTTAACAAGAGGGCTCGAATCGGATTCAGGTGAGGCAGTTGTTGGAGAGCAGGGAACCTGAGCTCAGCATTGGGATAGAAGTGACTAGAAATCAAAAGATTATGAGTATGAGAGCTGGAGCTGGAGTCAATCAACAAACCGGATAACAGTAAACGTAAAGGGAGGATAGATATGGATGAACAGCGACGTCACTTTGTCTTGGTCGTGGAAGACCAGACTATTCCGCCAGGTCAAGATAGCACTGGCCAACGACCCATGCGAAAGGCAGTAACAGGCCACGAAGAGGGATGGGCTGGACGGAAGGATCCAGAGATACACGAAGTTGAGGATGGTCACATAGTAGCATAGATCGAACAAGAAATAGTGCCACGCGCGTTTCTTGTATGTGTAGGCGCGCAGAGGAATTAGATAGCCGCCCAGTACAGAGTATACAATGTGGACCCATCTACAACAGGACGCATGAGTAAAGCGGTCTCACATCTACAGAGCGAAACACGCACTGTGGTGCCAGACCAAACAAAAGGGCGGAGCTGAACAGCGTCATGACACCAAAAAAGAAGGAAACCTTCTCCCTGGTGCGAACGACTTTGGCGGACTGCCAGGAAGTGGCCAATTTCGTCATTCGACTGGAGACCTAGCGCTCCGTTTCGTAAACACGTTCCCTCGCTAAAGTGAAATGCGGTGTTTCATACCTTGAGTTTGAAGCTCTTGAACTCCTTGTCAAAGTGCAGGTCCCCCGACAGATCGCGCATCTTGAATGTCTCCTCGGCGCGCATTTTCAGACGATCGCTGTGCTTCTGCAGTTTCCGTTGGAGGAGGTCCGCGTGTGAGTCGATGTAGGTCTCAATAGTATCTAGCGCAAAAAGAGTCAGGTATGCCACCACCGCCATACACACTGCAGCCACGCACCGAGCAAAGTAAACGCGCCCGCCCAATCCGACAACTCGTCGCGTTTGAATCGGTCGAAAGACACGTTGAAAGGCAGCTTGCCATTGGTGGGAGGGGTGGAATTCCCTGACATGATGGACCCTCGCGTAGAGACAATGGACAATGTGGACCGGAGCAAGTTGGCTGAAGCGCCTGTTCGGTGTTGTTGTGGGGAGAAAGCGTGGTCACGGATTACGTCAGAGTTTGGTTCCGCCGGACACAGCCACTGACTGCCACAGTGTTGCCATCGGTTTCGGCACAAGAGTGTAAATCCTGATCTCTGCTTTCTGCTTACTACCTTTTCGACGATGTTCGGCAAGCTCGGTTTGTCCTCGCTGGAATGGACTTGAGGCAATTGATCGTGACCCTTCTATGCAGTTCACCTCGGCATCGACGCCATGCTCATCAGCATATTCCTCGCTGGGATGAAGCGGAATACCGGATTAACGTGCGCGTCTTTCTGCGCTGCACGCACGCGCCCTTACTCACCCATTCAAACCAGTCCCAAACTCTCTCAAGTCCCCAATAAGGACATTCGTCGTGCGTCTACGCGTCTTTCGTCGTTGTTTCCCAGGTAACTCAACTCTGTAGAACTGCTGCGATCGTACCTCGAATTCGGTGCGTGTCTTTATTTCTCGGCATCCGGTCATCCTTTGACCACTGCATGCAGGAGAGTACGCTTTCGACTTCGCTGTTGTCATCTGCGGGGTCAGTGGCTTTGATAGTTTCCACTATGTCTTGGTCTCACGACTTGCAGCGCTCCTCTTCTTTCGAAAGGCAACACTGAGCCACTACGTCGCATCGCGCGGTTCCCCACTTCCGTCTCACTCTCACGTATATCTGTACCACTTTCACTCCAGTCAACTCAATTACAATATCTATCCAAGGAAGTTAAACACGAAGAAATGCAGCACGATTGAGCCGAGGGCGAAATCAGCGAATGCTCTAAGCGATGCTGAGCGCAGTCACACGGGTAAAGCACTAAGTAAAGAGCTCACCTTTCCGGGGAGACTTCCTTGAACTCGTTCTTGTTTGCTGGGTTGACCTGTGACCGCAGGGACGCGGTCAAGACGAATTGACCGACGGTGCTCGAGAATCTAATGCCAAGTTTGAGCAACGCGCCGACGTCGTCGGACGTCCTACTACGCACCCAGACAAGAAAGCGTTGTAGGGGAAAGTTGTGATGAGGAAGCAGTAGACGAATTGCACAATGCCCGAGAGCATGAGGAACACGAGGAACGCGTCGATGAACTTCAGGCGGTCCGAGGTTTGCTCATTGTAAGCTTTAAACAGGGTGACCAAAGGAGAGGCAGATGCCGGCGAGGCGGCGGCAGAAGAAGTTTTGGGAGGCATAGTCGAGGAAGTATTGAGTAGTGTCGGCCTCAGCGACGTGGAGGATGCTAAATCGAGCAATATTGATGGAGAGCGTAACAAAACCAAATTCCATCACGCTCTGCTTCTGCAGTGTCTCTCAAAAAATCGTCGCGTGCATCTCGGACCTGTGCGACCTCCCTGGACGTTCATATAGAACATGAGCCTTCTATGTTCAGCACGACTTCGATGCGCTAAACGCGCGCTGAAGCCCCGGTACTCCCGAGGTGTCATGGGCCAATTTGACCACCTTCCGCTACCACTACCGTATTCTATGAAGGACGGACTCGGGAAATTCCTACCACCGCCCGCGCTCGAGACCGTGGCTATGGACTATCAGCTGGGACTTTTGAAACGTTTGACGGAGGAGGTTCGCAGTGCGTAGCAGTATTGAAAACCCTGTCCGTGCAGGTCACTGACAATTCGTGCCCAGATACTGAAGAAGAGGGCCAGTCGGTTACGCAAGTAATTCTGAGCACAGCTCCGTATCGAGAGAAGACGCTTGCATTTAATTATGCAAGTCTCGCTCTCAACAACAGTTTTTTCCTGGGACAGCTGGTGAGTCTCTGCTCTACTTTGTTTCAACGCTGGCTTCAATAACGCGTCCAGACACCTAATCCTGAGCTCGCTGACGAGAATCGAATGGGTGAACTGCTCAGAAAACAAATTCAGAACGATCACGGCAGCCTGGACCAGCTGAAATCTACCTTCTCAGCCGCCGCTATGGGCCTTTCCACCTCGGGATGGATATGGTTCGTGTCGGACCAAAATGGTGGAACAGCCGTGCTTCCGACGTTGGGTCCGGGGACCTTGCTCGTTCGTTCTCGAACCTACATGGCAACGAACATCCATCCCCACATCCCCGAGCTTTCCTCCAACCCTGACGAATGGGACCCATCGCACGAGTACACGGACAAGTACCTGAACCAGCCCCCTCCTCTGTCGAGTGGCATGACCGCTCCGCCACCTACTCACACAGGCTCGGCCAGCTCGGGCCCGGCTTCTGGTCTCGGCAGTGCTACGCCTTTGCAGAGGATGTTCATGCATACAAGTGCGCGTCGGCTGTCAGCATTCAGTGCGGCAAACGCACAGCCAGCGGGCATACACGACGCGGACTCTGTCAGGTCAAAACCATTGACTACCACGGATGCCATCCACACCGGCAAAACGCTGTACCCGCTCTTTTGCGTTTCTGTGCACGAGCACGCGTGGCTTTCCGCTGGATACGGCGTCTGGGGCAAGGAGGAATGGCTGCGGGAGTTTTGGTCTGTGCTGAACTGGGAGCGCGTGGGTGAGGCATACGAGAAGATCCGGGCAACGACTGCATGAAGTGAAACTCGAGCTCACCCTCCCCCCACTCATTTGAATCATAGATTTGTATGAATACCACAGACTAATTGATTGAATGGTGCTGCCTGGCAAATGCATCATTCCACAAGTGGCTGCCTCAAGCCATTGGCTTTACAGAACTTCTACATTTTGGTCTACTTGATTACAACGATATATCATTGGATTTACAACTGCTTGATCGCCTGCAAAGCGCAAAGAGCCGCTGGAACACAGATGAGATCACGGAAGACAAACTGAACAGGCCACATACCGCCCACACCGCTTCCGTCCTTCGCCAATCCGATCTCGACACGGCTTTCGACATCTTTCCCCACGAGTGTTCTGAGTGATTCACGCAGAATGACTTCGAAATGAGGATAGAACTGGATCAAACTGGACCAGCATCAGGCAGATGGATCTTAAAAAACCAAATGGCACATACCTTCCGTCGACACCAACCCCGATTTTGGGCTCACCCACTTTCGTGGGTTTGCCATCCTGACCGGGCAGCACAGCTCGTCCGGTCTGGATCATGACGGTCGCAACTGCGACCCCGCTCAATAAAGCTGCTCGTCTTGCCACCACAGAGCATGCCCATCGGACGATCTACAACGCATCAGACCTCGCAAACTTGGCCTGGACCTCGTCAGGACGCACCGCAGCATCTCGCAATGACACCTCGCCGTTTTTGTAGCCCAGTTCTTTCACTAGAACTGCCTGCACTCGCTCTAGCCTTGCCTTGATAGTGGGGTCAAGACTCTCCGGTTTCTCGTAGTCGGAAAGCTTGGGGACAGGATTCTCGCGAGACTGTGGCGAGGAATCCTTCCCTTCCCAGGCTTCGGCGACGCCGCTCATAACACTGGTGTCAAAGCCCCACTGCGCATTCATCGACGAGGTTGCTTTGCCGTTGAAAAGTAACGACTTGGGAGACGCGTCCACCAGCGAAAGAAGCACATGCCGGGTGATCTCGCCCAAGTACATCCCGGAGATCATCTTCTCGAACGCCTGGAACCGGGGATTTATGCTCGTCCGATCCAATACGTTATCGTACGGTGTCGAAGGAAGGTGTGAACGCTGGGGCGCGTGTAAATCGCGTCCACGTGGAATGAGAACGGGCATACCGTGTTGTTGAAAGCGCCCCATTCAGTGTTCACCACCATCAATCCTCCGTTTGAAGCGGCAGGTTCGTTGGCCAATTTCTTGATGTTCGCTTGGCACAGCGGGTCAGAACGGCAACGGCCGAGGCACTAGAACGAATGAATGCCCTCACCGACTTCCTCCACATAGGCACCGTTCGTACCGGTACCAAAAATGGCACCTAGTATGCATCCTCCGGCGGTGTATGCTCTCGAAAGCAATGCGCCGACCGTCTGTGCCGGTCAGCCATGCCCTCGAGGGGAAGTGAGCACGTACATCGTTAACCAGCGCAACACACTTGACGTGCATGTGCTTCCGGTCGAAGGCATCCTGCAGAAGCTTGACGACATCGTTCCCGATAGCATGCTTCGCCGAGAAGCCTTTAGTCCAGGTGAGGATCTTGCCGGAATCCAATGCAGTCTGCTCTACTGGGAACGAGAACGTCAAGCCGAGGTGAACCACGTCTGGTGTAGGTTCTGCGAAACCGAATCCGTAGTGATGCTGTTGATCGTGATCGCTGGGAGGATGAGATGTCAGGAATGCGTCGACCGAATCGGCCAGATAATCTGTTCATGCCAAGCGCATCAATCAGAATGCGTTCGGACAGTGTGCATGCAATGTGGATAACAGACCGAAGAGAGTGCTGGCCTCCCCCGTCTTGAGGGCGTCGGAAACCTTGTATTTCTGCTGTCTCAGCGTGAAGGTGGTGTCCCCGTGTAGAGTCACTTCGCAAACGCGCCTAGAGCAAGGTAAGAAGAAATAAAGAAGAATTCTAAGACACTTGCAGATTTGTACCGCCGAGGTCCAATGCCAGAAAAGTTCTGGTAGCTTTGAGCATGCAACCCATCCATGCACGAGAGGACACACCCAGTTTCCGAGCCGTCAGGCACTCCAGTCACGAACGTCGGGCTGTATCCAGGTTGAGTATACGTGCGTCGGGGAATACGCGGAAGGGCACACATCATAGCCATAGGTTCGTTGTACTGGCCGAGCCCGAGCTTAAATTCATGGAGAAAAGCTTCCGTCAGCTCGACCAGGGTCTCGGGGCCAAGTTGGAATTGTTCGTTTATATCATCGAGGACTGGCTGAGGATCCTTCGCTGAGAGTGCGCTCGTTCTGGCAATTGCTGGCATGGTCAACGGGGGTGAAAGCTCGAGAGGGGCAATCGATCGCGCAAGTTAATTACGTCAGGCCAAGCTCGGCATAGCCAAATCCGGCGACCCCGCACGGATCGTCGTCATCTTCAAGGTCCGATGTTGGTCCGCGACTTGCTATGGCGCTAAGCAACATGACCTGAGCCCACGCGGAACACAAAACACCAGAAGAGACCAGCGGACGCGCCCTCACTGGACGCCGTCCCACATTTACGTGCGAAGGCGTCGGCGTGTCTCGGCTAATCTCGTGATGACGGGCTTCTCGCCTAATGCTACTTTCATCTGCGAAGGCTTCTGAATCTAGTCCACGTTGACCAACGACAATCGCCGTGCTGTGTGCTGTGGCGGTTAGTCCAGTGTTCTGCTTCAATAATTTCGTCCCATCACGCGAGGGTCTCTGGACGGCCGCGAACGATCTGCCAGTGGATGGTCCAGACCTGTCAATTGGGTGCGAGGAGGACATGCCCACCTCGTCTAGCCTGGAGTCGACCGCCTTTTCAATTACTTTCAATTCCAGAACATGATCTGGACAGTCTCTGTGCTCCGGTCTGTCCCGCCTGGTGGCGCTGTCTCCCGCCTCTATAAATGAGCACAAGCCCTCTGTCTCGACATACACACACCACAAGTTCTATCAGCCTCTCCAAACAACATGCCTACCACTCTCAGGTCGAACATCAAGCCCTGGCTCGCTGTCGAGGTATGTTTAGGCTTCTTCCGTAGGTGCTGGGCGCTGATGTGACACACACAGGCCCTCCCCATGTTCGTTCCTTGCTTCGATTCTGAGGCAATATGGACTGACTCTCACGTAGCGTGATGCTCGTCGGAGGAATCGTGTCTTTCGCCTCATTCTTCGCCTACCGCTCAGCAATGGGCCCAAGCAGTACGTGGACTCTTTGCTTATCCGATCGACTTGCCTATCCCTCCATCTCAGTCCAATGGACCAAGAACGAGCCCTGGAACTCTATAAAGCCAGACGAGGGTGTCAAGATGGTTCAGGTGAACCACAAATTTGAGAAAAGGCGCGTCGAGGAGACGTGGCACGAAACTAGTCAACTGACGTTCCTCAGCTGGAAACGAGATCAGCTGTGAACTCCCCGAAATCCTTTTCCCTTTCTCGCCTTGACCTCTGTAAATAATATGTGGAAGTAACGTATCTTGTAATCATCACCATATGGATCGGACTGCTGTAGGATCGATATCGCATTTTGACCCATCTGCCATGACGCAGGGCTTCGGGAGATCAACGACAAGCAGCGAGGAATGCCGCCGCAGCCCGACAGCCTCCAACCGGTATTTCCGGCTCACGGATCTTCCCGACGTGGTTGCATAGCTGATACATCTAATTTCGATTTCTTACGCACAGGTTTCATCACAGATCGCTACGTGCTATGGTGAAGACCAAGACCAGTCCAAGACACCGCTGTCCTTGAAAACGGCCCGGACGGCTTCTTCTTGTTGTGACCTTGCCTCATCGTCCTCTTTTTCCAACTCGACGGATCGCCAAACCTTGACACACTCGTGCACTTCTTCCGGTTTATTCAGACCCACCGCAAGCGGAATCGAGCCTCCAGTATTTCGTATGCAGAACCCGGTCGCAAGGTCGGCTAATGACCTTCCACCTGCTCTTGCTAGGGTCGCAGTCTGGCGCGCTGCAGAACGGAGCTCGGTAGAAGCCGGGTGCCAGCTAGGCGGTCCGGTATCCGTGAGCAGACCCATGCTGAAGGGTGAAGCGACAAGCAATTGTCCGACTTGGGCACGGCCCAGAAGATGGGACGAGTATTGGAGGAAGGTGCTGTTCTGTAGCGTCAAGTTGGAGTACGAGAGCATCACGTCGACCGCTTTGTAGGGCGGGTTGTGCAGAATGAGTAGAGCCAGTCGAAGCAGCGTGTACAATGGATAGCCTATGAAGCTTTGAGATAAAACGCCAGAAAACACCAATCATCTCACCAGTAATCCCGATGCGTTTGATCAAACCCTCCTGTTTCATCTTGTACAACTCAGCGAAGGCATCTAGAACCTTTTGATCACCTTCCCCTCTGATTATGCTCTCATCTCCCGCAGCCAGACCGTAATCGGCGCTTTCAGTGGTCAGGGCGGATGTGTGATCCCCAGTCCGTCTCGGAGTAATCTCCGTGCACACAAACTCGACATCATGGAGATGCACGACATCCAGGTAATCCGTGCGCAGTCGTTCGAGGCTTCGTTGCACGCTTTGACGAACCGTGCCGGGAGTATAATCAAAGTCAGATGGTCCATATCGTCCACATTTCGTCATCTGACACGTGAATACCAAATGAAAATGGGGACCACGCGGCGCACCAGCTGATAGGAAGACCGAGGAAACTCATCGCGAAGCGCATGCAGTGCGTTGCCCAAGATGATCTCGGATGGACCGTAATATGCAGACGTGTCGAACGCGTTGATGCCGTATCTGGAGAAAATTTCTCGGAAATGCACCCACGAAACGACATGTATAACTCACCGAAGTGCGAGCTGCACCGTTCGGAGCGGAATATCACCGGAGAGAAGATCATCGCTGGCGTACTGGGGCGAAAGTGCGCCCCCGCCGAACACAATCCGCGGCAAAGCCATGGGTCCGTCCAATCGGCACTGCACTGATCGATATGCCATATCACGATGCTGCGAGGCTGCGACATACCACTGCAGGTCCTGGAACGGGCTGCTCGTCTGGGAGCTCGGAGGTCATAATGGTCGAGAGGAGGGCGATCTCGCTTGTTTGCTCAGGCTGGTCGATCACCAAGCGAAGAGGAATTTCCAAATGCATGCATTTCTTTGTCCCTGAGGCCTCAACGACGTACACGATCCTGTCGATGTTATCTGATACTGCACTCCTGCCTGCTGTTGTTTATTATGAGGCCAACAGGCACGGTGCTCAAATTGGATGCCAGCATGTCGCGGTTTCTCAGGGATCGAAGAGCATAGGCTGCCAGTGAGGCGTCCTTCTATCATGATTGCGACATGAATCGGCACATGAGTGATCTGGAGTTCCGAATGAACCGTAAGGACGGGGAGAACGTGAAAGTTTGTTTCTGTGTGCAAACCTGTCACGTGTGACCCAGGAGTTCGTCCTTTTGAACCACCGTCACCGACGACTCTCTCAATCTGCCTGCTAGTGCCTGGTCCACGGCACTGTCCTTCTTTTGAAAAACCCACCGTCCTAGCCAGGATATCCATTCGTTCTTTTCACTCCCACCACCACCATGCAGGTCGAACAGGTAGCCCGACAGCGAGTGAGTTCACGGCAGTGTCTCACCTCTTTCTCTGCTGATCTTATCCATCTCCAGTTCGAGTCTTTCAAGATGGGTATGAGCCACAATGCCTCCCCCGTCGAGATGAAGCATCGGCACAACCGATCGCATTCGCGCAACGCCTCAATTTCTTCCATTGCATCTTTGCCCACTCCTAAATCTATGACCACTCACGATGTCTCCGCGACGCATTCCCTTCCTCCTGCACCTAAACGAAACTCGCAACACCGGCGTATCTCGTCTGTCTCCACTCGACGCGAATCAGCCGAGATGATGGGAGTAACCGTTCCCGAGACTTCGGCCTCCGCGAGCGAGGACTCAGCAGAGCGAGATTCTATCCGCCGCAATGCTCTCTGGGCTCTTGAGGGGAAGCGTGATGCTTCCTTTGCCAAAGTAGAAATCCCAGAGCTTTCTGCCCCATATGAATTCCGTAGGCATCCCATTTTCGCTTGCGACTCGGTTGCTCATACTGTTTACCCAGCCACCAAACCTTCCTTCCCCCCAGGTCCAGGGACCTTCACTACTTCTTCCAAGCGTGACTCCTTCAAGCCTTCCTCTTCCAAGGACGCATTAGGTACTTTGATGGAGGAGGAAGAGGAAGAGGAGGATTCCGATAAGCCTCGCGCACCACCGACACCGACCACACCTACGACTAGCTTCACCCGCAACCTTGGTCAACGCTCTCGTGCGCCGCACCTCAGGCCATTGTCTCTCACCCCAGACACTCTACCATCACAATTCCTTGCATCACAGGCCCTCCCAACGCCATCCTCTCCTAAGCGAGCGAGCTTGAAGGCCCTTTCCCTTGCTCCGGATGCTTCAAACCGTGCAGGATCTGTGCCATCTCCGACCCCCGCTCGTCCGAGGCCCGTACTCAACATCAAACTTGAGGCGGCATCGCCGTCGCACGATGACACTTCCATGTCGATACGTCAGCAACCGGTCCGGAAGAGCAGTATATCATACAAGACGTCTTCCACGTCTTCGTCGGTTTCCAGCACCGGCCTTCCGACCCCTGAATCGACACCAACGTGTACAGAGCGCCGTTTCTCTGGATATACCCACAGTTCCATCTCCAGCCGCAGCAGCCAGGGTAGTCAGGGCAGCATGGCCAGCAACCGTCTTAGCGTTGCCGAGGACGACTTCTTGACCATGAACTCTGGCAATGGACGGCCTTTGAGCGTGAGCGAGCAGCACTTTCTGTTCAAAAGTCACAACGCCCTGCTCGCTCGCATCACCGATCTGGAACGGGCTTTGTCCTTTCGTGGCAACAACAATTCGCGTCCTTCTTCGATTGCTTCTTCTGCCTCTGCTCTTTCCAGTACCTCTTCCCGCTCCAGCGAGACAGGGGAACCGATAGACGAAATGCTTTGCCTCGTGTCCGACCTCAAGGCAGAAAGGGATGAATTGAAGCGTGATGTTGAAGGCTGGCGTGTTCGAGTCGGCGACATGGAGAAACAATTGACTGTGATGGGGAACCGAGTCGAGGCTGAACGACGAGACGCTTGGGTCGCTCGCACTCGTGTTGGATTGCTTGAAGTCGAGCGCAGCGGTCTGGAGAAAGTTGTCGTAGATCTCCAGACGGAAAACACGCGCTTGGCCAAGTCCGAGCAAACCCTTCAGGAACAGATCGCCCGCCTTCTGCGCGAAAAGGAGGCGGTTTCAGCTGAGCTACAGCAAGTCAGGAGTCGCGTTCCTCGCGAGCTTGATCCATTGGACACGCCACGCGCTTTTGACGGCCCTGTTGTACACGTCCGACCCGCGCCCTCTTCTATGCATCGTGGCCTTGGATTTGCTTCTTCGGCCGGTGAAGATGCTCCTTCTACACTTGGGCTCGGGTTCAAACTTCGGGTCGATCAGGAGGAAGAAGCCTCCGATGAGGAGAGCGACGAGCTCGCCGGATATGAAGACGAGGATGAGAACGACGTCCTCATCAGTCCCTCGTCATCCTTCGGGTCCGTTGATGATTTCCGTGGCTCGGCCGCTTCGGCGCCTGTCGTTTCTCCTCCTTCCGCTCCCGTTCCAGCTCCGGCCCACAGCGCACAGAAGTCTATTTCGAAGTGGACGTTCCCCAAACATGTGGTTCCCATCAGCCGCGACGAACCTGACATCGATCGTTTCTTCGGATGTCTTGAAGACCTGGACTCCCCGGCTTCACCACTCACGGGTGAATATTTCGACTATGACGAGGAGAAGAGCAAGTCGTTCTTCGCCAAGGGCTTCTCCTGCGACGATAGCAACTCCTGCTTTGTGTTGCCAGCTAGTGTACTCGCCACGGTCGACAGCCGCTATGTTCTGGATGTTGTTGAAGAAGAGGAAGAGGAATTAAGAGAGGATGACGAATCCGAGACTGAAGAGGAGACTGTTGTCGAGGACGGAGAAGTCAATGGTGGTATCAAGATCACATTCACACCTCCCATGGAGGACAAACACCTCGAACCAGCACTTACCGAGCCAGTCCTACCGCCACCAAAGCTCGTCACAGTCCCGTCGCTCCGATTTTTCGAAGATGAAGATGACTGTGAGGATGAAGCTCCGTTCAACTTCGGTCGCTCTCAGCCGATGACTCCGGAACGCTCCGAGTCTCGTCCCTCGCTTCCCTCTTCGATTCCAAGGCCCAAGCCCAGCCTCTTCTCGCCATCTCGCGTCGTTCACGAAAACGACAGTGCCTTTGTGACACCGCCGACGAAGCGTGGCGGAACGACACCCTCCTTCATTCCTCTACCGAGTTCGCCTTCTCCGACTTTTTCAGCCAACGCCTCTACTACTACGTTCATCCGGCAGCCTTCCCGGCAGCCGACACTGCGAATGCATCAAACAGGCCCTGCAAACGGTTCGGCGATTCCCCGGCTTCGTTACCGTACGTCTCACTAATTTTGCCTGCTTTTGCAGCCGACAACCTGCCATCTAGACCCAGCCCCAGTTCGGAGATGATGCCTGAGTTTTGCAGTCCCTTGCCAGTGTCTCCTTCTCTTTCGTCCATGTTATCATCACCTCTCGGAGGCCGTCTTTCGTTGTCCACGTTCACGAACTACATCCCGTCATGGGGTCTGACTTCTCCGAACACCAGCCCAGCCTTGCAGGATGCACGGCCCTCGGGCTCACCGGCAGGAACGGTGAAGCGAGGCTATGTTTCCAAGCAAAGTCAGTTGGATCGGCTGAAGTCCAGGATGGAATTCGAGGCAAAGACTGCTAGCTTGAGAAGGGGTGATGATGATGCTGTATTTTTATAATCGTGCGTTTAGCGTCTGCGTCATGTTTGTTGTTCGAGGCTGATATCTTGCAAAGCAACTTCGACCGCCTTTCCGCTTTTGTACCCTTTTGTCCATGTCTTGACTTTGTAATTACCCACATGCACTGTTCTGCGCAACTTGACGTTGTGTCGGCAAGCAGATTTGGTTGTACTACCGCACATCGATACGCTTTACTGTCCTACATATGAGAGATTTCTACATGAGATTTATGGTTTCCAGCTCTGCGCCAACTTTCTCACTGTCACTTTTCCTCTTCTTCCCACCTTCATCACCTCTGAGAATCAGATGCGATTGAATTTTCTGCGGATGAACGTGACGCCTGGCGCAGAATCATTCGACAGCTTCTTTCTCCACCGACTGCCCTTGACGTGCCCAGCGATACGTACACTCTACTGCCTCCGCATGTGCGATCTCGTGACATCGTGGACGCGCCGGCTCCGGGTCTGCAGATGAAGATCCCAGTCAGGTGGCAAGCCGAGGATATCCCGCCCGACGATGCGGCACTGGGGAGTTGACATAAATAACAGCGGACGGGGTTCCGAGCGAGTGAGGCCGCCCCCATGTTGCTCTCACAGCTTGGCGTCTTGCTCGTTTCGGCTCTCGGTGTGGTGGACGCTCGCCGTGCGCCGGCCAGCCGGCGGGTGCAGCTGCCGCGCGTGAATGACGGTCTGCAGAATTTGGTGCGTATATGCGGCCGCACTCGAGTCCCGCAGCGTTAGTGTTGATGGCGTCGCGCAGGTGACCTGGGACGAGTATTCGCTGTTCATCAACGGGACGCGGGTGAACCTGTTCGGCGGAGAGGTGCATCACTATCGGTATGGCTTGTACTGTGTGGCTCGTGTCTCCTAGTGCTGAGATGCGTCGCGATTGCAGGATGCCAGTGCAGAGCCTGCACTTGGACATCTTCCAAAAGATCAAGTGCGTTCCCGGCACCCCATCCACAGAGGATCCTCAGCTGACGGCACGACAGGGCGCTGGGGTTCAATGCCGTCTCGACGTACTTCTTCTGGGGTATGTACGAGCCCAAGCGCGGCCAGCTCGAGTTCGACGGGTTTCGCGACCTGCAGCCGTTCTTCGACGCTGCCAAGGCGGCTGGACTGTGGATCATCGCCCGGCCCGGGTGCGTGCTGCTGCTGAGGGATTCTCGCCACACTGCTGCTTCGCTCACACGTGGTTGATCGCACAGGCCGTACATCAACGCGGAAACGACTGGCGGCGGATTCCCGGGATGGGGGACGCACACGGCGGGATTGTGGAGGACGGAGAATGCGTCGTACGTCGAGGCGTACCAGGGATGTACGTGTCTGCTTCAGTCCATGCGACGTGCCATGACCTCAACTGGCTGCAGACATGACAGCCGTCGGGGAGAAGATTGCGCTGAACCAGATCACGCACGGCGGACCGGTCATCCTGGTGCAAACGGAGAACGAATACAGCGGCTTCCAGCCTCCGTACACGGAAGACTTTACGTACGAGAGCGATCTGAAGGAGACCCTGCGGTCGGCCGGAATTACCGTCCCGCTGACGGTCAACGACGCCTGGGCCGGCGGACATTATACGAATGTGGACATCTACGGATACGATTCGTACCCGAATGGCTTCAACTGCACCGTCCCGGACAACTGGCTGGCTGATGCCGTTCCAGAGTGCGTTCTTTTGGTGTCTTCCCTGACTCGTGTTGACCCCGCGGTAGATGGTTCTGGGGTGCGCATATGCAAATTAGCCCCAATCGCCGAATGCGGTTTTCGAGTTCCAGGGCGGAGCTCTCGACGGATGGGGTGGCGCTGGCTACGATCTCTGCTCGCAGCTGACGGGGCCTGAATTCGAGCGCGGTAGTGCCAGTTGCACCACGCTTTGCGGGGTAATCTGACATCCTGCAGTGTTCTACAAGAATCAGTTCGCCATGTCCACCACGATGCTCAATCTGTATATGGTTTACGGCGGCACTAACTGGGGAGGGATTGCTTATCCCGGTGTCTACACCTCTTACGATTATGTGAGTTTCGACCTTCGGTCGCCTGGTATGATCTAATCTGAACAGGGGTCGGCGATCGCCGAAGACCGCACTCTGCGCGAGAAAGCATACGAGCTCAAGCTGCAGGCCTACTTCCGAGCTGCCTCCCCCGCTTTCCTGACAACCCGGCCGATGAACATCGGGGCGAGCCAGGGCAGCTTCACCGGAAACCAAGCTCTGAAGACGACCCAAGTGCTCGATGTGGTGGGAAACAAGACGGGATTCTACGTGGTCAGGTGAGCAGCTTGTATGGTCACCGAGTTCGGTCTGCTGAGGCCGGACAGGCAAACTGATGCGTCGGTTCACGATGTGCAAACGTATACATTGACGCTGCCGACAAGTGTCGGAAACATCACGATCCCTGCGCTGGGCGGCAGTCTGCAGCTTCACGGAAAAGACTCGAAGATCGCGGTCGTTGACTACCTGCTGGCTCGACGACCCTCGTCTACTCCACAGGCGAAGTCCTGATTGGTAAAGCCCGGCTCATCTCGTGTGAGAATGCCGCTTATTTCATCCAAGGGCTACTATTGACAACCGAGACGTGATCATTCTCTACGGCAATGCCGGTGAACTACACGAAACGGCATTCAAAACCACCGCCGGTAAGGTGGCCGTTGTTTCAGGATCAGGCAAGATCAAGACCAAGGCTGCATCTGACCTGTTGACCGTTCAATACACAACAACGGCCAAACCGTGCTTGAGATCGGGAACACCCTGGTGTATATCGTTGGTCAGCATGGAACGGAAACGGAATCCTTGACACGAGTATCCTGACCAATTTCCATAGA